CAGCGTGACACCATGGATCCTCTGAACATGGCTCCGGAAGTGGTCTAAGTGTTGCAGTTTGAGGTCTTTGCACTTGGGATGCTCACACCGAATCTTTTCACCACCTTGCTCGACCCGCTCCCGCGCGACCAGATGCTGGTCATCAAAGTGGTCGTTCATGACAATGGGACGGCAATAAGTAAAGGCACGCTCGTCACGAGACAGTCGCTTATCACCGATGCAGTCGGGACATTGTGCTGCATGCATGAGGAGAGGGAATCGATCGGGGCTGGGCAAAGGTTCGATTCCGGCTTCGAGTGGCTCTGTCTTGATGGGCAGGCAGGCTTTAACCCTGAGCTGGATGCGGTTGCGCTTGACCGTCTCCCTCTTGTCGCAGAGAGCCACCATCAGATTGATGGCCTCAATCCTTCGCTGGGAGATCTCATCTTCAGTCAAGTCGTCAGGCTGGTGGCAGAGAATCTCGGCCAGTCTCGCGCGTTCTGGGATGGCGACATCGATGACAGGCTCCACGTACTCCTCCTCTTCTTCCCCCCGTGCCTGCCTTTCAATGTCCCAAGTGGGACGGTTGTAAAAATAATCCTCGCGGTATTCTTTGACGACCTGCTTTTCATGCTGCGCACGCTTCGAGCAGATTTCATGAATAAGCTTCCGAATCTTGTTCTCATTTTCATGGCCCTCGATTCGATATTTGCCCTGCTTGAGCTGCGCGCGTTGTTCTTCGAGCTCGACAATCTCGGGGTCCGGCGACAAGTTGGCCCACACTTCCTCGGGTACCATGTCTGAGGTGGCTCGAGGATCACGGGTGAGACTCACGTGCGCGAACAGTCGAAATAGCTGACTCTCCTTCTCTTCCTCGAGGAAAGCGTTCTGGAGGTCGAAGGTGGCGATCTCATTGAGGTAGGCGTGGTGGAATGTCACAAACTGAGGGTCGTGGCGCATCATTTGGTCACGCACAGAGTCTGGCGCGTCACCTAGAAACCAATTCGGTCAGCACAGGTCCAAAATCCATTTGAATGCGGGAGGCCCAGGTCGCGATTGATGACCTTGGCCTAGCGGCTTTAAGATGGCTGGAACGAGGACATCCGCTGTCGACCTTCGATCCGCACCGTCCTCAAACCATCTGGCAATGTTGTCACCACCCTCAGGGTCCCTGGCTAATACGACCCGTATGTCGCCGAAATGCTACGCCTCTACCCCCGGCTCGTCACCGACGGCTGTCTTTGTGAAGGTCCCAGCAACCCAAAACTCGACGACCGCCCTGAGCCCCCGAACCCCACGACTCCCAAGTCTCGCTCTCCGGGCGCATCCTCGCTGTCCAGCAGTCCGGGATGGCCCTCTGGGAGTTTCTGTGCCCCGTAACCGGAGACTCGGAAGATGTTTGTCCGTCCGCCGTCGGTTGCCATTTGTAACTGCTCGTGGAGTCTCGCGAGTTGGTACTGGCGCTTGATCAGTATGAAGAGTGGTTGCGGGATCAGAGGTTGCGGGTTCCATTGGGCCAGGGCGCCCATCACGGCTGCGGTTTCCTCGTCCGAGTCGACAGGCCCGTTGGTGGCGTCGTCTTCGTCTTCTATTGGGGCATTTGCATCGAGTGCGGCTTCTGTTGAGGGGGAGGCAGTGGTCAGTCACATCGGTCCGGGGATACAGGCCTGGCCCGGACGGGTACTCACTCTGCTGCTTTGCCTGGTTCTTCTTCTGGTAGGCAGCGAGTAGCATGTCGTATGGTAGAGATCGCCCGGCCAAAGCACGCTTCGCACCCATAGGGTGGCTCTTGCACGTCAGGGATCTTGCGCATGGCTGTCCATTTGGTAAAATCACACCGCATTGGCGCTCGACATCCACAGGCCCTGCGGTCGCATGGTCAGTAAGCAGTCGTACAGTATGTGTCCGGTGAATGTCTTGCTCTTTGGCTTGGGAACCTTGGCCTTGGGTTCGTCCTTCTTCTTCTTGGCCTTGGGCCCCTTGTCTGGATCCCCATCGGCCTTCCTTTTCTTGCCCTCCTTGTCGTCGTCGGGCTTCTTCCCCGCAGCCTTTTTCGCAGTCTTGCTCCCCGTGGGTTTCTTGTCGGCCGAGATGTCATCCTCCCCGTCGCTATCGTCGTCGCCTTTGCCGTCGCCGTTTTCTTCGTCGGCCTTCCGTGCCTCCTCTTCCCTCGCTGCCTCCTTGGCCCTTTCCCTGACCTCACGAGCTTCCTTCTTCCGCCGCGCCTTCTCCTTCTTCAGTCGGAGGCACTGCGCAATGTGTGACTTTGCCGCCGTCTTGAGAATGCCCTTCTTGCAGTGCTTGCATTGCTGTAGATCGACATTGTCTTCGAGTGGTCGGCCGGTCGCAAACGTTTCGCGGGCGTTGTCGTTGAGCTGGTTCACCACGGGACCTAGTGAGGCTACCGATGTTGACGGCGAACTACCACACATGAAGCCAAGAGACCATAGCTATAAATAAACCTGGACCCTTTCAACCCACCTCTTGACAAAGTTATTAAAATTAGACAGTGTGCTGCCATAACTGCCGGGTCCAAGCCCAGATAGTCTGACATAAGGTAGGGAATGGGGACGGCCTCTAGTAACTGTGTTCCAGCTATCTAGTCCAGTATGCTATTTACATCAAAGACAAAGAAGAAAGAAAGAAGTTCCCAAGTGCCGCCGAGCTGTATACAGTTTTCTCACCCCTGGTGCGCACGGGCCCTGTAGGCTCGCCTCGGGGTGTGTAGGTCTCACGGCGCAGCCGCAAGGATAAGGGCCCCGGCCTGTTACAGCAAGCGCCACTTCGCCATCGGTTGGAATGGATTTGGGAAGGCGAGATCAAAGTATTGAAGGCTCTTATTGCTTGTAACGGGCTATGCAAGTACCGTTTTCGGAAAGGGAGGAAGAATATGGTCTCGTAATTATCGAGATTTTTGTTGAAGCAGCTTGACGATGGCCTCGTGCCCCCTCTCGGCGGCCCACAATAGCAGCGTCCCACCCTCTTCGTCCTTCGCCTCGATGTCGGCGCCCTTCTCGACCAGCAGCTTGACGACGGCCTCGTTGCCCTTGGCGGCGGCCTGCCATAGCGGCGTCCGGCCATCTTCGTCCTTCGCCTCGATGTCGGCGCCCTTCTCGACCAGCAGCTTGACGACAGCCTCGTGCCCCCTCTCGGCGGCCCACGATAGCGGCGTCGTCCCATCATACCTATCCTTCACCTCTACGTCGGCGCCTTTCTCGGACAGCAGCTTGACGATGGCCTCGTCCCCCCTAAAGGCGGCCCGCGATAGCGCCGTCCGACCATGTTTGTCCTTCGCCTCGACGTCGGCGCCCTTCTCGAGCAGCAGCTTGACGATGGCCTCGTGCCCCCTCTCGGCGGCCCACAATAGCGGCATCCCACCACCTTCATCCTTCACCTCTACTTCAGCGCCCTTGTCAAGCAGCAGCTTGACGATGGCCTCATGGCCCCTATCAGCGGCCCGCGATAGCGGCGTTCGACTATGCCTATCCTTCGCCTCGACGTCGGCGCCCTTCTCGAGCAGCAGCTTGACGATGGCCTCGTGTCCCCTAAGGGCGGCCCGCGATAGCGGCGTTCGACTATGCCTATCCTTCGCCTCGATGTCGGCGCCCTTCTCGAGCAGCAGCTTGACGATGGCCTCATAACCCCTATCAGCGGCCCACGATAGCGGCGTTCGACTATGCCTATCCTTCGCCTCGACGTCGGCGCCCTTCTCGAGCAGCAGCTTGACGATGGCCTCGTGCCCTTCCTCGGCGGCCCGCCATAGCGCCGTCCTACCATGTTTGTCCTTCGCCTCGATGTCGGCGCCCTTCTCGAGCAGCAGCTTGACGATGGCCTCATAATCCCTCTCGGCGGCCCACAATAGCAGTGTCCCACCCTGTTTGTCCTTCGCCTCGATGTCGGCGCCCTTCTCGAGCAGCAGCTCGACGATGGGCTCGTGCCCGTCCTCGGCGGCCCGCCATAGCGGAGTCCGACCACCTTCGTCCTTCACCTCTACGTCGGCGCCTTTCTCGAGCAGCAGCTTGACGATGGCCTCGTCCCCCCAATCGGCGGCCCGCGATAGCGGCGTCCGACCATCTTCGCCCTTCACCTCGACGTCGGCGCCCTTCTCGAACAGCAGCTTGACGATGGCCTCGTGCCCCCTCTCGGCGGCCCGCGATAGCGGCGTCCCACCAAAGCTGCCGCCCTTCGCCTCGACGTCGGCGCCCTTCTCGAGCAGCAGCTTGACGATGGCCTCGTGCCCTTCCTCGGCGGCCCGCCATAGCGGCGTCCGACCATCTTCGCCCTTCACCTCGACGTCGGCGCCCTTCTCGAACAGCAGCTTGACGATGGCCTCGTGCCCCCTCTCGGCGGCCCGCGATAGCGGCGTCCCACCAAAGCTGCCGCCCTTCGCCTCGACGTCGGCGCCCTTCTCGAGCAGCAGCTTGACGACAGCCTCATGCCCGTTCTCGGCGGCCCACGATAGCGGCGTCTGACCATATTGGCTGTCTTTCGCCTCGACGTCGGCGTCCTTCTTGAGAAGTAGCTTGACAACGGCACGATGGCCATAGTACGACGCTATCATGAGATCCGTAAAATGCTCGGCAGTCCTCATATGTGTAGTCTCCCAATAAATTCTAAACCATACCGAGTAGCTCTTCGAATCCGGATCACAAATTCTAAGAGCGAAAGGTATAATGGCGGCGTCATCGATGATACTAGCCTCGCGGAAGTGAGCGCCCCAAGTTTGGGCCGAGTAATCTAAGAAGGCGTGTGTATCGATGGAGTGGCCGGCTTCCCTATTTGCATCTGTCGCTAGACTAACGTTGGAGTTGAAGGAGTTCAGATAGAGCACGCAGAGCTCCGCAAGAACGGCGTGTGCGTCTTGGGTAGTGATGGAGTGATGCCAGTGCAGTTCTGACGAAACAGTTGTGGGCGATGCCAAATCTGCGAGGAGAAACTCGCGAGCTGTTTGATGAAGGAAATAAATACTGCCTTGATGGATGGAGATGAACAATCCACACCAAGATCTGAGACGCATCTTGAAGTCCTCTTCATTCTCCAAGTCAAGGTCGTGAATAGACTTTAATGTATAGTCTATATTCACAGCAACATTCATTTCCGAGAGGGTTAGCGGCCGGCTCGCTGCCAAGATAATACTCAAAGCTTTCCGAACCATCGGATCTTCCTTAGTCTTATTAAGAATTTGCTCATATGCCTCATTAATACTCCTCGGAAGTGTTGTAATAATGGACTCGACCCCCTTTAGTGTCTTTTTAAAGTCTTCTTTATCCAAGTAGTCGAACACAAGGTATACCCAGAGATAAGTGCGGTGGGTAGTCTCCTGTAATCTTTTCTCCAGGTGGCTCTCGATTTGGGGTGAGAGGCGCTTCTTCACCGATAGCTGATTGACCCGGCGCGTAATGACGTGATTCACCTCCTGACTGATCGTTTCTGACACTTCCTCTCCTGGGATACGGATATTTGGAAAAGCGTCCAATAGGCCGCGGAACTTGGATATGATCTGGTCATACGGGCGGCACGTTAGAAGATACTTCAACTTGCCATGGCCCAAATGGTCGCCGCGGAATTGGCTCTCCACATTCCGCATCAGGTCCGCAAAATCTGATTCGGCACATTCGTCCAGGGCATCGAGGACCATAATTACAGGCCCTGCCTGGGGATCTTTTATAGCGTTTCGTAGAACCTCCCAGAGCGATTGTGTAGCGTTGATTAAACCCTGCCCATCCTTGCGGAATTGTGGCATGGCATGTTTGATTAGAGACGGCTTCTGAGAGAAGAGCTGATGAAGCAGTGCGCAAAGTGCTTGCCGGACGGTGTTCTGGTCTTGGTCTTTGAAGAAGAAGTAGCAGATGGTTGCCGATTGTGGCAGGCCGTGGTCGATCAGGTACTTGGCCAACACCGACTTTCCACAGCCAGGATCCGCCGAGACTAGCAGGGGGCCGGACTCCCGTTTTAACCACATCTGGAAGTGCTTGTGCTTGAGGAACCACTGGCAGGTACCTTCCACTCGGTCTTCCACGCGATTCTTGTACCACTCGTATGTGGTGTCCATGCTCCTTTCGGTGAGACGGAACAACTGAAGACACTCTTGTTCTTCTTTGGACAGCCTCTCCTGGACGAGATCTTGCTGGGCTTGGAGCTGCTCTTTCTGGGCTTGGAGTTGCTCTCTCTGGGCTTGGAGCTGCTGCTTTGCAATGTCCCGTTGCTCTCCTTGAGCTTCATGGATGCCTAGACATAGGATTAACATGTATTAATAGTATGATTCTAGACCTTAGAATTACCAGATAGCAAATCGCCAATCTTCTTTTCAGCTTCAACCCTATTTGGAGGTATTCGACAGAGAAGATCCTTCGCGTATGCAGCAGCCACCATTGCTGCATATCCCTGCCACTCCTTATTCTTGTGGGAATCCGAGTAGTCGCATATACCGCGGATAACCAGGCAAGGAAAGTGGTTCATCAGCCCTGCTGCTTCCATCTCAAAACACAGCACGTCCCTTTCCGCTGCAAGCTTGTCCCGAACCAAAGCGTCCTTCATCAACTGGTTTGCTGAAGCGATCATGCCGTAGTGAATTGCAGGATTATCCTCGTCTTTGGTCCGTTCTGGTCGCAATATCAAGTTTGAGGCATTATCGCCACAGACCATGACACAGGCTGAGTCGTGGGTGATTTCGGGTTTGAATAGCCTGTCGCTGCTTGGCTCCGGTCGCTTGTACTTTTGTTGTAGTCTCGGCTTCCTCTCAAGAACACCGTTGATAGCCTCCTCAAGCTGATGCCCTTCGATCTCATACTGTGCCTTGATTCCACCCATCGCTGCTCGTAGGATCTCTGGTGGCTGGTCCAAGAAAAGTGTTGGTTGAAGTTCCTCACCCTGTATCTTTTTACCAAAGTCGTACTGGAACACACCACCCTTCCCATCGCGAGGAGCGCTGACCACGATGTCGCCTAGGCGGATATCACGTTTTTGACTTGGTGCACCACCAGCTATGCCGACCATCAGGCCGATCCTGACGTTGGGGAAGCTGAGCAGCATGCCTTTTGCGACTCTTGCTGCAGAGGATGTGCCATACTCCCCATCGGGTAACACAGCGATGACGGTGTTGTGTTTCCCAATTCTTCCCAGGGTGTAATCGTTATTGTCATTAGGGGACACATAGTCGGGTCGGTTGTGCTTTTCGTCGAGGAAAACTTGCGCTGCGACGTACTCCGTTATTATGGCGCATATCCAGCCGACCGTGTAGACGTTAGGCTGAGACATGTTCGCTCGCAGGATGATCCGGAGGCAAGGTGAGCTACGAAGGACGATTAGTGTTTGGTTGCCGAGGTCCCTCATCACTTGCCTCCACCTGGACCAGTTAGATCCGCCTGCAGACCGCTGCGATTGCCAAGCACAATAACCAACCTGACAGCGCAACTTGTCCCCACCAATCGCGGGGGTTCAGTGGGATTTTAGGATCTGCGCCAAAGTTCAATTGACAGAGCGTAGAGTACCCGAAAAAGTACAACGGTTATGAAAGAAGCCACGACACCGCGACCATCGCTCAAACAAAAAGCGGTTGGGCAGCATTGGGTAGAAGCAAGTTAGTTAGAAATCCGTGATCAGTTATCTGCTGACCCCCCTCGACCGCGGGCGCTTACTCGCAGTTGAATAAGCACCTCGCCCAATAATATCGTTATCATGCTGGTAGGGCAGGGCGGCATCACACGCTCTTCACCAATCATGCGTTATTGTTGTGTCCAGCCCGCCGTCCACAGCAACGCCTTGCCTCTTCAAGTAAGGAACCTGCTTATGGGCAAATTCTCCAAGGCAGCAGAGTTGACTACTCGAGTTCGTGCTTTCCTCGCCGACGTGTTCGGGCTAACAAAACTGTCAATAGAGTTCTCGGTTCTCCATCCCAGCCAGTCGAGTACGAGAGCAGCATGGCGCCGACGCGTCGCGACACGGTCACGACCAGCCCCTACCATTCTCGCCCGTATCGTACCGCGTCCGCTCCACTACCAGCTCGTGCCTGGTCGGGAGATCTTCGTCACGGAGCGTATGGACCTGGATCTCGTCTACGGAGGTCCATTTCAAAAGTCGTGTCCCGCGCTAACGACGCCACACCCTCATGCCCCTGTCAGCTACCTAGCGGTACATAGCCTTTAGGGCGCTTGTTCCTTAGCTCTGCTGTAGCTCCCTGTATCTCCAAAGGTCTCCAGAGGCTAAGAGCGCCCGCTGCGATCTGCTAGCAGTACTTGATGCGCTATAGATCCCGAGCTTGTAGGGGATGCAGATGATATAAAGTACCTCATGTACCTGCCTCGCTCTGATTGGCTATCTAAAAAAGTGTGGCTTGAGAGCAGGACATGACTTTTGAAATGGTCCTCCGTAGCCAACGGGCAGATGTTCCTCAAGCCCCTCTTACGCTTTCTGCCCTAGCCTCGTTTTGGACCCGACATCGCCCACGATGGGGAGCGGCAGCACGGCTGGCGACAGTGGATGCATGGATAAAAGTGCAGGGGAGGCGTTCGGAGGTGTTTGTGGGGCAATCGGTATTGGATGACGGCAAAACATTATTCCGGAAGTCACTCTCCGTCATAAATGTACACAGTACGCAGACTTGTAAAATGACCCTATGTGGGGTACCTTCCAGGTTTGGAAGCGTGTTGTAAAAGAGGAAGCTATTCATGCTCATTTGTGTATGGTTATTGCCTTGACGGAGACAGAGTGGTGGAAGGGCGCTGTATTTATAAAGGTTTGGAAATCGACAGGCGGAGGATAGAAAAAAAGGCCTGGTCCCTTTGCACGTGCACGGGCCTGGCGTGAGCTGCTGTTCAATGTCCACTGAAGCATGGAACACCGAAGCGGGACGTGCCACGTGAGTTGTTCTTGGAGATCCATGAGCTTCCCCCACCGTCCCAAGGGACGACGCCCCACCAAACCCGATGGTCACTACGGGCGGCACGCTATCGTCTGTGTTGACCAGGGTGCGAAGATGGGAACCAGATGGTCTCCACGGCCACCGTCAAAGTGGCTGGCAGATCGCCAGCACCATGAAAAGCCAATCAGGCCAGGAGTACATCCACAGCATATACGACTCAGTTGAGACACTGCAAGCTCGAAGAAATACTGTGACAATACAATGGATCCCATCAAGCAGCGAAAGCGAGCTGTTACAGAAGGCAAAAGAGGAAGCACGGAAGACGACGAAACTGAAGATGCCGTGCCGCAGAAACAATTCCCTGCGATGCGATCAACCACGACGAACATTGCGCGATTGAAACAGCCCATCACTAACAGCTTGCCTGACAAGGTTGGGAAATACTCTAAGCGAATTGACATAGCGCTACCTGGGAAACACACCAAGAACCTGTACGACCAACTCGGACGAAGAGAGGCCAGTGTGCTCGTTCAGTTGAGGACGGGCATGGCGAGATTGAACGAATACCTGCACCGGATTCAAGTGGCACCTTCTGACATATGTGCATGCGGACGGGCCCGAGAAACGGTTGAACACTTCCTTTTCACCTGCTCAAAATGGAGAGAGCAACGCACGATACTACTAGAATGCACAACCACGCAAAGAGGCAATCTATCCTTCCACCTTGGAGGGAAAACACGATCAGACAAGCACAACTGGGAGCCAGATATCCGGGCAGTAAGAGCTACTGTCAAATTTGCAATTGCAACCGGCCGGCTGGACGCCAACTGAGGTCCAGCCCCACTACCAACACCACTACCAACACCACTACCAACACCACTACCAGCACCACCACTACCTATACTTGCCAAGAGCAGGCGTCGCTTCAGTTGCCGTAGATAGGATGCTGAACACTTGAAGAATGGCCTTTAAGCAGGTCTGCTTAGTAAACTTCCTCATGCGAGGTCAGTAGAACCGGGATGGGACGTAATGAAGAGTCAGAACTGGATGTAATACTATAAGGGCTTGGGCGAGAAAGAGACGCAAGTTGGAGAAGGGACCATGTAATTAACTAATAGTTGCCCTTCTGGCTCAGGCCACCGGGCGTAATAGACTCTGTGTGTGTGTGTGTGTGTAACGTGTAATACGTATTTACTCTATAGTCTTGCACGCGAGCCAAAGGCTCCCATTGTATTGTACATAGCGTGGGAAGACTGACTTCCTACATTCGTATCTACCCCGGGCGTCTCCTGAATGTGCTGCGCTGGGTCCTTCAAGAGCGACCAGCACACCCGGGATTCTCCACCCCATCATACACGAAGGGTGACTCATATGGTACACTGTTCTTAGACGCTTACCCCAGGGGTGGATTAGCATTGCGCAACGGTTCTGACAGCCATTTTCGGATACGCACGTACATGACGCGACAAAATCCCTTCACATGCGCTACAGACACAGCGGATTCAGTAAGCCACAAGTGGAAATTCTCGGGCCGAAAATGGCTATCCCTCTTTCCCTCAGTTTTCTCTTTTGGCATTTTGTTGCCTCATTGACTGGCTCCAGACTCACCTGTCTCATGGTGTTTCAGGGTTAGATCTGGCTGTCCTCTTCCTAGCAAACGTCTCTCTGTGGCGCTAGGTTGCCTACGCTTTAGGAACTACGATATGACTAAAGTTGCTTCGATACCAAGGAGCACAGCATAATACCCGAGTGACTGCAATGACTTACTGTATAGTCTACAGTAGCTTTCATCTCAACAGAGCCTGGAACGACACTATCCATGAAAATGCTCCAGCATCTGCCAACAGAGGTGGTAGCGTCGGTAGTCTTGCAAGTAATTTACCCCCGCTATTGTTGGCTTTTCTCGGAGCCCATGCTGATGGAAATAGCTAAGCGACAAGCGGGATCTAAAGAGCTTATGCGAAGTCTCGAAATACTTCTACGATTTGACAGCGCCATTTTTATATGGCGTGCATGAAGTGGTGGTCCAAACCTCGGAGCAAGGTGTGAATCAGGCGCAGGCTGACCCGGTCCTCGTGGTATGCGAGCGACCGCTGAAGCTCTTGGAGCGTGTGACGAAGTTGCGCGTGGCTGCTGCCGTTTCTAGGAAAAGACGTACCTATAACAGGCACGAAGAGTCAGACGAGCAAAACGAAGCTGCGCTCGAGAGGCTCGATGATGAGATAGCTTCTATTGCGCGGCACTTCAAGGACGAAAAACTTCGTCATTTCACGTAAGTTATCAAGATTCAGATGCTGCGAATTGCTCACGCCGGTTGTAGGTGGGATGCAGGGAGTCATGTCCCGGCTCTTCTCCTCGGACAAGACGGTTATCTGCCCAACCACCAAAAACGCATCGAATATCTTGGACTTGTGACGACTAGTAACGAGCATCCGCCCCCAAGGCGCGCATTCCTAGCTTTGAACGAGTTTAAATTTTTGAAAGCCATTTCTTGGATCGGATTCGGCTCGGCAAATGACTTCAAGGTGCTTGACTCGGCGCTGAGGTTAAATGCCCACCATCTCAACAGCTTGGAACTCGACTTAAATTGGATCGCTCATAGCGGCTGGGGTGCAGATGCGGATTCAGCCTGGTTCAAGTCTGCATGGCGGACTTTAACCCTTGCTAGTGAGGCCAACTTTCCGCGGCTGGCACACCTGTCCTTGTCGCGACTTGACCTGACGCACTGGGATCTATACCAACCCAAGGGACGCAATCGGTACGGCCTCGATGGAAGGTGGCCGCGTACACTCGATCAATTACCTCTCGAGTCGTTGGTGCTCAGACAATGCCAGGGCTTGACATCATTTTTGGCCGCGTTGGTATTATCGTCTTGTCTATCTGGCCTTCGCTCGCTGGAAATTGTTGAACCACCAGCCTGGGGGCATTATGATTACGAGGATTGTGACTTGGTCGAGTACTGTCTCGAAGAACTGCATGGGCTTGAAAATCTCTATCTCTCCATCCCGGATTCTTCGTCTGTCAGTTGGATATGGGAAACTGCATCACGTATGTCCGGCCTTCGACGCTTCATCTTTCATGCAAGAGGCGTACACGACGATGAGGTCAGGGACACGAGTGACATGGCATTTCCACAAGACCTGAGCCGATATGATCTTGAGTGCTACTGCTACCCAGACACCGATGCTCCATTATTCGATGAAGAGTGCCCGAATTACATTGGTAGACTGGAGCTCGAATGCATAGGCGTATCGTGCCACACCCGACATCTGGTAAAGTCTTGTCCTTTGGCGTTCCAAAAATTCCGAAAGCATCTAACTCGAGTGTAGAAAATCGTCGTAGAGCCGTTTTGTCAAAAGAACTGCCTGAAGATATTACACGTTCGACAGTCAGGGCGGGATATTGAGGAGTTCGGCTCTTGGGTCCTCGAGAAAATGCAGTCGACAGAGGAAGATGCGGGCTCAATCGCTCCAAACGCACTCGGCTGCGTCTCTCAGTCACCGGTCACGAACGGTCGCGGTAGCGGCTCGACATGCTTGAGCGATGACTTCCATGGTTTTGCAGACTGGGCGTTTGGCGCTAGTGGGATTCCTTCTCTCCGCATTCTAGCGTACGGAGACTTCTCATGTTCTGGACGGTTCGAAGCTCACTCCTTTTTCTTGTGTCGGGCACGTCTGGAGGATAGCGAAGTTCGCTATCGTTTTTACGATCCGAAATTAGAGCGGGATCCAGAGCTCGAGGATCTTCTGAGCCAACACGACGGGTTTCTCCAGGCGTGTCCAACAAGCCACCCCTAGGGTTTGTGATGATGACCAAGTCAAAGAGAGCTCTGCCGGGCCATTAGCGAACCTCTGGATTGAGACGGTTAAAAAGTGATGTGCAGATAACAAGTGGCAGGAGCAGTCTGACGCTATGGATTTCGGGCAAGCGGCGACTCTGGCCACCTGACGACCCTCCTCACGGTAACTGCACCATAATCTTCTGATGCGCAGAGGCTAACTTGGGCAGCATCCGTGTGGCAGCATCCTTGGAGGACAGGTAATGTGAAAGACTTGGTCGCACTTGCGCTCTGTGAAGGAACGTGAATGCGGATGTCAGGCGGGCCTGTGGAATCGGAAGGGAAGCGTGACGGCTCTCCTTGAACGCCTTGGAGGGTCTCGACACGAATTAATAGGGAGGAGACAGGGGAGGGTCGAGATCGGAGCATCTGCATCCAAGCACGAGCCGAGCTGCTGCCTGAGATCTTACAGCTCTTACCTCACAAGGTAGTATCGCGAATCAATTACGTTTCTAGCTAGAGAGCCTTGGTAATAGAGTTCATGGTGCACGGTTGAGCAACAAGATGACCATGCTTCGGTGTCCTCGCTGTATGGTGAGTGCGGTTGCGATGCAAGTTGACAGGGACGCTGTCGGTCAGTGGCGTGGTAGCTAGTACTAAGATATGCGCATGTGGATAAACATATCGCCATGCGTGTGTCTGTCTAGTGCACAATGGCCGTTGCAAAGCCATGAGAATCCAGTCCGTAGTAAAGTTTGGCTGCGTAAAGAACCCCTTTGACATCCAATCCACCGCAGAGTCTGAACGCTGTGCTCGGGAATACAATTCGACAGAATGTCCATTGCGACAATTTGTCGGCATAAGGGAGACAGGTAAAGGGCCAAGAGCCTGTGTCATGACGACCGGATGATATCTACAAGTTGATTGAAGCCCATAGTTTGCGAAATCTACATGTGCTGCCCGAACTGGCAACACCAATTAGTGCACTTCGATCCGCGCGGCAAAAAATTCTGATTCGGGAGCCTGGCTGCTTTGGGAGATTCACTTGCAGATCACCAAGCGGAGGTCATCACAAAAAAGGTGGCGCAGGCGGGTGGCTGTTGAAGACGTTCTCACGTACGTCATGCTTAGTCACTCACAATGAACATCGGGATACTGTGCGTAGTCAAAACAAAACACTGTGACTTTGCCAAATGGGGTGGCTTCAATTTTGGCCGCCGCTGCGGGCGTGCGGGTGTGTGTGCAGAAAATACTTTTGGTATACGCATGGACTACGTCCACAAACGTCGTCCATCACGTTTTCCGGGACCGTTGTGGACCATACCGATGTACTGACAAAGTCCCGATGGAGCTCACCAGAAACGGACACTGTTGGGGGTGTGCGGGTTGTGTCTAAAAAGTACGTTTTCCGGGACCATTGTGGACAATGCCTCACCAGAAATGGACACCAAACTTCGACATCACATTAGACCACCAAAGAGCAAAGGTGAAAGGAGACATTTGTGCCGTTGTTCTTGCATGAGATTCCAATAATGACTTTCGTGAAATGGCTGTTTGAGGCCACTGCCAATGGCCGCATCTGCTGCATGAAATAGACCCGATTCGTGGCAGTTTAGGTGAGTGATTCCTCACCCGACGGACAGAGTCTGGGAGAATAGGTGTCGATGCCCTTTGCCGCACGGTGGTTAGAAGTCGTGGGAGGGGACCTGCCGCGGCGTAGCACTGTGGCGCATCTTTCCCGTTGCGTACGATCTGTGGCGCTCGATGACGTTATTGCCGAAGCTCTGCGGCTAAACGAGTGCAGGACGCTAATGCCGGCAACTGGACCATGCTGGGTAGTTGGATGGGAAGAGTGAAGCACTCGTTAAGACGGTCGCAATCAATCATTTTTCAGTTTGTTCTCTTTTACACGGCTAGACAACATCCAATTTTATGACGAGCCGTCTTGTGCACCAGCGGATGTTTTCGCTATCCCAATGTGTCGGCTGTTCCCAGCCAGCGCTACTAATAGTCCAGACCATTTGGACTATTAGTCCAGACTGCAGATCAGGGAAGGGAATACGGACGCCCAGTGTGGACGCTAAGTACGCTAGGTTGTTGGCATGACGTCACAAAACCAGGGTACCCATGATTGTTGCTGTGCCAACCATTTTGTTTTGGATAATTCTGAACGATTTACTGGTGCTATCCAGATCAACACGGCTCGTTTCAAGGGACGCGCCATCCTAGTCGTCAATCCACGAACGCCCGTCGTGGATTGATTATTGATCTTGGATTGCAGTCTGGACTAATAGTCTAAACGGTCTGGACTATTAGGAGCGCTGTTCCCAGCTCGGATGGCCCAACCTCTGGTGAGTTAGTGAGTAGACGACCCCTGCCTACCCCCAATTGCGCAGACAAACCCAACAGTACACACACACACACACAATTTATTACGCCCGGTGGCTTACAACCAATAGGGCACTAGTTGCTATTATACATATCCGTTTCCCAAGCTTTGTCATAATCTCGTAAAAGCCCATGCAGCGTCCAATTTCTGCTAATGCATCTTCGTTTTCAATCTTTCCGCGGGTCTCGTGGGGTTTGTATTATTAGCAAGCGAACTTGAAGGCTATTCTCCAAGTGTTCAGAGTCCTATCTACGGTGGCTGAAGCGGTGCCTGCTGTCCATGGCACGAGGTGTTTGATGTAGGGTGGGTTAGTAAGAAAGGGTAGGTAAGGTTTTGCAATCTGTCTTCAACGTTGCGTGTTGTCGAGTCGCCCTGTGGCTATCGCAAATCGTACAGTCGCGCGGACTGCGTCCATATTTGGCGTCCATTTTGTGTCGTCTGACGGTGATTTGCCTCCTAGGAAGAACGAGAGATTTCCTCTTTGTGTCTCGGTGCACTGCAACATTTCGGCTCGCTGTGCTATCCATTTCCTGCACCGGAAGAGAAAATGCTCAACCGTCTCTGTCGCTTGTCCACATGCGCATTGTGCTGATGCTGCTGCTCAAGTATTGATTTGTATTTTCAGAGAAAATAACTAGTAGAGGCGCAGCGCGTCTACCTACATAGACCCTCTACCTTGCATCCCCTTGGATCCTATTCCGCTCCTCGCGCGGGGCACTGCCGGTTCGCAAGTCAATACCAGTTTGCTCCTTAAGCCCACCTCCACAGCCAACCCAAAGCCCCATCCTCGATGGCCATCTTCAGGATCCTGTCCTCTCGGTAGACCGACACGCGCGTCCGTCCTCTCGGGCCATATAGAAAGTGTCGTAACTGCAGTCCGCCCACCCAGCCTTCCGTCGCTTCCATTATATGCCGCGCCCCGCAGATTGTCAGTTCTGTTTCGCGCTACCTCGCAAGATCTCTCTTGCAAGGCCGACCGTGTCTCGCAGGAGTTTGTCCACTTGCATCCTCTCTGTACCCAGAACAGCCGAGCAACGCAGTGTCGCCCCTCCTACTAACCAAGGTGCCTTGTCGTTCTCTGTGCGGGTTCAAGAGTGCCGTTCCTTCTCGTTCGTTTCGCCGTGACTACTTCCTATCGCTTATCCGGCGCGTCTTGGTGTCCTTACAACAGAGCAGCCCAAAAGCACCGCAAGGGTGTCCTCTTCCACGACCCATATGTTCATGGTTTGTAGGCTCGATTTCGCGGTCGCCGTTCGGGTGGTTTTTAAAGTGTTCCCTTGTTGCTTGTGGAGGGTGGGGCTCGTGAGCCCTGTCGCGCAACCACCGCCCAAACCAGCGGACAAATGCTGGTTGGTGATGACTCTTCTTAGCTCTGCGAATGCCTCGGAGACAAAAGGCATTCCCAGGTTCCCAGCTGGCACCGCGAGGAGGTGAGAGTCGTCGCCGGCCTTGTCTGCTCTAGCGGTGGAGGGTTGACAGCTAGATGCGGCGAAGATCTTGGGGATCCACTGACCACGCTGGTTACGGCATGCGACTCAATTGACGCGTCTCGTCCCCTGAGCATCCCAAGGGTGTCCTGCGGTAGTCCGAGGCCCACGTCATTGCAACCGTAAACAGCTTAGTGTTTCAATCTGGCCAATGAAATATGTTCCTGCGCCGCAAGGACTTGGCATGTGATCTCAGTGCTAGCTGAGGCGGAAGGCAATCTTCTTCTTTCGGCCCGGCACAAATATGAAGCTGAGAGCTTGTCAGCGTGAGTGGTGGACTTTTGATAGGTAAAGCCAAGAAACGAGGGTAGAGCAGGACGGCTAGTCCGTACACAGCTGCACCCTCCGCAGCACTGGGCCCAACTCGTGGAGAGATGTTTTCCCCTCGGTTTCTCCAGGCAACTCCACGCTGACTCGGCCCTCGATTCGTCCGCCGCCTGCTCAGCCGCATCGTTGACCTCAAGCATTTTCAATGCCAAAAATCTCATAATACCGATTTTATTGCTGTCGGAGTCTGGGCCTCCAAGGCAGGGTACGATTTGCTCGAAATCCACCATAGATATGACCGTCATCATCTATATAATTCACGATCCAGTTTCGTCCTATGAGTGCTGGCCAATCCCTTCTTTGCAGTTCTCTTGCTCGTTCCAGATATTCCTCCCTTGTGCGTGGTGGTGACTCTTCGCTGTACCGATTACTTTCAAGCCATACATGGACAATCTGGATGTTCCGGAAAGGTTCCATGATCTCTAGAGCTTGATCCAAATGACTCCAAATCCCCGTTTCGTCAATGATGACGTTTTTGAAATGGTCGAGCTGCCGGCCATAATATTGTCTTAACTCGCGTGCGGTTTCCATGGTGGCGTCAAAGTGAAGCCAAAGAATGTCAAGCTCGGGATGGAAAATTAGGTTTGAGGACGGTAAGCCAGGATGCTGCAGGCGAACATATCGGTGAAGGGCCATTTTATCAAGCTCGTTATGAATCGAAAGGCTGTTCTGGTCCGCTTCAAGAGGTGCGCCCTGCTCTTCACTCAAGTCTGCGACATCTTGCTGTAGAAATGTTGACAACCGGCATGATACACGAAAGTAATATGGATCGATAAGTCGACTTCTTCGGCACTCTAGACAATTTGGGGATTGACAACAGGCGATCTGGATAACTCGAGGCTCTCGGCTTGCTTGTCCCAATGACAAGCGAACCCCGAGAGCTCCGCGCCCTAAAGCTTCGCAATCAGCAAGCTACAGGCTATACTCAACGTCATCTCACCTTCGTTCTGGTTCATGAAGACGGGTTGGAATGGTACAAGACCATTAGACAGCTTCAAGGAGACCTCATACAGAAGTGCATTGCTTTTAGACAGATTGTCGAAGGTTGAAGTTCGCGTACGCTAATCGGTGGTGGCATCATGTGACAGGATGAACAGAACTTTCTCGAACGGCGACTGGTACATCTGCGCCTGGGCGCTGATTTAATTTCCCACGCCTGGGCGCAGAGTATTACTAAGAGTTCAGATCTGCGCTGTTCCATTGGCCCATTCGGCATGGCATCAAATTCGCATCGAGCGAATTTTGTTTGTTCGGACCACAGTGCGGGTCCCTGGACCCTTAAAAAGGACCCCTGGATGCGGTTTCTGGTGCCAGATATGGCGCATCCAATGGGAGCAATAACCTTTGACACGTCTCGGAACCGGCATCACATCTCAGGCCGAGCAGGTTCATGGGCCTTTAGCCAGGCCCTCCGACGATGCTGATGGTGCCAGAAAGAGCACACGCAGCCAAAGGCGGCCGATGATACATCCGCGGTGGATAACTTGGTGCCGAGCCCAGACTGTGTGAACGTCTGTCTGCGTTGTGTCATTCCTCAGGAGACGAGAGGGAGGTCAACCAGTCCAGCGACAGGTGCTGCTCAATGAGACACGGTGGCTTCAATCTGAACGGGCATCAAATTAGCGCCTGTCGGCCCCTGGCTCTCGCGCGGCGGTTCCTGGGCTAATCTTAACCCACTTGGGCTAATTTCGTCACAAGTTAGCGTCGAAATTCCTGTCGCGGAAATGAGCGACCTGATCTTGACAAGTTTCCTCCAACAGTAAGCGAAGGTCTCCGGAGCTTGACAGCACCTACTACGTTGTATTGTTGAGAAAGAGGAACGAAAATAGAACAAAGGCTGCTACACTGACTGTAGGCGACCTTGCCGGAAACCGCGTTTGGGTTGTAATTCTCGAAATCGTCTCCCTGCCGTTTCCTCTTCTTCCTGGATACCTTGAAAAGCTGCTTGTGTTTGAGCGTTGGAAGAATGGTGGCGCGGTCGAAGTCGACGAGCATGACGCGGCGGCGCTCGTCGTTCCAGAGCCGGTTGGCGTCGCGCTCGTCGCCGTGGTCGACGCCCTCGGCCCAGACGGCCTGCGAAGAACGCCGCACTTCCGCCGCTAGGTCCGTCGCGCCAGCGCCGGCACCCGCGGCCACCGTGTCCGCCGTCGTCTCCCCGCCCCACGACATCAGCATCATGTGGAAGACCCTGGCCCCGCCGGGGAGTATGTAGCCCCGCTCTAGCCGCGCGAGACCCAGAGCCTGTCGAGCCGCGCGTAGATACGGCTTTCGTGCTCTAGGCGATGGAGATGGCCCGACAGCGTCCCCTTGCCGGCAAATGTGTACCCGTGAGGAAACCTATCCCAGGCACTTACTGTTCGCTAACTCTGTATTAGGAGCAAGCTTATCCGTTGGCTATTAGAAGAACGCCAGCGAGCTTCCAGCAGTCCAGGACTATCCCAACCCTATCACCTACGTCCAGTCCAATGGCTAGCCAGCGAGACTCAGAGGAGGACGAAGATGACAAGCAAGATGAGAGAATGGAGAATAAAAGAACAAGAGGAGACATCGCCAACGCAGACCGCTGAAATAAGAGGCAGGAATAGCTCGTAAGTCTAGTGCCTCTAGTCAGTAAAACGCTTTGAATCTATTATATTTTGCTGTCTATGCTAGTATCCAAAATGCCGGGGCGCCCGCACAGTCCTCTTGCAAAAGTTTTAGGCTATTCTAAATCGAGTGAACTCTTAGGATACCGTACCATGAACCCTCATGGCATGGTTCTGTACATGCATCTTATGCTGTAGGTCTAGGTCACAAACCTCACACCGAGAGGGGGTATTATCAGGCAGCTGATCAAGATGCCTTCGGCGGAAGTGCTTCGACAGGTCACCGGAAGTGTAAAACTCATGGGTGAGCTCGCTCACACGAGGGTCGTTTGGTTCAAGAGAGAGTGCAGCACCGATGCACAGAAAACATCTCCTCGGCCTCTCTTTCTCGTTTTTGACGAATACAGAGAGCACGGCGATACCCACGGGGCTATCTTCCGATGGGCCACAATGAGAACTGGGCAGCGGCTCCTTCGCTGCCGAGACGTTGGTTCGACGTGCGGTACGGCCTTCTACCACGCTGCAGTAAGCGACGATGGCGTCGATGAGGTTGTCCCTGCGTCTATAATATCCTTCGAGAGTGTTATCGACTGCGGCGGTCAGCGCTTCAACTAGGCGCTTCTGTGCTGGACGCTGAGGGGGACAGGTTGCATCTACGGCCATGGGTTTGGAGAACCCGCGGCCCTGGAGTTGGGATTGGATATCATCCACAGCCTGCTCATCCGTCCAAGCGTCTTTGATTCGTTGCAATAGTTCCCTCTTGAGCCTCTGCTTCTCGTTCCTTAGCGTTCGAACGGTGTCCTGGCGTTTCTTCGATCCAGGTGGCAGCCGTCGGACCTGTTCCGTTAGCTTCCTGATGCGAGGGTATGTGCTGACAGATGCAGCTTGCTCTGCCGTCAAATCGGTCGGCCGCCGCTTGCTGTTCGCATGACCGATGCTACAAGCCTGCTTCAGCAGCGCCTGTTGCGGTCTCTGGCCCCGGATGATCGCCCAGGTATCTAGGCGTAGTTGGCGTCCGAGGTAATGCTTCTGGAACGGAACTGAACTGTCGTGGTCGAGCGCTAAGTTGCGGATAGCATCGCTAGCATAGGCTGCAGAGGGGTCAGCTTGGGTAGCAGTTAACAGGTAATAGTGAAACTTACGGCTTCCGTCGAGCTCGTTGCCAGCGTTATAGCGCAGGCTATAGCAGATGGTAGTATACAGTCGGCCTAATATTTCTCCAATTCTCTTAATCCATGCCGCCATCATGCCATACGTGATGGGTTCTGTTAGTGACATCTCGAAGCCGGTAGCGGTTTTGACGGCTAGGCGGAACAAGGGTACGTCATCCAAATCATCTCGGAGTGGCAAACGCAACTCCCGGTCGTCAGGGTGGATGTCCAAGTTGTCCAGCTGCACAGCTGAGACGAGGTAAGATGCCAGAAAGGCTCGATGCCGGAACAAGATGCCCAAGAGGAAGGCATGGGGGCTAAGAAGTAAGGTTGGATCGAAAATTGTCTCGGGGACAGTAAATGTCTTGCTGTTACAGGTCAACATCGTCTGTATCAAGGTAGACCAGTCCGTCAGATAGATATCACCTACGCGTCCTTGGTACCGAGGTACGTCTTGGTAAACTCCGGCGTGAACTGGATAAGAATGTTGTGGGGTCCTCCTTCAGGGTCTCTTGCCAATACAACTCGAATGTCTCTAAACCGGAGCCGCAAGATGGCCAAGGGACGAGCACCGGCAGGAGCAAGTAGGAGAAGGAATAAAACCGCAAGAATCCGGAGCTCTCCGAGATCAAACGACTTTCTCGTCGTGCTCACCGTTGTTTCAATTTGCTCCTTGAGGTCATCGATTGTCATGCAGCGGTTCTCCCTCTTCTTTGTGCTCAAGTCATGATCCTTTGCCAGCTTTCGAAGGACCTGCGGTCGTTAGAGAAGAAGAATGGGCTGTAGTGGGCTCGGAGACATACCCTATGCATCTGACGATTCATTTTCGGGTCGAGCTTTGCACCTACGACCCTCTCGTATACAAGTCGGAAGACCTTCCAGGTTGTACCCAGTGCGCTGCTTGTTTTGATGCCCTTCATCTTCCTATCATCCTTGCCAGCCTTCAGGTCTAGGCGCCATGTGAAGAAGCTTGCGAGTATACCGATGGAAATGGATTGGAGGCACTCATGGGGATTGCCAAATTTGTTCTTGTTGCAAAAGCTAGAGTTGTGTACAGTATCATTAGCGAGAGCCAAGGTAGATGGATTTCTGGGACGTTACAGCTGCCAGTGTTCCTCAACCGCGTTGAGGAGTTTCTCGGTCCCAGGACTGTAGTCTTGACCGTCAAGAGCACCCTCATTGACCTCTGCCGCTATCCGATGGTAATACTCTGGCGGGTGGACGTTGTCAAGGAGCTGAGTAAGATCATCGACGTCAACATGGTCGTCAACATCATCGAAGGGGTTGATCTCGGTGATGTCGGTCTCTGCGTCAGACACTTCATCTTCGTTCACGTCAAAGACTTCGTCATCCTCGGGCGAGAACGATGCGTCTGAATCGTCGGCATCGCCAAACAAACGCTGGCGGCGCCGCATGCTAAGGAGGGTTCGAAGATGTAGATAAGAGGATCTTGGATCGTGGAGACGATGCGAGTAGCGGCTGAGTGAAGCCGATGCTGCCTCGGTTTCTTAGAGAAAAGAAAGAGAGGGAAGGGAGGTGAGCACGCTGCCCTCCGCGGGAGCGGGGGCTACTCTTAATAGTCGAGGGAGCCATTTCTGGCTCTGTTGCTGACGGTAATACATTCTGGACGAGAGGCCCAATTCAGGGCACTGGCTCGGTGGAGCAAAATTATTTTGGGTGGTACATTGGGGGTACACTATGTACCAGCAACACCAATGTGGACCGAGTGTGCTAGCACTATAGATGTGCTGGCACAATCGTGCTATCCCGTGGGATTTACTAGCACAGGTGTGCTTGCAGCATTCGCACTGCTTTCAATTTACCTTAAAAATACCGTTCACTTAAGACCCCGAGCGCCTATGTTTCTGGAAATGTGAGATAAGATAATGTTTGAGTGCATGGTGACGTCTATGGCGGACTTTCCTAATTACTACTTAACAGCGAAGTGAATGTCGCATAAGTGTTCTTGCAGAACCGTTCGGCAAGCGACGCTCACTATAACACCCTAGAGTTAGACTGGGAGAAGCTGAGGGGACGTTAGCGGGGTCGTGTCTCCACTAATAAACCGGAGCAATGCTGGTCGAGGGGGACCTACCACGGTAATGGTAGTCGCCTTGATCTTCTCGACAAGCGTTAGCAGGTCCCGCTTGCTGTTCGATGATTCAGTGGACATTAAACAACAGTTCACGTCGGCACCGCGCATGGCCAGCTACCACTAAGAGGCCAGTCCATTTTTCGGTCGTCCGCCTGTCCATGTCAAAGCGGTGGCGAGCCCGACCTGCATCGCGGTGAGCATAACGGCGAGTTGCGTCTGAGCTAGCCAACAAGATGAACTTGTCGTGAACGAAGTCGCTGTACCGGTTCCAGTGCGGCAAGTACCCGCAGCAGGTTCTGCCGGAGACAGTAGATCTTGCTTAGCCGGTTCAGACGCAACTCGCCGTGGTGGAATCGCGGGTCGATGTGCGGGCAGATGAGCTCCGTATCCAGCTGCTCAACAAAGATCCTCCACCCAGGCCACGATATTTCCGGCGGGAGCAAGCGATTCTCCTTGGCGATGCGGAAGTCGCTCTGGTGGGATATCAACGCGGCGTAGGAGAACAGGAAGCCGAGCGCATGTTGCCGAATGTCTCGCCCGCGCTCCTGGGTGCATCCTTGGGCGTTGTCCTTGTCGCTGGAGCAACCGCACTCCCCTCCGCGAGAGGGATATTTCGTCCAGAACTAAGGCTCAAGCAGGAAGCGCGGGATGGGCTTGAGGAACATCCGGCCTGTTGTCCAGACGAGATGCATATCCATACGCTCCGTGATGACGATCTCCCGACCGAGGACGAGCTGGTGGTGCAGAGCACGCGGCGGCATAAGCCGCCCCGCGACCCGGAGCCAGCTGTGAATGCTGGCCAGCCGCTGCAGGTCGAGCTCCTTCTCGACGCAGGGCGTGACTTGACGACCAGCAGCAGCCAAGTCACCGGACTCTGTGCGGCACGACGCGGGCAAGAGCGACAGGAGCTGGTCGTGGTCGTGTCGCGACGCGTCGGCGCCGTGCTCGTTCTCACGCTCGAGGAGCCGGATGGATGGGGGACTCTGTTAGCAGAATTGTTAGCTTGGACGGGTCAGCGACGGAGAGCACGGGTGGCGAATGCCCGACACGGCGGCATTCCGGTTTCGCCTCCGTCTTGAGAATTGCCAGCCATCTCCGGGCTGCCGAGAAGCGGGTCCCTGAATTGACGCGACTAGAGGCTGCTGTCTGCGATGGATTGGACTCGATACGTTCAGAAAAATGACACGGCGCAAGCACTCGACCTGGTGTTCAACCGGATCACATTTGGCGCGATACGCGGGCGGGGAAGGCCCTTGGTCCACGAACCAGCAGTCAAACATGATTGGTGAAGCGCGTGTGATTCTGCTCTGTCGTGGCGCATGAGCCGACATCTATTGGGCGAGAGGTGCTCATTCAACTGCAAGTACGCGCTGGCGGTCGAGGAGGGGTGGCTTCGCCGGATCACTGATCACGCATTCCTGCCCGACTTTCCCTCTGCCGAACTCTGCCGAACTCTGCCCAGCAGCTTTGTTGTATGAGCAATGCCAATCCTATTCTTGTGGCTTCTTTCATAATCGTTGTGTTTCTCGGCGTTCACTCAATCATCGAGCATTGGCGACTTCTACCTAAACCCCGCGATTAGAGGGGTTAGCTGCGCTGCTGCCTTGGCCGTGGCGCTAGGGACCTTGGCAAAGACGTGGCCGCTGCCCCTGCCAGATTCCTTTCCTATTCCAAGTGCAGTGCTGACCATTTGACTCCAATGCGAAGTTGCGGCCCTCGAATACGGTCAACTGCCAGAAAGTCGTCAATTCGGGTTCGCCCTTCTGAGGATTACACCATAGAAAATGCTGAAGCGAAACAACCAAGGTGCTGCAACTCGTGCCACAAAGAGGAGGAAGCCAGCTTTTGATGATGCGAGAACACCAGCAGCCGACGCTCCTGGGCGAAAGGCAAATGATGACTACACCGTCGGGTGGATCTGCGCTATAAGGACGGAGTATGTTGCCGCACAAGAATTTCTCGACGAGGAGCACGAAGTACCGGAGTTTGTGTCACCAAACGATACCAACGACTACACATTGGGTAGACTTGGGAAGCATAACGTCGTCATCGCTGTGTTGCCCGATGGTGAATACGGAACGTCTTCCGCGGCCAGTGTAGCGACGAACATGCTGCACAGCTTCCCCAATATCAGAATAGGTTTAATGGTCGGCATTGGCGGCGGTGCACCAAGTGAGAAGCACGACATTCGTCTGGGCGACATTGTGATCAGCGCACCTCGTGACGGCGAGGGCGGGGTGTTCCAGTACGACTTTGGCAAGACGATCCAGGACCAGGCCTTTCAACACACGGGGTTTTTGAACCAGCCCCCGACAACTCTGCGAACTGCGTTGACGGGAATCCAGGCCAAGTACGAGAGGAAGGGGCATCAGCTTGAAGAGGCTATCAACGACGTTCTCGAGAAGAGTCCGAGGCTACAACGACAAGGATACAAGCGACCGCCGCCAGAAACTGATAGGCTATTTAAGGCCGAAGTTACTTGCGACTCGAGGGGCTGCGCAGCATTCTGTGCTAATGACCCATCAAATCTGGTACCGCGGCGCGAACGGACGAAACATGACGATAATCCGGCAATTCATTACGGCCTGATTGCTTCAGCAAACCAGTTGATGAAGGACGCTTTAGTTCGGGATAGGCTTGCAACGGAGAAGGACGTTCTGTGTTTTGAAATGGAAGCAGCAGGCCTGATGAATCACTTTCCGTGTCTTGTGATTCGCGGTATATGCGACTACTCGGACTCGCATAAAAACAAGGAGTGGCAAGGATATGCAGCAATGGCGGCGGCTGCCTATGCGAAAGATCTTTTATATCGGATCGCCCCAAACAAGGTTGAGGCTGAGAAGAAGATTGGCGATATTCTATCCGGTAATTCCAAGGTCTTAGAATAATACGATCAATACATGTTAATCCTATGTACAGGCCTCCATGAAGTTGCGGAAGAGCACCTGGACGTTGCAAAACGACACCATGAGGTTGCAGAAGAGAACCGCGACCTTACAAAAGAGCAGCTCCAGGCCCAGAAAGACCTCGCCAAGGAGAGACTGTCCAAAGACGAACAAAAAGAAAAAGAAAAAGAAAAACAAAAGTGTCACCAGCTGTTCCGCCTCACAACTGACGGCAGCGACGCCACGTACGAGTGGTACAAAGGCCGAGTGGAAGAAAGGGTTGAAGGTACCTGCCTGTGGTTACTCAAACACAAGCATTTCCAGAGCTGGTTGAAACAGGAGTCTGGGCCCTTGCTAGTCACGGCGGATCCTGGCTGTGGAAAGTCGGTGTTGGCCAAGTACCTGATCGACCATGGCCTGCCACGATCGACAACCATCTGCTACTTCTTCTTCAAAGACCAAGACCAGAGCACTGTCCGGCAAGCACTTTGCGCACTGCTTCACCAACTCTTCTCTCAGAAGCCGTCTCTGATCGAGCATGCCTTGCCACAATTCCGCAAGGATGGGCAAGGATTGATCAACTCTACAGAATCGCTGTGGGAGATTCTACGGAACGCTATAAAAGATCCCCAAGCAGGACCCGTAATCATGGTCCTTGATGCCCTGGACGAATGTGCCGAATCGGAGTTTGCGGACCTGATGCGGAATGTGAGGAGCCAATCCCGTGGCCAACAGTTGGGCCATGGCAAGTTGAAGTATCTTCTAACGTGCCGCCCGTACGAGCAGATCGTGTCCGAGTTCCACGGCCTATTGGGCGCTTTTCCAAATATCCGTATACCAGGAGAGGAAGAGTCGGAAGCCATCAGTAAGGAGGTGAATCGCGTCATTACGCACCGGGTCAATCAGCTGTCGGAGAAGAAGCGCCTCTCGCCCCAAACTGAGAGCCACCTGGAGAAAAGACTACAGGAGACTACCCACCGCACTTATCTCTGGGTATACCTTGTATTTGACTACTTAGAGAAAGAAGACTTTAAAAAGACACCAAAGGGAGTTGAGTCCTCCATTGCAACACTTCCGAGGAGTATCAATGAGGCATATGATCGAATTCTTAGCAAGTCTAAGGAAGACCCGATAGTTCGAAAGGCCTTGAGTATCATCTTGGCCGCGAGTCGACCGCTAACACTCTCGGAAATGAACATTGCCATGAATATAGACAACACATCACAGTCTTTTCACGACCTCGACCTGGAGAAAGAAATGGACTTCAAGTTAAATCTCAGATCTTGGTGTGGATTGTTCGTCTCAACCCATCACGGCAAGATTTATTTCCTTCATCAAACTGCTCGCGAGTTTCTCCTCGCAGATTTGGCGTCGCCTGCAACTGTTCCGTCAGAGCTACACTGGCATCACTCCATCACTACCCGCCACGCACACGCCGTTCTTGCAGAGCTCTGCGTGCGTTATCTGAACTTCTTTAACTCCGACGTTAGCCTTCCGACAGATGCGAATGTAGAAGCCGGCCACTCCGTCGATAGCCACGCCTTCTTAGATTACTCGGCCAAAACTTGGGGCGCTCACTTCCGCGAGGCCGATATCATCGATGACGCTGCCCTTGTACCTCCCGCTCTGAGAATTTGTGATCCAGATTCGAAGAGCTACTCGGCATGGTTTAGAATCTATTGGAAGACTATAGATAGGTGGACTATCCCGTATTTTACGGATCTTATGGTACCGTCGTATTTTGGACATAATGCCGTTGTCAAGCTGCTGCTCGACAAGGGCGCTGACGTCGAGGCGAAGGACAAGAACAACAGGTACGGTGGGACGCCGCTTTGGTGGGCCGCCCAGAACGGGCACGCGGCCGTCGTCAAGCTGCTGCTCGGCAAGGGCGCCGACGTCGAGGCGAAGGACAAGAACAACAGGTACGGTGGGACGCCGCTTTGGTGGGCCGCCCAGAACGGGCACGAGGCCGTCGTCAAGCTGCTGCTCGAGAAGGGCGCCGACGTCGAGGCCAAGGATAGGGTTGATGGTCGGACGCCGCTTTGGTGGGCCGCCCAGAGCGGGCACAAGGCCATCGTCAAGCTGCTGCTCGACAAGGGCGCCGACGTCGAGGCCAAGGGCGACAGGTATGGTGGGACGCCGCTATCGCTGGCCGCCCAGAACGGGCACGAGGCCGTCGTCAAGCTGCTGCTCGACAAGGGCGCCGACGTCGAGGCCAAGGGCGACAGGTATGGTGGGACGCCGCTATCGCAGGCCGCCCAGAACGGGCACGAGGCCGTCGTCAAGCTGCTGCTCGAGAAGGGCGCCGACGCCGAGGCCAATGATAAGTATGGCCAGACGCCACTATGGCGGGCCGCTCAGAACGGGCACGAGGCTATCGTCGAGCTGCTGCTCGACAAGGGCGCCGAGGTCGACTCGAGGGAGTATGGTGGTCAGACGCCGCTGTCGCTGGCCGCCCACAACGGGCACGCGGCCGTCGTCAAGCTGCTGCTCGACAAGGGCGCCGACGTCGAGGCCAAGGACGGGCAGTATGGTGGGACGCCGCTGTGGCTGGCCGCCCACAACGGGCACGAGGCCGTCGTCAAGCTGCTGCTCGAGAAGGGCGCCGACGTCGAGGCCAAGGATAAGTATTATGGTGGGGCGCCGCTTTCGCTGGCCGCCCAGAACGGGCACGAGACCGTCGTCAAGCTGCTGCTCGACAAGGGCGCCGACGTCGAGGCCAAGGATGAGGAGTATGGTCAGACGCCGCTTTCGCGGGCCGTCGAGAACGGGCACGAGGCCGTCGTCAAGCTGCTGAGAGAGAAGGGCGCCGACGCCGCTTTCGCGGGCCGCCGGGAACGGGCACGAGGCGGTGGCGCGGCTGCTGAGATAACACGTTAACCACCACCCCGCCCACCTCCTGCTCCCCGCCCTCGCCCTGCTCCCCGCCCTCGCCCTCCTCCTGCTCCCCGCCCTCGCTTATATACCTCGGAAGTGGCAAATCAATGCTAGACAAATGGAAGAATTGTTATTAGTCAACGTTTCTCGAATGCTGGAACTACTCTGCTAGATTCTAGTGACAGCCTCCGATTCTAACTGGATTGATGCTCACGGCCACTGAATATGAGGAATCGGAAGACGCTCTGCCCAAACTACACGTGTTGCGCATCGGCACATGTCGACTGAGCTGTTCTGACGTATCGAATGCGCTGCAGTAGTGATGGATTGTTTCTCTAGGTGGCAAATCGACGCCGAAACTACAGGCGACATGATATTACGAGGAGATGTGCGCATGCTGCCGCAACCGACGAGGCATTGCCAAACGTGTGACATCTCAGGTAATAGGATGGCGACTTGGTTCTTGTAGGTGCTGCTCCAAGACGGCCTCGGACACGAAATCTTCCACTCCTTGACATGGGGTATGAGGAGCATCACGATATGCTGAACAGCAAGAACAATCTTGCCTATACTTGGAAGCATCAAGGCGTTCTGGAGACGTGCTGGCTCTGATGAGGAAGTGCGTTCTTCATCGACAACGACTGCTTGGCCCAGGCCATCCATACACGACACAATCATTAGCAACTTTAGGTGAGTGGCCGGAATTGGCCACGCGAGTTTAAGGAATGTCAGCTTTAATTCTAGCTCATCTCATCTAAAACAAGCAATAATTTGATGCTCAAACAAGTCTATACTAATGACCGAGGGAATAATGAAGTCAGATATTGAACCGTCTATACTAAAACCTTAAACGAAGACCGCCCATGATACACTTGTTGAGTGCAGCCAAGGTGCACAGTCATGTCCTCCACTAGTGGCAAGGACCTCAAGTGAAGCGTTAAGGCACGGTTCCGTGTACTCGCAGAGCATGGTTCTTGAGGTGCATTTTGTGGTCAAGTGACATGTCGCAAACATGGCACTGGATCTTGTCGCCGTCCCGCAGATTCGACAAGTGTTTGCGTCGAAGGTGCTTAGTCAAGTCACCAGAAGTGTAGAACTCGTGGATGAGATCCTGGACAGCTCCATCATCGCCCGCTAAGGTGAGTGCCTTGCCGACACATATGAAGCATCTTCTCGGTCTCTCCTGCTTTGTCTTGACGAAGACTGACATCAGCGCCACATGCAGACAGCTCTCGGCTGGAGGCTCGCCAATGGCGGCACGCCTGCTGGGGTATGCTGACGATGTGTTTGTGCGGCGGACGGTTGGCCCTTCTTCGACGACGCAATACGCACTGACCGCGTTGATAGCGTTGTCTCTCCGCCGAAACTGGCCTTCGAGCGTGTCGCTAAGGGGAGCGGTGAGTGCTTCCACCAGTCGCTTTTGAGCCGGTCGCTGAGGTCGAGAGGACGTGTCCACGGCCGCCTGCTTAGCGAATCCAATACCTTGCAATTGTCGCTCAATATCGTCAACCGCCTGCTCAGCAGTCCATTCGTCTCGGATCTGCTGCTTGAGTGCCCTCTTTAGGTTCTGTTTCTCGTTTCTCAGCTTGCGGCGGGCCTCTTTGTAATTTTCCGACCCTTGACGTAGCCCTCGAAGGTCTCGCTCCAATCGCTTGATCAGAGGATGAGTGTTCACCGATGCTAGGGTAGGGAGATGCTGGCGTGGCCTGAGATTCACCAGCGGTTCAGTGTGGCCTATCCGGGGCGGTCTGTCGAGAGTCTACAGGTTCATTACTCTACAAAGCTCAAGCATCGTACGAGATCCTAGCACACCTTTGGTAGATGTCAAATATATCCGGAGCTCGTTTAAAATAGGGCCCTACAGCTTGATGGAGTCCAGGGCCGCGGAGGATGGCCTTTGGAGGATTGGGGCCGAGTTTACGCAGTTGTTGCCAGGACGGAATGTGGGAATCCTTCAGGTGCACTTTCATACTGAGTTAAGGAGGAAGTAGGAACGATCTCCTCGAAATGCCCAAGTGCCTAATGTGAGCTCACCACAGCCTGACAGTGACCTGGAAGTAATTCCTTTTAATCATCTGTTGGATACCGTACGGTCAATTCGATCACAGGGATAGTGTTCAATAGAGGGTGGATCCCAAATCTGATGATTGTCTTGATCTAGGATGCCTCCGGCCCCCTCTTTTCTTGTGAGGGGTTTTTATGCATCCGGATATTGATATATTAGAGGATTATGTAGATCCCGCTTAGTATGCCGCCACACGAGGTCTCAATCCAACATCATCTTGACTTAACACACAGGGATGATCTACCGTCCATAAGAATACGGGGGGGCATCTGCTCCTCTGAAGATATCCGTGTCCTTACTGATCTCTTTCTGCCTGTGCCGAATGCTCTCCAGGTAGCAACTCGAGGACGTCAAGACAGGTCGAGGCCAGTCTAGAGCGAGGAGGATGATCTAAGTGACCATTTTCTGAGGCAAACTTAAGCGGCGTCCATCCTAGTTCGTCTGTAACCGCAACGTCAGCTCCCTTTTCTAGAAGCACTTTGACCACCTCTAGGTGTCTTTTGCCTGAGGCTAAGTGCCCCCTCTTCAAGCAAGTTGTGGCGATCCGGTCATGGCTGTCCCAGGCCGTGTCCGGCGATGCTGACACGTTCCACTTGGTCCGCGAGCGATGGGGAGTCCAGGAAGAACCGGTCGCAACGCGAGCGACCATCGTCAAGCTCTTCCAAGACCTTGTCCGGGCAGTTGCTGGATGGACGTTCATCTTGGATGGGCTGGACGAATGCACCTCGATGCATGAGAACCAGCGCGCTACCGGGGGCGAATCAGTGGAGAGGTTTCTGGAAACGATCAAGCAGGCGGTTGCAAACACAGCGACCCGGGTGATGATCGTCAGCCGCGACGAGCCAGAAATCCGCCAGGCTCTGACGGACGGGGCGGCCTGGACTTCTCCGAATATAGGATTTTGCCCGAAGACGTCCGAGCGGATACAGCGACATATTCTAGGAGTATCGTCGACAGGATGGGAAGTCGTTTGAGAGCCAGTGGAGATACAGGGGCCGAGTCCAGATCCAATCGCAGGTGTCGGTCGACCTCTTTTGGATTGAGTCGTCGTAGGTTTCGTTCAGGGAATGGTTGCACAGCAGCCAGGCATGCACCCCGCGATTCCGACGCCAAGTAAGCTATGCTCATTCCGGTTAATAGATAGTTCATCCAGGGTGATGGAGTGTGTAGCTTGCGTTCTGATGTGGGAGGTTGTGTTCGATTATAATTCGCGGGTATGGACTGAATCTTGAAAGATCACGTCGTTAACTTGATGCACACACGCTTTATAATGGGGCACATACGGTGAGTAAAATTTCGAGAGTTATGGTAGAAAACCAACGGGACCTTGTCTAGGTCTGCAGCGAGGGACAATCCAGTCTGCTTAGTCGCAGGGCCCTGTGCTAGCCACCATCGACAGTATCGTCTGGCTCATGTCGCACCAACGCGTGAGAACCAGCGCGGCACTTTATGCCAATCTCAGAGCACTCCAGGCAGATATCGAAGTTGCCGCCATCGCAAATTTCGCAAGAGTAGTACATGCAGCCAACCGGGATGCATAATGTACAGGCTTCACACCAACGTGAGTTCTGATCGAACGTTACCGGACTGCTCTTCATGACAGTGTCGTCGGCGCTGATTTGGGTGCCTGCCCTTTCGGCATGATGGAGGAGAAGATGGTGGAGTTCAGGGTTTCCACTCGCCTGGCCCACCAGATTAAAGTTCGGCCAAACCCATCTTGCGAATCAACACAGGCATCGTCGGCGGCGAGCAAAAACTCTACCGTCTTGGTATGGCCGTTTCTCGATGCGGCGAATAAAGGTGTCGTACCATACCAGTCCTTGACATTTGACGCGGAAGGACCGTTGGCAAGTAGTACTTGCACCACTTCATGATGTCCCTGCCTGGCGGCGACAAATAACGCTGTGCGACCTTGGCCGTCCTTGCTAGTGACTTCAATATCAGGGTGTTCGAGAAGCAGCTTGACCACTTCGACGTGTCCATTCGATGATGCTCGATGGAGCGGTGCCACTCTGTCCTTGGTCGCAACCTTAGCGTCGGCCCCCTTCTCGAGGAGCAGCTTGACCACTTCACTATGTCCATTCGATGATGCTGCATTCAATGGTGTCCATCTGTTGTTGCTTGGGACCGTGACGTCGGCCCCCTTGTCAAGGAGCAGCTTGACTACCTCGACGTGTCCACTATCAGAGGCTGAGTTCAGCGGCGTCCATCCATCCTCAGTCGCAACCGTGATGTCAGCCCCATTCTCGAGGAGCAGCTGAACCACCCACCTTCCCCTCAATTTATTTTTTCCTTGGCACTGGCTGTTAGTCGGCTGTTAAGGCAGGGGTCCGACAGCCTAGTCGTGCAGCAAAAAACGCACCTAAATCTTAGCTACGACCCATCTTTGCCCTAACAGAGAGGAAAAAATGCGCGTTTTTTGCTCCCGAGCTCGAAACCACCACCACCGACAATAAGATGCAACGACCAGTGAGGCTGCCTACTCGTGAGCCTGCACTGCAGGCAGCCTGGGAAGGCACTGGATTGGACCTGCGTCTACAACCACCTACGCTGTGCGAGCGCACGCTGCCCAGCAGATCCGCAAGCTCCTAAGGACCCTCACGACCTTACTACGACCGTCATGGCGACGAATGTCGACAGCGACCTAGCCTCTGGCCTTCGGGCCTGCTGGACTAGGGGCTTGGACCCTCAATCTCTAATAGCTGCTATCTCTGATAGTCTCTATCTGTGAGAGAGGGGGCAACAAGCTTGATCATATAACCGTACACGAGCTCAACCGGCGGAGCCACGGGAACGGATTGACAAACACCAGTCGCCGCTTGTACTCGCTGGTTTTTTATCCCTAGAGGGTTTTCCAATGAGGAGGCTTGATATGTGGGATTCTCATGAAGATGTGTATTTTGCTCTTGCCGTCGAGCCAATCGCGCGACCCAGCGGAGCCGGGTGAGCTCTGCCGGAGCTGGCTCACCCGCCCCACCCTTCAGGGTGAGCCAGGCATCCACGCAGGTCTTAGCGTGAGGCTTAGACGTAATCAATTTCTGCGATCGCGCATTGCCTCACTTGATTGGCTTCTCCGTCACGTCACGGTGGTTGCGTAATTTGAACGCGTGTTTTGAACGCGTCGCTTGCATTCTCGTCTAACACTTTATCTTTCCTCATCTTGAAAGGACATTTCCATAACCAGGACCATCGACTATTGACTTCTCTTGCATCCTAATTGACTACGATTCGATTGCTCACTGAGTGAAGGCATCTTTCGCCACGTCTTTTGTCAACTACCACAGAATGCTTATTGACCACAGCAGATGTAGACCCCGACAACGGCTCCAGCGATTGCGATACTCTGGTAGAGACACTCGAGCACGCACGCGATGTTCCTTGAGCTGCCGGAAGGCATCACTTCCGACGCACGCCACCCAACCGAGACGATGGAACCATGACGGTGCTTGCAGCTATTCCGCTTGCGGAGGACGACCAACAGTCTCTCCTCTCCGACCTTTCACGACCATTCACGACCAAGAGCTTTGTTCGATCCTGTTCCGCTTCACTTTACAAAATCCGCCATCATATTGTTCCTGTGCGAAAGGGCGCTCGACCGTCATTGAAGGTTTGGGCGGACATGCGTGGGCTTGCGCGCCCTCGACATCGTCGTCGATGTTGACGGCGGGAACAACGGAAAGATAACAGGTCGGGGTGGGGGGAATTAACATCACTGGCGCGGGTCTCTATCCGGTTGGGTCTGACTGGGTCGTGGACAAGCGACTGGCTGTTGAGCATCGGATTTGCTTCCGCGACCAAGGCCACCTGACACGTCATGGACTCGGAGGATGGCCGCAATGCGAGGGGATGACCCTTGAGGCGCTTTCGGCCAGTTCCTGGGCCGATCAACGTGGGGGCATAGAGAATGTGCTGAGGATAAAGCCACAGGTGAGCCAGCAAGAGCGAGGGGCGGCACGGGCATCGCGGGGTCCATTTCAGGCAGAGCGAAGCGCATCTAACGACGGCAGCAAGAGAACAGAACGCATTCAAGAATCGTCCGTCGCCATGCAGTCGTTGCACGGATCAAGTCCAACGCTCACATTGGACCCCTGGTCCTGCTCCTCGGTCTCAGGAGGTTGAGTCCAAAGACATCGACGCGGCGGACGAAGCCGAACTTAGTAAGCCAATGAAGAGACTACCGGCTAACGGAGCAACCGGTAGCCTCACATACGGCCGGCCTCGGCCACATCCATCCGTCCGTCGCCTTGCGTAGAATGAGAACGAACCTGACGCAAGGAGGCCACTTCTAATGGTTTGATGTGAGGTAAAAAGAGAATTCCTCGCCCACCTGTGTTTACTACCTGGTCTCAAAGAAACCTACGAGTGCTCGCATTATGTGGTCAAGTCTACGGAGTCCTAAGTAGCCTCAGAGCAGCGTCTTAGATTCAGGTGGTAGTGTTACTAACCTTCTACTTCGACGTATCGGACACTGCGAAGCCCCGACTGCGTAACCTCAGTGCGGCCTAGTCTCGAACGTCCTCTTTGCAGTTTTCCTTCCGATGGCCTGTCCCAATCGCACAGCTTCAAGGCGGACGTCGGATCGGGACAGGGCACCTGAAAGTGCGCACATGGACTCCTTTGGAACTCGCAGGAGAGCGACTTCCGGATGGCCAAGGAAAGCACCTGCATCCGGCCGAAGTAGCGTGGCCCGCCTGGAGGATCTTCGTCAGGTAGCTTAACACGGAGCACATCTACCCCAGACCACACACGATCCATCTACGGAGGGCTTCGTTTGAGCCGCCTGAGCAAGATATACCGTCTCTCGCACACCCGTTTCTGTGTGGCTATATCTATATGGCGCACTGGAAGAATCCAACTAAGTGAGCCTGGGTCAAGGTTAGCGTAAACCATTCCGCCAGAAGGATTGCACTTACGCCGGATTACAGTGTGGACAGGATGGGAACGGATTGGGCCCACCTGTGGGATCGGGGAAAAGGCAAGCGCTGGTACTTGAGGTGTTAAGGGACGAAGAGGAAACTGAAAACACATGGAGGCTACTTGTCCGCAATTCAAAGCTGAGCGCCTTAGAAGCATACGGGGTGTTATATCAGACCATTTTGAGAAGACGCTGCCATTCTTGATCAACCAGGAAGTTCAAAGTGTCAATGCTCAGCGGAGGCCAGGATGTTGCCGGCAAATTTCGGCGCAAACACTGAGAGACGTTTCCTGATCGAATATCCTGAGGCACTGCTCGTGACGCTGGGTAATTGCATATATCAATAGCAAAATCGGACCAACACTGAGGGAAACTAATCGACTTGAATTACTCATGGGTATCTCCAATATTCGGAATGACTTTACTTACGCAGTTTCCAGTAGGCCCCACTGGGGTGGGGTGGAGGTCAAGGCAACATAGTCGACGAAGGTTGAGCAATATGGACTTGCAGCAGCCGTACGACGGCCTCGTGCCCGTTCTCGGCGGCCCACCGCAGCGGCGTCCGGCCCATCTGGTCCACCGCCTCGGCGTGGGCGCCCCGGTCGAGGAGCAGCCGCACGACGGCCTCGTGCCCGTTCTCGGCGGCCCACAACAGCGGCGTCCGGCCCCACTGATCCGCCGCCTCGGCGTGGGCGCCCCGGTCGAGGAGCAGCCGCACGACGGCCTCGTGCCCGTTCTCGGCGGCCCACCGCAGCGGCGTCCGGCCCATCTGGTCCACCGCCTCGGCGTGGGCGCCCCGGTCGAGGAGCAGCCGCACGACGGCCTCGTGCCCGTTCACGGCGGCCCACAACAGCGGCGTCCGGCCGTTCCTATCCTTTGTGTCGATGTCGGCTTTGCCGGTCGCGAGCATCAGGATCCGCACGACGGCTTTGGGCCACTGAGCGACGTCGAATTTACCCGTCTTTAGCAGTAGTTGAACGACCACCTCATGCCCCCCCCCTGGCGGCCCACGACAGTGGCGTCTGGCCATTCGAATCTTTGGCGTCGATATTAATGCTAACTTGGTCTGCCCTGTTTAAAATGGCATACAACGCTCCTACCACTCCATACCTCGACATAACGTGTACAAGATTAGTCCCTTCTGGCGGACAGTCATCAGAATATCTCCCCAATATTCTGTAAATACACACCCATCGTTCTATAAGAGAGTTTGATGGCCATGCAAAATAGTCCAGAAGATCCTCTTGAGGGATACTTCTAGCATCACTTTGCTTCGTGTGCGCCACCCATGAGGTCGTGGCGTAATACAGGAAAGGAAACTTAGATCTTAAGCGGTAACACTCGTGACTTGCTGCCCGACCGATCTCCTCCATCGCCAAGTAGCGTATGCAGGTCCTAGAAAGCCGACGGTGTGCGACTCTAACTACAAGGTCGGTATTAGCGGACTTATCCAGAGCCAATAGGCCCTTATCGACGAAAAAATCCTTGACGGACTGGTGGATGAACTGGACAACATTCGTATCTGACATGACCTCGGCAAGGCCGTGGCTGAGTGCCTGAACTCGCCTCTTCATCCGGTCATCGTCGGATATGTAATCCCCTGCGCTCTGGCATTCGTACAATGACTGGTGTGGGCAATCGGCGTCGACAAGCATGGCCCATCGCAATTCGTCTCGTGACAAAGGCCGCGTGGCAAAGCAGATCCATTGGATGAGTTTTAGAGAGTCGGAGCCCATGTTTCGGATGAGTTCGCGGTATAAGTCATCCAGCTCCTGAGGGACTAAACGGATTTTGGCCTCAATCCCTGTTGGTCCGGCACCCTCTCGCTCGAGGACCAGAACTTGCTTCACCACAAGCCACGCCCACATGAAAACGCCATCGGCGCGGTTCGTGATCAATTCTGGAATCGTAGATGATGTTCGTCCACGGAACGAAGAGAGCTTGTCTTGCACGAAAGTCGATATATCTTCCCTGTTTTCTTTTTCTGTGCATATTTGGAGCGTACCATCTAGGTCTGGCAGAATCGGGTAGTGACGACAAGTGAAGCAGATGTGAATGTGCTTCAACCCGATGGACGGGAGCCTCTGGAGCAAGGACTTGAACTCCTCGACTAGCTTGACCGCAATCTTCTCGCCACATTCGTCCAGGGCGTCGATAAATAACCAGAATGGGCGAGTCTTCAAGACCTTCAGAAGCGACGACTCGAAGAAGCGCTGTAACTCACGCGGATGCCACTGCCACCCCTCACCCGGCTTGCCACGAGTTTCGCACTGTTGTTGAAAGTGGGCCACGAGGTCCGGCTGTGCGTCAGGGACCCGGCTGAGGAGCTGGTGAAGGAGCGCCCGGAAGAGGCCGAGCGGCGTCCTTTGGAGTTCAGTACCACGACCGTGGAAGAAGAATGAGAGGATCAAGGCTCTCTTTCCAGTGTTGGGTTTTTTCATGGCATTTTTCAGAGCGTATTGCAGCAATGTGGACTTCCCAGAACCGGGCTTCCCTTTGATCCAGAGCAGGGCTCGATCATGAGAAGCCCAGCTCGTGTACATTTCGTGTCGAAGTAGCCACTCACATGTTCCCTGTGCGGCGGTATCGATATCGTAGAACCGACTGTCCATTTCTAGAAAAGCCAGCGATATTAAGCATTCTTGTAAAGGATCGAAGTGTTCCTTTGTGCCTGGACGATATGGTGAGTTGAGAATCTCCATGCTGTCGAAAACGCCTGTTCTTACCAAAATACACAGGTCCAGAGAAATTAGCCCCAGTGAAGTGATTACCAGTGCCTGTGCTCTTGTTCACGGTGCCGCCAGGAGCGCTAAGTCGGTCCCCAGCGCCGTTGCCGATAACGGGTGTGCTCTGGGAGGAGGGCCCAGCGTGTTCCATCTCGCCTTGTAGCCCACCAGTCTGAGACCGCTCCTGTGGCGGAAATATCTCGTCTGTGGCTCTATCTATTGTCTAAGGCACGATAGACCCGTTGAAGAAGGCTGAGGACGACGGAAAGATAAGCGGAGTTGCACCAGGAGTATGATCTATCCGAGGGCTCACTACGGCCTGTAGGTCTGGCTGAAAGAAGAAACGCAGGGTGAGAACCAGACTACCAAAATCTCTTCATCTCCGCCGAGAAGGAGGCAGATACGCTAGCGGAGGCGAAGTCACCTGGAAACGGCGAGGACGATGAGGTCAGCCCGTCGGTTTACTCGTTGGCGGTCACCACGGGGAGGAGGCTGGGGGTGGCCAGCTGTCGCCAATAGGGCTTCGCGAAATCTGATGGCACAGCCGGATACTAAACGAGACGCAGGTCGTCTTGAGAAGATCAAAACGCGTACATGTAGAGGTTTCGCTCGCCAGCCAAAGAATAGTTTGATACATTTGGGAAGCGGGAAAGAACCTCTGGCGTCAGACTGGGCGTCAGACGAAGACGAGTCGCTCGAGGCCACGATAAATGCGCCAGCTGGTGCAGCGGGTGGACGGGGTCCGTTCCAGCTGAAACTAGATGTGCAGAATGGATTGGGCTCCGGCCTGCGCCCATTTTTCGCATCGGCATGTCCTGAGCCAATTCGGTGCTGCCACCCTGCAGCCACATCACACGTATAGCGAATTATCAAAGGTCAGCAGCCGCCGATAACTCTTTGGTGGCTGCAGGATTAGAGGGCGGTTGATCAAACAACATTTCTGAGACGTGAACCACCCAAGCAAATGAGAATCTAGATTGCGCATGCCCGATACTGCAGGGTGCCCGCACCCTTCCACAGACGGGTAGGAAGCCAGACGTATTTATTATTCAACGCTCTAAGCGCTCTGCCTTTCCCCTTCGCCAATCCTGTCGGTTCTGATATATTCCGTGACGTCGCCTTCTCGCAATATTCTTTGTAGGCTTCAAATACCTGACTCTTGGGAAGAAATATCGACAGCTAATAAGAGTCCCATACGATAGCAGCATCGAAGCATATTCACAGCCTGGATCTCGTCTTCCGTCCAAGGATGGCAGCCACCGTCACGGACTTGATCTCGAGCACGATCACCACTCTCAAGGCCGCCGAAAATCACTACAACGATGTCAAAGATGACAAGGATCTCCGAGAGGCTTTTCACGAAGCAAGTCGAGGGCTGCTCTTGGTCAGGAAGGCTCTCCAAACCGCCAAAACTCAACTAGGCGGACGCAATCTAGCCGGAGATCCCAAAGGCGCCATGGACTCACTGAAGGAGTGCAATAGCAACGCAGAGCTGTCCAAGAGCATATTCAACGCCGTCGCCCAGGCACCGGAGACTTGGAGGTTCGAGCGTTACCAAGAGGCCGTGAGACAAGAGGGCAAGGGAAGGACGGTGGAGGCTTTGATGATGGGGATGATGAATGGCGTATGTGCTCTGGCCGAGAACGATGCGATCAAAACAGAAATGGAAGACCAAGTCAAGGGATTGCGTGATGCGATCGAGAAGTTGTCAAAGATGGAGCCGTCCGTGCCCAAAGAGGGGCCCGACGGTGACACCTTTACCAACTTTGGCTCTGGCGACATGCTCAACGCTCCTCGCGGTACCGTGAACAAGAGCACAGGCAGTGGCAACCACTTCCCTGGGGCTACTTTCTCTGGATCTGTGACCTTTTAATAACAATCCGACTTGAGAAGGACTACGTTGGAAAACCCCTCGTACTACCGTAAGGTGGAAGCCTGGTTCGCATGTCATCCGTTGTTAGCTGGGTCTTGATGTCTAGGTAGTGCGAGCGGGCGTTATTGTGCGTTTGGTACCAAGGCTTGAGGACAGTCAGTTCCTCGACAGCGTTAGGGCTAAGGAAATGAATCAAACGAAGAATCGCAAGGTAATGTGATATATTACGCATATGCCTTGGATTTGATTTGCAGCCTCCTTGATCGACCTCTGCCCAGATATCTTCAGGCACCTGCTCTCGAGAACCCCGCTCGCGGATACCTTAGCCAAACTGCACAGTCCCAGAGAAAGTAGCCCCAGGGAATTGGTTACCAATGCCTTTGCTGATGTTCTGAGTACCGCTGGGAGCGTTGAATTGGTCGCCGGGCCCATAGTTGTTGAAGGACGAGTTGACTGGCTTTTTTATCCGTGCTCCTTCTATAGATCGTGTTGGTTGACTGGCAGCTGAATTCCTGATTTGTGATTCCCATCTGATCAGCTCGCCAAGTAGTCTTTTGAATCCGTTGTCGTCCACGGAGCTAAACTTGACCATGTTGCTATGGTTGGCGTGGATGCTGATCGCATTGTAACTTTCAAGGGTAGCCGAGTCTTTGGAGACGACTTTTCCGACACCAGGCAAGGGCAGTTCTTCAAAGAAGCACGTAACCTCGAGATCCCGGCCGGCCTTCTGCTGTTCCCGTACCATAGACCAAAACCGATCTTGAACGGACTGCAGGTACTTGTCGTCTGTCTCCAAAATATTTAATAACGACTTATTGATGGACTTGACGATCCCAAGGGCCGAAGCCGGTATCTTGGCCCAGTCGGCCATCCAGGATCCCCTGTGAGGAGTGCCCAGGAATACGATGCCCTTGGTGCAGTCGAATATGCCCCGGAGATGTGGTTCGGGGTTGTTTCGGGAGAGAAGAACGGCTTCCTTGCAGACGAGGCCGCCTAGGCTGTGGGCGACAAAGACTAGCGGTCGAGAGGACGCATTGGAACAGGCTCTGTCGGTCGCCAGGTCGTTCAAGAGGTTCGTGGCATGGTCGATTAGCCCATTTGTCGATGCGACCGATTTCCGCACGATGTAGGCGTCGTAGCCGTATGTGAGTACGCGAGCCCGGCTGAGCTTGGGTGGCAGGAGCGTCTCGGGCCAGGGCTTGGACTGCCCATGAGCGGTCCAGGTGCTGTCCCGATTGCCAGTCAAACCGTGGACAAAGCAGATGTCAATCGTGGCGTCGCGGCAATCGTGCAGAACTTCAACTCCGTCCGGGAAGGAGGGACCTAGAGTGCTCTGAAAGGGTGACCCGAGGTCTGTCTCGTGACGCGGTGGAGGACTGGGCGGGTCGTGGCCGCGGCTTGTCTCCTGCTGTTGATGAATTTCCGGTGAATTGTCGCCAGTCCGATGCTGCTTCCGCCATGGAAATTTCGCTCGCAACCTCCTCATCAGCGATGCGTTGTAGAATCGATAGGAAAGGGAGCTCGGGTCGGCGGAGATCATCACAATTGTGCGTGACGCATTCTCCGAAGAAGAGTGGCGGCTCTGAGAAAATGAGAAGTTGCGAGGGAGGAAAGCAGGGAATGCCAGCTGAATATCACAGTCATTTCTCGCAGGCTGCAGCGGCTGCTGCGCCGCAACCAAATTTCTTTGTTGTGGCTGTCGCCCTACAGCCTCCTCTTCACCCTGGTTTTTTCGTCTGCGATTTGTGATCGTTTTCGGTTGTTGTACGATAAGCGGGAGGGAGAACGACGGTGTCCAGTGCACCTGTTCGAGCCTTGACTTGCAGTACGGCATGACTCCCGACCCCTGATCGTGCCGTCCATGCGTTCCGAGGTCGTTGAAGCTCGATGGCCCCAGGGTGGCGGGACGCGAATCGGGCATTTCGCTTAGAAGACAAGCCTGCGCGATGACTCCTTGCCCCACGACAGGACATCAATCCCTGGCATCTGTCTTGTACTTTGCCTAGGCGGGGAGATAAATTGGAGTGACTGCGCCTAGGTTTCCCAGACGACCGGCCGTCTCCGTGTTGGTCGCGAAGTCCAAGTAAGTCTTGTTAGCTCAGGCCAACAATGCCCTGTGGCCGACGCTGGCATTTCGATGATCAAAAGGGTGGCCAATCGCCGAGCGGAGCTGAACGGGTTATCAAAACCATAAGCAACACCATCCCGAATACCCTGGGCCAAGAAGCGCACCTGGTCGCCGGAGTCATCGTCTATACTCCGAGCCACGGTCGAGCGCAGTTTGCGGCGAGAGACCTATGACGGCATCGTAGCGAGGAGAACCACGACTTCCCCCGATACCAACGCACAGCCAAATACCGCCCGATTCTTCCAGCCCAGGCTGCGTCCAATAGATGCAGTCGAGCGCATGGCCGGAGAACCTAGAAGTTTTGGGTGGCTCGGCCAGCGAAGGCGAATGCCCCATTCTTCTCGGTTTCGTCCCGCCAATGCAGCCTTGGAAGGGCCTGCCTACCCCAAACCAAACTTCCCTTCAAGACGGCACAGCTTCATCACACATCGTCTTACGGTACCATGACTTGAGGAGCGGCAAAGTCCCGGTTTGGCAGCCTCTACTGGCCTCTCATCAATTGCTTTCGTGCCCGAACCTGCAGCCACCAAAAAGTTCTCGGCGGCTGCTGGCCTTTGATAATTCGCTACGTGTCATGTCGGCTGCCCCGAATTTGGCTCAGGACATGCCGATACTTGACACTGGTAACTGATTGGCCCACCATGCCGACTATATGCATCTCAGCACAACGCATGTGCATGAGAATGCAATAAAAACCGAATCGGCGAAACATCCAACCTCAAGAGAGCACAGATTGGGCACAGACTAGAGCCCAATCCATTCTGCACATCTAGTGTCGGACTGAACGGACGCCACCCATCCGTTGAACCAGCTGGTGTGTCTTTCGTGGCCCCGAGAGGATTGTAGAGGCTCGTGTTGCTCCCTCAAGCGGCTCGTCTTGACCTGGAACTCCAACCTGACACCAGAGGTGCTTTCCCGCTTCCTAAGAGGGTCAAACTATTGTTCGGCTTCCAAGCGAACCCTCGGAATGTTGCGCGCGTTTGATCTTCTCAAGACGACACGAGTTTCATTTGTATCTCCCGTCTGATGGTGCCGCCACATTCTCGCGAAGCCCTATTGGTGACTGTCAGCCGCTCCCACCACTCTCAGCCCGCCTGACCTTGTCGTCCTCGTTCCCAGCTGACTTCGCGTCCGCTGGCACATCTGCCTTCGCGGCTAAGACGAAGAGATTTTGGTTATCCGGTTCTACCCTGCGTTCCCTCCTTCAGCCGGAACTACAGGCTGTAGTAAGCCCTCGGAAGGATCGTATTCCTGGCACAACTCCCCTCATGCTTCCGCTTTCCTCAGCCTTCTTCAATTGATCTAACATGCCTCGGACAAGGCAGAGAGTCAGACACGTGAGATTCCGGCCACAGACACGGCCTCGGGTTGATGGGTTACAAGAGGAGACGGAACACCCTGGGCCCTCTTCCCAGAGCACATCCTTTAACGCCTTTGGCTCTGGCAACCAAAACAACGCTCCTGGCGGTACTCAGAATATTAGCGAAGGTGACGGTCCCCATCTTCCTGGAGCCACTTTCCACGGTTCTGTGTATTTTGGTAAGAGCAAGCATTTTCGTTGATAATCTGGATTTGTACTCACCATATCGTTCAGGCACAAAGGAACACTTCGATCCGTTACAAGAATGCTTAAAATCGCTGGCTTTTCCAGATATAAACAGTCGGTTCCACGACATCGATGCTGCCGCACAGGGAACATGCGAGTGGCTACTTCGACACAAAATGTACACGAGCTGGGCCACTTGTGGTCGAGGCCTGCTTTGGATTAAAGGGAAGCCCGGTTCTGGGAAGTCGACGTTGCTGCGATACGCTCTGAACAAGGTTATGGAAATACCCAACATCAGAGAGAGCGCCTTGATCCTCTCATTCTTCTTCCACGGCCGTGGCTCTGAACTCCAAAAGACGTCGTTGGGCCTCTTCAGGTCGCTCCTTCACCAACTCCTCCGCCAGGTCCCTGAGGCACTGACAGACCTTGTGGCCACTTTCCAACAACGGTGCGAAACTGTTGGCAAGGCGGGTGAACAGTGGCAGTGGCATCCGCGAGAGCTGCAATGCTTCTTCGAGCCGTCGCTTCTGAAGATTTTAGAGCGTTGCTCGGTCTGGTTAGTTGTCGATGCGTTGGACGAATGTGGCGAGAAGACTGCGGTCGAGCTAGTCGAGGGGTTCAAGTCCTTGCTCCAGAGGCTCCCGTCCATCGGCTTGAAGCGCATTCACATCTGCTTCACTTGTCGTCACTATCCGATTCTGCCAGACCTGGATGGTGCGCTCCAAATATGCACAGAAGAAGAAAACAGGAAAGATATATCGACGTTTGTGCAGGACAAGCTCATATCGTTCTCATCCACGATTCGGGACTTGATCACGAAACGCTCCGAGGGCGTTTTCCTGTGGGCATGGCTTGTGGTGAACCAAGTTCTGAAGCTTCACCGAGAGGGTGTTGGGCTAAAGAAGATCGAGGCCGAAATCCGTTCGGTCCCTCAGGAGCTTGACAACTTATACCGCGAACTCATCCAAAACATGGGCTCGGACTCTCTGAAACTCATCCAATGGATCTGCTTTGCAACGCGGCCCTTGTCATTAGACGAATTGCGATGGGCTATGATCGTCGAGACCGATTGCCTATACCGGTCATTATACGAATGCCAGAGCGCAGGGGACTACCCATCCGATAACGACGGGATGAAGAGGCGAGTTCAGACGCTGAGCTGCGGCCTTGCTGAGGTCACGTCCTATATGAAGGTTCAGCTCATCCACCAGTCCGTCAAGGACTTTTTCATCGACAAGGGCCTATCGGCTCTGGACGAGTCCGCCAAAGCCGACTTTGTAGTCGGAATCGCACACCATCGGCTTTCTAGGACATGCATACGCTACTTGGCGATGGAGGAGATCGGTCGGTTAGCAAGTCACGAGCCTTGGGGCTTGAGATCCAAGTTTCCTTTCCTGCATTATGCCACGACCTCGTGGGTGGCGCACACGAAGCAAAGTGATGCTAGAAGTGTCCCCCAAGAGGATCTTCTGGAATATTTCGCAGGGCCATCAAATACTCTTGTGGAACGATGGGTGCGTATTTATAGAATATTGGAGACATATTCTGATGACTGTCCGCCAGAAGGGACTAGTCTAGTACACGTTATGTTGAGGTATGGAGTGGCAGGAGCGTTGTGGGCCATTTTGGAAAGGGCAGACCAAGTTGGCATTAATATCGACGCCAAAGATTCGGATGGCCAGACGCCGCTATGGATGGCCGCCGAGCGTGGGGACAAGGCCATCGTGGGGCTGCTCCTCGACCGGGGCGCCCATACCGAGGCAGCGGACAAGGAGAGGGGCCGGACGCCGCTGTGGTGGGCCGCCGCGAACAGGGACGAGGCTGTCGTGCGGCTGCTCCTCAAGCGGGGCGCCCACACCGAGGTGGCGGACAAGATGGAGGGCCAGACGCCGCTGTCGAAGGCCGCCACGAACGGGCACGCGGCCGTCGTGCAGCTGCTCCTCGACGGGGGTGGCCACACCGAGGCGGCGGACAAGATGTGGGGCCAGACGCCGCTGTGGAGGGCCGCTGCGCGGGGGCACGAGGCCGTCGTGCGGCTGCTCCTCGACCGAGGCGCCCACACCGAGGCGGCGGACGTGCGCGGCCAGACGCCGCTGTGGATGACCGCCGAGCGTGGGGACGAGGCTGTCATGCGGCTGCTCCTTGAGCGGGGCGCCCACACCGAGGCGGCGGACGTGCGCGGCCGGACACCGCTGTGGAGGGCCGCTGAGAAAGGGCATGAAGCCATCGTGCGGCTGCTCCTTGAGCGGGGCGCCCACACCGAGGTGGCGGACGTGCGCGGCCGGACACCGCTGTGGAGGGCCGCTGAGAAAGGGCATGAAGCCGTCGTGTGGCTGCTATTCGACCGGGGCGCTCACACCGAGGCGCCGGACATATGGGGCCAGACGCCGCTATGGAGGGCCGCTGAGAAAGGGCATGAGGCCGTCGTGCGGCTGCTCCTCGACCGGGGCGCCCACGCCGAGGCGGCGGACAAGATGTGGGGCCAGACGCCGCTATGGCGGGCCGCCGAGGAAGGGCACGAGGCCGTCGTGCGGCTGCTCCTCGACCGGGGCGCCCACACCGAGGCGGCGGACAAGATGTGGGGCCAGACGCCGCTGTGGAGGGCCGCTGAGAAAGGGCATGAGGCCGTCGTGCGGCTGCTCCTCGACCGGGGCGCCCACGCCGAGGCGCCGGACAAGTGGGGCCAGACGCCGCTGTGGAGGGCCGCCGAGGAAGGGCACGAGGCCGTCGTGAGGCTCCTAGAATTTTGGTGTGCTCAACTTTCGTCGACTACGTCACCTTAGCCTCCACCCCACCCCACCACCTGCTCCTGACCCCGTTTATAGACCTGGTTATCTCTGGCAGGTAGAACCTACTGGAAACTGCTGGAGTAAAAGTCATTTTGAATGTTGGAAACATTCGCTAGTAATTCAAGCCGATTAGTTTCTCTTCAGTGTTGGTCCCATTTTGCCATTGACATATGCAATGGCCCAGCGTCACGAGCGGTGCCTCAGGATATTTCGATCCGGAAACGTCTCGCTGTGTTTGTGCCGAAATTTGCCGGCAACGTCCGGGCCTCTGCTAAGTATTGACATCTTGAACTTCCTGGTTAATTAAGAATGACTCTAATATCCTAAACATTAAAAAAAATAGAAATAAAAATACTAAGGCTTAGACAGACCTTAGAATTATTATAAATCGCTCTATTTTCTTGTTGTTATCTCTATAGATTGAATTATGGGGTAATGAGACCGAGCGTCGCGACATATTCCTTCTCCTCGGCTCCAATGTCAGCGGTAGACTTCAGATTACACCGAGCCATATCTCAAAGGCGCGGGTGCTGTCGCACATAAAGGCCTTAGAAGCTGCTTCCACTCTGACATGTGTTAGGTAGCCTCCATCAAGAATACTGGACTGAGATTCTGATAAGAAATGCTACGCCGCGAGAGGGCGTCCCAAGAGGGGCCGGTAGACCTTTGTGTCATGTGGCAAAGCACCTATTCCGATCTCTACTCCAGTTCCTTAGGCGCTTCCGTATGATACTTAGGAGCTCCATCGACGTAATTGGGGATTGGGGCGCTTGCCAAGAGCAAGTCAGTAGAAGAGAGTGGAAGTCGGTGGCAGATTGCTATTGAAGCCCCACCATCTCTGGCCAGGGAAATCTGCCAACAGCCCCCGCGATGGAGACAAGTTCGCCAGTCCGATGCTGCTTCCGCCATGGAAATTTCGCTCGCAACCTCCTCATCAGCGATGCGTTGTAGAATCGATAGGAAAGGGAGCTCGGGTCGGCGGAGATCATCACAATGGTGCGTGACGCATTCTCCGAATTAGAGTGGCAGCTCTGAGAAAATGCGAAGTTGCGAGGAAGGAGGACTACCGGAAATGCCGGTTGATAAATGTCACTCAGCCGTCACTTCTTGCGGGATGTGGTGGCGGTGGCTGTGGAGGCTGCTGCGCAGAAACCAAGTTGCTTGTTGTGGCTGTGCGACCGCCTCCGGCTGCTGGAGGACAAGCAGGAGGCAGAACCACGGTGTCCAGTGTACCCTGTTCGAGCCTTTACCAGCGGCATGGCACGACTCCCGACCTCTTATATTGTCGTCCATGCGTTCCGGGATCGGTGAGGCTCGATGGCCCCAGGATGGCGGGATGCGAATCAGGCATTTCGCTTAAAAGACACGCCTGCGCGATGACTCCTTGCCCCGCGACAGGGCATCAATCCCTGGCATCTGTCTTGTACCGTCTGCGTAACCCTTTGCCTGGCCGGGGAGATGAATTGGAGTGACTGCGCCTGGGTTTCCCAAAACCCGGCCGCCTCCGTGTTGCGGGCGAAGTCCAGGCAAGTCTTGTTAGCTCTAGCCAGATGAGGCCCCACGGCCGACGCCGTCCATGTGTAGCGCCAGGCCGCGGCAGCCCATTACCGGCCCGTACCAGGCACGGCCCGAACCCATTTGCCTAGCACAAGTGGTGATGCAAAGGGGTGGTCAATCGCTGAGCGGACCTGAACGGGCTTTCAAAGCCACAACACCCGAACACCCCTAGGCCACGAAGCACACCTGGGCGCCAGGGCCATCGTTTATACTCCGAAGAATGCATGGAGGTCATTCAATAGATGCGATTGAGCGCTTGGCCGGAGAAACTGGAATCTTTGTAGAGCGCTCTTAGAGCGCTCTATAATCTCATTTCCTGTATTTTGTGTGTGTCGTGGCTTAGCGTCTCAAAAGTGTTCAGGCCACTTGCGAGATGACCTCTGAGCCTGCATCACCGAAAGTTCTCAGGGGGGTTGCTGACCTTTCATAATTCGCTATACCTGTGATGTGGCTGCAGGCTGGCTGCCTCGAATTTGGCTCAGGATACGCCGATGCTCGACAATGGTAACTGATTGGCTTGTTGTGCTGACTTTATGCATGTACATGAAAATGAAAATAAAGGAAGCCAATGGGCGAAATGTCTACAAATTGGGCGGACCCACCACGGAGCTGAATCCATTCTGCACATCTAGTTTCAGCTGAACAGACCCCGCCTAGTAAGCCCTCGGATAGATCAATACCTGGTACGACTCCGCTCATCTTTCCGTCGTCCTCAGCCTTCTTCAACTGATCTAACATGCCTTAGACAATGGAGGGAGCCGCAGACGAGATATTTCCGCCACAGGAGCGGCCTCGGACTGGTGGGTTACGAGGGGACACGACACGCACTAGGCCCTTTCCCCAGAGCTCATCCTACAACAGCTTCACCACCGGGGACCAATTCAACGCTCCTGGTGGCACTCAGAATATCAGCAATGGCAGTGGCAATCAATTCCCTGGGGCTACTTTCCAACAGCCTGTGTATTTTAGTAAGAACAGGCGTTTTCGTCGAGATTCTTAACTCACCATATCGTTCAGAGACAAAGGAACACTTCGATCCGTTACGAGAGTGCTTAAGATCGCTGGCTTTTCCAGAAATGGACAGTCGGTTCCACGATATCGATACCGCCGCACGGGGAACATGTGAGTGGCTATTTCGACACGAAATGTACACGAGCTGGGCCTTTTGTGATCAAGCCCTGCTTTGGGTCAAAGGGAAGCCCGGTTCTGGGAAGTCCACATTGCTGCAATACGCTCTGAAAAATATCATAAAAAAAACCAACACTGAAGAGAGAGCCTTGATTCTCTCATTCTTCTTCCACGGTCGTGGTACTGAACTCCAAAGGACGCCGTTGGGTCTCTTCCAGTCGCTCCTTCACCAGCTCCTCCGCCAGGTCCCTGAGGCACTGCCAGACGTCGTAGCCACTTTCCAAGAACGGTGCGAAACTGTTGGCAAGGCAGGTGAAAAGTGGCAGTGGCATCCGCGTGAGCTGCCACGACTCTTCGAATCATCGCTTCCGAAAGTCTTGGAGACTCGTCCAGTCTGGTTATTCCTCGACGCATTAGACGAATGTGGCCAAAAGAATGCAGTCAAGCTAGTCCGGGAGTTTAAGTCCCTGCTCCGGGGGCTTCCGTCTACTGGTTTACAGTTTCACATCTGCTTCACTTGCCGTCACTACCCGATTCTGGACCAATCTTGTCAGTTTGAAATATGCGTTGAGGATGAGAACCGACAGGATATTTCGACCTACGTGCGAGCTCAGCTTTCTGTATCCTATGAGCTAACAGCATCTACGATTCCGGATTTAATCACAAAGCATGCCCAGGGCGTTTTCATATGGGCGTATCTCGTGGTAGAACAAATCCTGGACCTTGACAATAAAGGAGCAGGATTGAAGAAGATTGAAGACGAGATCTATTCTATCCCTCCGGACCTAGATGACCTCTACCATAACCTCATCCGAAATGTGGACGAGAGACCAGCTTCTCTTAAACTTGTTCAATGGATCTGCTTTGCGGTGCGGCCTTTATCACTCGATGAATTGCAATGGGCTATGATTGTCGATGCCGATTGCCAACATAAGTCATTACTGGAATGCAAGAGCATGAAAGATTATATATCGGACAGTGACAGAATGAAGAGGCGAGTTCAGACGCTCAGCCGCGGTCTTGCCGAGGTCACATCGGATACGAAGGTTGTACAGTTCATCCACCAGTCTGTCAAGGACTTTTTCGTCGAGAAGGGCCTATCGGCTCTGGGCGAGTCCGTCAAAACCGACTTTGTAGTCGGAATCGCACATCATCGGCTTTCTAGGACCTGCATACGCTACTTGGCGATGGAGGAGATCGGTCAGTTAGCAAGTCACGAGCCTTACCACTTGAAATCCAAGTTTCCTTTCATACATTACGACCCTGACTTGAGATCTAAATTTCCTTTTCTGCATTACGCCACAACCTCGTGGGTGGCTCACACGAAGCAAAGTGATGCTAGAAATGTCCCTCAAGAGGATCTTATGGAATATTTCGCAGGGCCATCGAACACTCTTGTGGAACGATGGGTGCGTGTTTACGGGATATTGCAGCAAAACTCTGGTGACTGTCCGCCAGAAGGGACCACTCTGGTACACATTGTGTCGAGTTATGGAGTGGCAGGAGCGTTGGGGGTCATTTTGGAAAGGGTAGACCAAGTTGGGATTAATATCGACGCCAAAGATTCGCGTGGCCGGACGCCGCTATGGTGGGCCGCCGAGAACGGGCACGAGGCGGTCGTGCGGCTGCTCCTCGACGGGGGCGCCCACACCGAGGCGGCGGACAAGGGGGGCCGGACGCCGCTATCGTTGGCCGCCGCGAGAGGGCACGCGGCCGTCGTGCGGCTGCTCCTCGACGGGGGCGCCCACACCGAGGCGGCGGACCAGGTGGCGGGCTGGACGCCGCTATCGCGGGCCGCCGGGAACGGGCACGAGGCGGTCGTGCGGCTGCTCCTCGACCGGGGCGCCCACACCGAGGCGGCGGACAAGTGGGGCCAGACGCCGCTGTCATATGCCGCCGCGAGAGGGCACGAGGCCGTCGTGCGGCTGCTCCTCGACGGCGGCGCCTACACCGAGGCGGTGGACAAGATATGGGGCCAGACGCTGCTATCGTGGGCGGCTGAGTACGGGCGCGAGGCCGTCGTGCGGCTGCTCCTCGACGGGGGCGCCCACACCGAGGCGGCGGACAGGGAGGGCCTGACGCGGACCAGGGAGGGCCGGACGCCGCTATCGCGGGCCGCCGAGAACGGGCACGAGGCCGCTGTGCGGCTGCTCCTCGACGGGGGCGCCCACACCGAGGCGGCGGACAGCTGGGGCTGGACGCCGCTATCGCGGGCCGCCGGGAACGGGCACGAGGCCGTCGTGCGGCTGCTCCTCGATGGGGGCGCCCACACCGAGGCGCCGGACAGGTGGGACCGCTGGACGCCGCTATGGTGGGCCGCCGAGAATGGGCACGAGGCGGTCGTGCGGCTGCTCCTCGACGGGGGCGCCCACACCGAGGCGCCGGACTGGGAGGGCCGGACGCCGCTATCGCGGGCCGCCAGGAACGGGCACGAGGCCGTCGTCCGTCTGCTGCAAGACCATATTGCTCAATCTTTGTCGACTACCTTGCTTTGATCTCCACCCCACCCCGCCACCTGCTTCTGAGCCTCGTTTATATGCACCGTTATCTCTAGCATTGACATTCATCTTGAACTTCCTGGTTATCAAGAATGGCTGCGTCTTCTCAAAATGGTTGTGTTGGGCGTCGCAAACACGGCCCCCCCTGCTCTTATCGAAGAGCTATAACCCCAGCTTCTTGAAAAGGCCGCTGGTGTTTTCCTATGGGTTGCCCTAGTTATCGAAATTCTCAATAAGGAACATCGACGGGGTCGACTGGCTCTGCGGAAGAGACTGAGGGAACGCTTGCGAGGCTAGGGCCGGATTCAAACGGAGGTAGCAGAGGAGAACAGGATATAGGATCAGTACAGGGTGTAGTCCTAGCGTCGACATGCCCAGAAAAAGTAGGAGTGACTTGAGCAAAACGCTTTGGAGGACGTGCCAGAGTAAGAGGCGATGAGGCGACGTGCCCAGAGGGCATCTGTTTGCGATTCATCGTCAAATGACACTCCCTCCCCAGGAACAACAGCTTGACTCTCGACCTCTTGCCGCTATGGAAGAAGGCGAATACCCCCCACAGTCCCCGTCACCATGGCCCTTTCACGACTTAGAGAACCTCTAATTCAACCCGTTTACGATGCGGAAACACTCGAGCATCAGCGTCATGTTATGATGGAACCTTGACCGACCGGATGGTTCTGCTTCTGGTGCACGTCGCTCGATCGAGCCAGCTGGATCAGGATGGAGCTTACAGATTGACCAACGATTGATCTTTGGTCCCTAGAGACAGCCGTATGTGAACAACTGGAGTTACATCCTCTCAGGGCCGCGTGTCAGAGCGACAAAGAGGTGAATAGAGGGATGATTAAGCGGCCACATCGTCGTAAAGGAATCTCGAGTGCAAAGAGGCCTACATCAATAGTGACATTAACCGTTCGACGAGCGTGTGCAGGACTCCCCTCAGAGCTTCAAGTTCCTCATTGAGATCACGCACTTGTTTGGGATGAAATCGGAAACTCTGGACCGTGTTGTACAGCGGGATGCTAGAGTTGAGGGCGAATGAAGCCAACATCAGCAGTCCGGAAGCCAGGCCCATAGGTTCGTGGCCTTCCTCGGAGTTTGTCGATTCTCATCTAAAGCCATATCGGTGCAAGGATCCCTCGTGCCACAATTTCGCGATGTAACCGCTCGATATCTCGGGACATCATTAACTTATACTTACTGTGGGTCCAGGTGCTATTACATTCAGTGCAAAACTGCCCACAGCTCACCCTGTTCTCTTGCAAGGTCTCTTGGCCTGTCTGTCTCCTTAGCTTGAGTGTTGCAACTGCGAGCATTTATACCGCCCCGGTCAGAATGAGATAGATGTACAGTGGACATGGCACCTTGCTTTGAAACAGGATGTGCTCTTTAATACGCGCATCCGATGTTTGCATTCAAGACGCGGCTGGATGGCAGGCGGCACCTGGCGCGCTAGCCGGCAACAGCCCAATTGCCAGATCCGATCGGGGCGGTCCGAGATTCGGCCGACGCTAATACGGAACTTCTCCGAGCCATAAACCTTGAATGGAGACGGGCAATTGGGGTCTGCGGCCGAGGAGGGCTGAGATAGCGGGTGGTTCGCCGAAGCGGCCTGGTAGGAGGGATTGCTGTCCAGGATGCACTGGACAACGACTGGTTCGAGGGACTCTTGAGCTGGTTGTTCTTGTTGGTGTTGGTCGGCTCCGAGCTGGGGTTCGAGCTTGGGAGCAGGGAGTCTGGCAACAGCGCCGTTCGACTGCTGGGGACGGATCAGAGGCTCGGAGATGTTGGCGAGGGCGCCTGGGTCCTGTCCAAGGCGGCCGTAGCGAAGGCGAAGATGCCACTCGAGGAGCGCTGTTCGAGTCTCGAGACGGAGGCGGTGCCGTAGGAGTAGACGGTAGGAGGAAGAGCGTTTGGAGGAAGACGGTCCTAGATGAAGGAGCGTGGGGTGGCAGATGGGTCCTTGGGAGTATTAGAGGAGGACAGAATGGCCAATGGGAACTCGCTTAACCTAACTGCCCGACACAACGGACACCGCACTACTACCGTTGCAGATCACATGACTCTTCTGGCCCTCCAATTCCACGTCCCATTTCCAAATGGTGCAACGGCCAGAGGATTCCGGGAAAGCCTCAGATCCGCCTTACACCCAAGCGACAGCGGCAGCAAACCATGCATATCCCGCCAATCGCCAGTTCCACCGTCGAAACTTATGTTACACGGCACCCGAGACCGAGCTGTAGCCCCGAACAACGTTTACAGCGACGTGCTGTTGAGCCAAGTACGACACCTTCACGCCTAGCTGAGGAAGAGAAAGCCGACGTCATCTACCTCGGCACCTTTCCACGCCAGCCGTATCACAACACCGCCGTTTCTGATTTCCGATGCCCTGCCATCGACTCGAATCGGCCTTTGGATATAACTCCACGACGCAACACCCGCAAGAAGAAAGGCAGGCGGGCAGCTCAGTCCCCCCATAAGCAAACGGATGCGCGGACGACACAGTGCAAGGGAGCCACACCATCACGCCAACCGACGATACCCACGGCGATAAGGAACCAGAACGTCTGGTTAGGTCGGGCAAGAGACTCGACTAGTCAGGTCTATGGTTTCTTCGATAGCGCGGGCCGTTTCTGCCGCAGGGTAGATGTTGAGCGTTTCGGCAGGGCGACGGAACACTGGTCGAGTTTCGCTCACATCCCTCACGACCAAGTCGCATACCGCCCTATTTTTCAGCAAATGACGTATCCGCAAGTCCGAGCCGAGGTTTGTCGTCGGTTAGTCACAAAGTTTGGAGGGTCCCTATGTGATGGAGAGATTTAGCTTGCCAGGCGAGAGCATTGCAAATATTTGATGCAAACCTAGCGGACTCTATCACACATGGGCCTAAGAGCAGTAGTGCTAAATGAGTGGTGCACGATACGTTCTTCGCCAAGCTGGCGCAGCGCGTAGTCCGAGTATGAGTCTCCTACTTTCACAGACCGACTTCAACTAAGCGCGGAAAGTGTTAAGGCTGCTCTCAATTGGGTGGTCTTAAATGATCTTTGGCCGCATTTGATATGCCATGTTAGCTTGTCTCGTTCGTCTTTTATCATTGTTTGTGATGTGCGATTGAACGAAAGAGCCGCGTCTTGCGGACTGCAAGGCAGCAATCCAGAGGCGCACCGGTCGCACCTCAGCACTCCGCGTTGGTTAGCCCTGCTACAGATCAGCGTCGGCCTATAAAGCTTAAAGCATTTAAGAGCGGCCACACGATCCTTATAAATATAAGGGCCGGACATTCCGCAGGCCGATAGATTGGAATTGCCTTTCATTTTTTATAAGAAAGTGTACGCCTTAATCAGCACGTATTCCTTTCCCCAATTTGCATTCAACTTACCACAGATCAGTATTTACTATTGTTATAGTCAAGTCCAAGTCTCCATTTCACATTGGAACCCTATGTTACAGTTAGAATGCCTTCTTAATTAGAGTCAATACATAGAGTCAATGCTCAATCTTTGCCTGTAGGGCTACAGTTGAAGGTTCGTCAACCGCTATGAGGTTAGTATTACAGAAGAATGCAGGTGACTTTACAGGGAAGAGAGTTATCGAGGCTTGATCAAACAACACAAGAATTAGCAGACATGATATTACCACCAGTTCATAAATGGGTTGTAAGCCACGGAGATCAATTCAACCGTTGGAATTGAATTGCTCACTGAGTCATGACTTGGACTGTGCATGTGGCGGCCTTCCGTATCGCAGTGAATCTGTAAGCTGATGCGCCAGTGAGCCGACGCGCTCGATGATCTCAGTCCAGTTAACCCGTTAGCCGGTGAACTAGTAAGGCTATAATAAGGGCATACCTCTTAGATCAAGCGTGGCTAGTATCGCGTTGACGACTGCGGTAAAGTGGAATGAACACTCCGCTAATGCGTAGTGGAATGATACCCTATACTGAATGCGACAGCTAGTTCCTGTGTAACTGAAACCTTCCTTTGTCATCTTACTTTCTTGGCATGCAGATGTTAAGAAAGTAGCCCCAATTACACCAATTTTCTTAACAAGTGCACCACAACAGCCACAAACCTGCGCTTCGCGCAGCCCATAGCGGCGGCGATGGCATCTGCCACCACCCGCCCGCCTGATGTCTCAGATCCTTTCGACCTGGGAATTCATACCCCCGCCAATCTCAATCGAAGAGCCCGCACTGCCCTCCTGCAAAACAGCCCCGCTGTCGTGAATGGACCTGTTGGTGTCCCGCCCGCCTTCGGGAGGACGGCCCAAACGCCGTCTTCACCACTTAATGCCATCTCTACTGCTGCGGCCACGGAAGGAGCCCAGCTCGCCCACCCTGAACCCTCCCCTGACCCTACCCCGACTAATGAACAGCAACCAGTCTCTATTTTTGAAGCAGCCACTAAGCTCGCGCGCGACCGTGTGGAGGAGTACAATGCCAAGTTGAAGGTGTTTCAGGCCTTCTGCGCTAAATTTGAAGAAGCAGCAAAACAATTCACCACTGGACCCGAACGGGAATTCGCTCAAAAGTTTGCCGACAGCTTCTTAGACGCCTGGAATCAAGCACTCACCGACGCCAAATCTGTTCCGGTACCGACCTATAGCACGGTCGCGGCCTCGCCCCCGGCCGCAAACAATGCCCCCGCCCACCAACCCCGACACCATCAACAACATCGCCAACAACAACAACCCCCTCATCGCCAGGGACAACCGACCGCAGGTGCCCCACCCCGAGAGGACCTCCGCGTCTTCATCCGGCTGGACGCGGAAGCTCCGGCCAGGACCCACAACGACTACGCAATCCGGTCCCATATATCCCGGAAACTCGGAGTGGACCCACGCAAGATCCCCCGGGTGCTCCAAGTCAGGTCCGGATGGGCCGTACTTGCCGCCGACATAACCACCCGCGACCTCCTCGTACAGAGACAGACCGAATGGGCAGCCGATCTGGGTGCCACTACCATAGAGACCCGGCAGGAGTGGTTTACCTACCTGGTCCCAGACTACCCCTGCAAGCTGGTCGACCTCTACGGTAATGAGGTCGACAGCGATGCTGCCATGAATGAAGAAATTGAAATTCAGACTGGTCTAAAGCCTGTCAACATACGCCCCGCACGGCAACAATCGGACAGCCCCCTGACAAAATCTCTGCTTGTGTCTTTTCTTGAACCCGTCAATAAACATTGGCGCCTCTTCAACAGCCGACCAGCAAGGCGCATCAAGAAGACCGACCGGCCAAGGCAGTGCAATATATGTTTGGACTACCACCCGTCACGTACCTGCCATCGGCTCCCCCTGTGCAAACGCTGCGGCAAAGCCGACGGCCACGAGTCCGGGGACTGTACCGCCCCCGAGCAATGCGCCAACTGCCTCGGCCCGCACAGCGCCAACTTCGCCGAATGCCCAGCCCGCCCGAAGAAGGTACACGGCGTGTTCCGCCGGTTGACCAAAGTACAAAGGGACCATGTCCGAGCCGTAGGCGTGGAAACATATCGCCAGCGCAACGCAGGATCGCCACAGCACGCACCTGACCCACAGCAAGACATACAGCAAAACGGCCCTCAGCAAGACAGCACCGGGCCGCAAGAACGATCGAGCCCACGGGCTCCCAGCCCGGCCGCGTCGAGAGCGCCCTCATGCATAATGGTGGCCACAACCCCGGAGGCGGAAGAGGAACCCGAGCACCCAAGACCTGGCTCTCCAAGGAAGCGCCGCATCGTGTTGATCACGCGCACCCACGACCAAGGGGACGAGTAGACGCCCACGGACACGAAGACGTGACAGAAAGACTCTCCGAGTCTTTCAAGCCAACGTCGGCAAGGTCCCGCCAGTCCACGACTGTGCCCTCGCACTGGCAGACTCGGAACGATACGACATCGTTCTCCTCCAAGAACCATGGACAACGATAGCAAACTCCCGTTGCCTCACGAAGACTCACCCTGCATATGACACATACTCTCCAGTTGAAGCCTGGAACAACAACAGCACCCGACCCAGGGTCATGACATATGTCCGCCGAGATTCCCAACTCGTAGCAGACCAAAACCGACCCTACATAAGCCGTGATATTCTGTGGCTTACGGTCAACGATACAATAATCGTCAACTTCTATCGCCAGAACGACGAAAGAGATGCGCTGGACACTCTGCTGCAATGGCCGATCCCCGATCGCTGCCTTGTGGCAGGCGACTTCAATGCTCGACATCACACCTGGCAGACAGGCCCGACTACGAACCGCGGCCACGAGATTGCCCATTGGGCATCCGAAAACGACCTCAGCCTACTGAACACCTTAGACGTCCCCACAAACCCACACGGCAACACTATCGACCTCACCTTTACGAACGTACCTCTCGCGGAAGCCAACATCGAGGACCACCTCGCCACCAGCTCGGATCACTTCACTCTTAGCACAACGCTACCAAACATCGCGCCAGCACCAATACAGCCAGGCAAGATCCGGGTGACAACAGACGACGAACTCAAGCGGTTTGTAGAAATCGTAGAACTTGGATCGGCTGGGATCCCTGCCACTGCCTCGAGTGCACCAGAACTAGATGAGCTTGCATCCACACTTGTGAACCTGCTGCAGTCAGCAGCGAAGGCGGCAGGCCGACCTGCGAGGAAGGGAGCACGCAACGCCCCATGGTGGACTGAGGAGTGCGCCCTTGCCGCAGCCGGATATCGCGCCATCAGACGACTGTACCCCCTTGGATTCAACCAAGAGGTCCAGCTAGCCAAACGGGAGTTCCACCGCGTGGTCCGCCGAGCCAAGAGGCTCTACTGGCGGAACCTGATCAACAGCTTCTCAGACAGCAGCTCCGTTTTTAAGGCCGTCCGATGGCTGAGATCGCCAGGAGCCTTCCAACCTCCTCCACTGCAAGTGGACGACGTGGTCTACGAAACCCAGCTGGACAAGGCTAACGCGCTCCGACGAGCTACTCTAGAGCGCAGAACGGCGGAGGATGACATCCAGGATCCCTGGATCCAGGTCAATCCTCACAGAATGATCCCTTTCCCACAGGAAATCTCCCTTGAGGAAGCGCAGGACGCGACTCTTCGGACTGGAAATACATCTCCAGGAGCCGACAACATCACAGTCAAACTTCTCACGGCAGTATGGCACATCATCGGAACACACGTTCGCCGCCTCTTCGAGGGGTGTCTGGCCATAGGCCACCACCCGAAGCCTTTCAGAGCGGCCGAGGTGGTGATGATCGCCAAATCTGGACGTAGAGACCTGACAGAGCCGCGGGCATGGCGGCCTATCTCTCTGCTCTCCTGCCTCGGCAAGGGGCTAGAACGGTTGGTCGCGCGCCGTCTTGCGTGGGCATGTATCCACTATGGAGTCCTCCACCCACAACAAGCCGGGGCGCTCCCGAAGAGGTCTGCGACAGACCTTGTGGCCGCCCTAGTCCACGACATTGAAGAAGTATTTGCCCTCAAGAAGGTGGCCACGCTGGTCACGATGGATATCCAAGGCGCTTTCGACACTGTCTTGCGCAACAGACTAATTCTGCGACTCCGCGAACAAGGCTGGCCGGAACATCTTGCACGATGGGCCGGTTCGTTTATGGACGACCGATCTGCCTGCGTCAGATACCAGGATACTACCACTCCGCTCTCTCCTCTCCAATGCGGCCTCCCTCAGGGGTCGCCGGTATCGCCAATCCTATTTTTGCTATATACGGAGCCCATCTACAGACTAAGCAACCCTCAAGGCCGGTTCGGCTACGCAGACGACACAGCAATCCTGTGCACGGGCGACACGGTAGAGGAAACAGCGGCTGCAGCGTCAAGATCTGTCGAAGAAATGGTCCGCTGGGGCGCGGCAAACGGGGTATCTTTCGACCCTAAGAAGACAGAAGTCATGCACTTCTCTCGAAGCAAACTCGAGACCGCACCGGCAATACGCCACGGCGACGCCGAGAAGCGCCCCGAGGCAGCAATGCGCTGGCTAGGCATCTGGCTGGACAGCAACCTGTCGTTTCGAGTCCACGTAGAGAAATGGACGGCTAAAGCCCAGGCTGTCGCCTACCATCTGCGAGGACTCACCAACACGATACACGGCCCGCTCCCCAGCGCTGTGCGGAGCGCCGTCAGGGCATGCGTCGAACCAGTCCTGCTCTATGGCACCGAAGTATGGTACCCAGGGACAACCCGACCACTATGGAACCAACCCTCCAAAGACCGTTCGTCAAGTATTGGACATCTCCTGTGGAGAATGAACAAGGCTATCGACCAATCTATGCGAGCTATTCTCCCCGTCTGGAAGACGACCCCGATCGCCATCCTCCACCGGGAAAGTGGGATACCTCCTATCGCTCAACTTCTCGAAGCACGTCGATACCGCTTCTCCGCCCGACTCAAATCCCTCGATGAGGCCCACCCTCTCGCGAAGCGCACGCTTCCCCCAAGACAACTCACATACCACCCGCTCATCAAGCGGAAGTACCAAATTCCAGCAGAAAGCAGCTTCAGGACCCGTCTTCGTCGGACTAATGAGCTCCTCGCGCCCTGCACACGACCGGCCCTCATGCAAAAATGCTTCGGCAAGGAACAAGACATACCCCTACAGACAGCGCCGAAAGAGGAATCGGCCGAGGCCTTCCTTCGGTGGGTTGAGTCAGTAGGCCCAACCACCTTGATCGTATACTCGGACGGCTCCCTGTCCTCAGAAGGAGCAGCCAGCTATGGCTTCGCTATTCACCAGGAGGACCTCTCCATCTGCGACGGCTCGGGCCGGCTTGGACCTGCCGAGGTGTTTGATGCTGAAGCTACGGGAGCACTGGAGGGCTTCAGGGCCGCTCTGAACCTCCCAGGATCAGCGACACGAGACATTGTAGTCTGCCTAGACAACCTGGCAGCCGCCACATGCCTACGGGGCACACCATCCGACTCTTCACAAGATGTCTTCCTCGAGTTCCAGGCGCTGGCTACATCTCACGGTGCTACACAAGTGCGCTGGATACCTGGCCACACGGACATCCCCGGCAACGAACAAGCGGATAAGCTAGCAAAAGCAGCTTCCTCGCTGCCAGAGCCGGAGGGCGCTCAGCCGACGCTGGCATACCTGCGAAAGATAGCGAGGCAGAAACCGAAGGAAGCCTTCGAAGCATGGTGGGCAGCCTCCGCCCCCGAGCAATATAAGAGATTCAACCTCAAGGCCACTACACGCTGCCCGCCGGAGCTCTCACTCCCACGGACAGTTTTGCACCACTTACTTGCAGCAAGGTCCCTCCATGGGGACTTTGCTGCATACCATGAACGCTTTAACCACGAAGACGCGCGAGTGACCTGCTCGTGCGGCCGACGCAAAGCACCTGATCATATCTTCTACTGCAGAAAGGTACCGCGACGGTGTCGAATAAGGCTTGTCCCGTCGCCGACCGTAGCAGTCAACCTCGCGATAGGAAGAAATTTCGACAAGTACACCAAGGTGGCCAAATCAAGCGGCTTCTTCGAAAAGATTTGTCCTCGTTACTAGACGAGGCAGACCTGAGACGCACCCGCGTCTCTTCCTCTCCTTTTATTGTATTCTCTCTTCTCCCCTATCTTCCCGTTTATTCCTTTTCTTCAATTATACGGGCCTGACCGCCTCGTGCAGTCATGCCAATGCTCTCTCACCAGTCTCCCTAAAGACTGGCCCATGTAGCGGCTACTGCTATGATAGCCGCGCCTGGTGATCCTGCTGACGGGTAACAGGCTCGACAGAATGCGCCTTTGAGCCGATGATATGCTGGATAGTGGTCCCTTCTGTATTTCACGAAAGTATTGCGTAGATTTTAGCATTAGAGATCCTAGCTCAGCACGTCCTGTGCCCCAATAGGGGACCTTATGGGCGTCACAGCCCTCCGGACGAAAAATATACAAACAAACAATCCTGTGTAACTGAAGACCAAAGCGAGAAGGTTACCCGAGAGGATCGTAAAGCTCGCCAAATCACCCAAGAGCATCTACATTATACTGACATTATCGAGGCTTAGGACTAGGCGGGCCGATAGACGGTAATCGTCCCTATTGTCTTAATTATAGAAGGACTCGCCTTGATTCAGACGTACAGTATTCCTTCATCTCATTTGCGATTAACTTGCTCCAGGTCGTGGATATAACACAGACTGTATGCCACTATATACTAGAGTCATGTAAGTACTTCTTAAAGGTGTAATTATGATCTTATGGCTGCACGGTTGTCGCCAGGGTGCTGAGGCAATGGATATTGCCCGATTAGAGCATGTACATGGAATCTAAGACCTCATTCGAGACCTTCAGGAGAAGTACACGCCCGTCTGTCTTGGTAGTATTGACCTCGCCTGTCCATCTGCGACAGTGGTAACTCCTGCTTCTCACTTAAGCTGAACGTCCTATTTTTGAGTGTATCAAATAGGTCAAGGCAGTGGTCGTCAATTGAGGCTTTACCGAGTCGCACAAGCTGTGTATCCCCTCATCATCCTGGGAGCTTTGGCGATTGTTCCCGTGGCATGGCTCGAGATCAGGCGATGGAGACGCGAACAGCATCATGCCAAGCTTATTGCTAAGAACACGTATCACCCTATGGATGTTACACCACAACGTAAGCCGTGTGATACTCAATACGATTTACACTATAATAAAGTGATGGTTGTGGACTTTGAACGGGCAAAATTCTTTCCCCTCAACCTCTTGGACCTATTAGCTGAAGTGGCCAAAATCGGAGGAGGAAACATGCGGTCAAGAAGCCAAAAAGAACTGGCAGTTGGAGGGTTTCAGTGCCGACCGGAGGGTTCCACTTTAGGTTCCTGATAGTCTGAATCGGCCGGAGTGCTGGTTGGTAAATGTCAGATAGTAACGATCTTCTCCCTTGCGTGTTCGGATAGTGGGACTGAATCAAACAACACGGAGAGCAAGAAGTTGATTGATTTTGTACTCACTTAATAAGACTTATCAAAGTCTGCGTACCTGGACGTACAGAGTGTCAAGAGCCAGATACAAGCCATCTTGAGCTATTAGCAGGGCCAGTCCACAGTCCATCCTGTTTGTTATTTGGTGTACAACAATGCTAGAGGCCCCTAAGGTAGTGGCCTAAGGGAGTTGCTACTAGTAGCTAAAGAGAGGATCGAGTGGACAGAAAGAGGGGCAAGTAGTTGCTACTAGAAGCTGAAGAGAGGACTCTTTCTCTCAGCTACTAGTAGCCACCCCTACTAGTAGCAAACCAATTGCCCCTCTTTTGCTTCTCAGCTACTAGCAGCAAGTCCTCGCACAATGAGTTGTTACCAGTAGATGAAGAGAGGCGGCATTGAGAATGCTGCTAGTGGCCGTGAACAGGATGGCGTCATTCAGTAGTAGCTGGTGGCTACTAATAGCTACGTCAGCAAGAGAAGCAAGTGCCTGGGCGCTTACCTATCAGTCGTCCCACAACCTCAATGACTTTCCAACACCCGCTGTTCACCAAACACTTAACAGCGACCTAAGGCTAGAAAAGGCCTAGACCGCTTAGGTCAATGGCACTTGGTTTGAGCTTCAATGTTGTGTTGGAAACAAACACATCTTACCGGAAATATGAGCTGAACGAAGGAGGAGGATGGTGGGGAGGAATGGGGAAAGCTGAGGAGGGTAGAGAGGAAGTAGAGCGAAAGATGGAGGCGCAGAAGAGATGAGCATGTCGCTGTAAATGGCGAATACTAAGACCTTGACAACCCTTCAACTTTGCACATCTGATTCAGAGTATAGAATAGATGCCTGACTCTTCAGAGGATATCATCTCTCTGGATAGAGATTACGAGCCTCCCCCGAATCGGGGCCCGAATTGAGGTCTTGGAAACCTCAGTATCTTGTCAGACTGTTCAGATAAAGTTAGAACCCAGGAGTTTCGCCGTTTGGGAAGATCTCGGAACCTTATTCTGTCTCAACGTTGTCATTCACCCAAAACGACTTGTGCTTATCTCCGGGTTCATGAATACGCGTGGCGTGACCTACGCTTCCAGTTAGGAATTCCTCATAAGGCTCGATAAAGGCTAACCAGTGTGATACTCAATACTAAAAGCCCCTGAATTCAGATTGATTTGGGTGCCATTTAAGTGACTGCTTTAATGCTCGGATGATTTAGACGGACTGGAACCTGTCTGGAGCTGAGCAGAGTAGGTGGCGCGCGCGGTAGCAATTTTGGAAGCACCAGAGTAAGGCCGAGAACAAGTTTCACTACCTCAAGGGTTATCATCGGTTCTGTCTGTTGCCATCATCCTTCGCCAATAACAAGCGCTCGGGAGGATTTAAAAGTCAGACGTGATTGTCCATAATGTTAGCGTGTGCACCAACATGGAGGAGAGTGAGGGGAGGACGACCACGAGCGATGATCTATCACACATACGTTAGCCAGACAATGAAAATTTGACAGGATGAGGGGGCATATTTGATCGTTGACCGCGGTCAATCGTCGGCGTGATTTTGTGACATCCGAACCTAGATTCGCCGGACGCCCCCTACTCGGTTCTAATCCCGGCGTCGTCACTTGTTTGCCTGCGCACCACGACCTTCTGTACCAGTACTGTTTGTATTGGTGCAGCCATTTGGCCGAACTGGTCCACCATCTGTACAGGTCAATTAGTCTTTCTATACCAGTATGATATCTATACCAGCCCACTGATTTCTCCATACTAGTCTAACCATACCAGTGTTTTGTTTTCTCATGCCAATCCAACCATACTAGTATGCTACGCGCACTAGCCATCGAAATTTTGCTATACGGGACGGGTCGGAGTCTATAAGAGTTCACATCAATATCCGGCTCAAGGAAATCAAACTCAGGACTGCTGCATTGCAATCTTTGTCGATAGATGAGAATAATTCCAATCTTTCCGATTATGGAAGGACACACATTGATCCAAACGTGTTACCTCATCTCGTCCGCAATCAACTTACCACGGATCGTGGACAAAACGCGGACTGTATGCCGCTCTATCTATTAGAGTTACGAGGGTCGCTCTTCAAGGCCGGCTGTCATTACATGGCTACATAATTGTCGGCGAGGGTGCTGAAGAGAGAGAGATTACTCGATTATAGCCCAACATGGAATCTACGACCGCATTCGAGACCTTTGGGGCCATATTACTATGACAGTGGTGTGCTCGTAAGTTCCAGCTATACAAGCTGCGTATCCTACACTATGACGTAGAGCCACGCAGTATTTCATACTGTACGACTTACGCCATGACAAAGTGATAATTGTGGACTTTGAGCGAGAAGAGGGCCTTCCCCGTGAACCTATTAGACTTATCAGCCCGAGTAGCTAAAGCCGGAAGAGGAAATGTATGGCCAAGAAGCCGAACAAGGATACTCTGCCCAAGAGGCGGAGCTGCAGTCTTTAAAGATGCGCGTGTCAAGGTGTGTCTACATCGGCCGGAGTGCTGCTTAATGAAGGTTAGACAGTAATGATCTTCATTCTTGCGCATAAGGGTAGTAAGACTGGATCAAACAACATGGAGAGCAAAGAGTTGATCGATTTGTACTTCCCTGGATCAGACCCATGACAAGCTGCATGCCTAGACGCACAGAGTCTCAAGAACTACATTTAATCAATCGTAGGCCATTGGCAGAGGCAATCTCGGTATCGGATATCACCCTGATGGCGAGACGGCGGAGACTACATACCCGGTAGGCGATGGTGATGGTGGTTTAGATTGAAGGAAGAAGGAAGAAGGAAGAAGGAAGAAGGAAGAAGGAAGAAGGAAGGAAGGAAGGAAGGAGGAAGGAAGGGGCAAAGTCGGTGGAAGATAGGGCTTCAATAGGTACTGGGGCATATTAACTACGCAAACGGAAGTGCCAGCATTATTAGGAGACCAGTGCCTCGGGGTTTATAAGTTTACTTTTCCGGCAGTTCATATGCACCTGCAAGGAATGTTTTTAAGGTCGCAAGAGAAGGGGAGAAGGGTGCTATCGAGGGGAATAGCTTCAGCTTTAATGCTCATCACATGAGCTGGTGGCATGGGGTTGTCATCTTCAGTCATTGGGATATCGCCGTCGGGATCGGGAGGCTCCTCACCATCCCAATTGACCACTTCTTCTACATCAACATGGCTTACGCCCGTGTTTCTGGCACAAACATAATTGGTCTTGTACAATAAGGGGTGAGAGGAAAAAAATAGGGGTAAAGAGAAAAAAAAAAAAAAAAGAAGGAAGGGGGAAAAAAGAAAAAGAAGAAGAGGGAGGGGGAAAAAAGAAAAAGAAGAAGAGGGAGGGGGAAAAAAGAAAAAGAAGAAGAGGGAGGGGGAAAAAAGAAAAAGAAGAAGAGGGAGGGGGAAAAAAGAAAAAGAAGAAGAGGGAGGGGGAAAAAAGAAAAAGAAGAAGAGGGAGGGGGAAAAAAGAAAAAGAAGAAGAGGGAGGGGGAAAAAAGAAAAAGAAGAAGAGGGAGGGGGAAAAAAGAAAAAGAAGAAGAGGGAGGGGGAAAAAAGAAAAAGAAGAAGAGGGAGGGGGAAAAAAGAAAAAGAAGAAGAGGGAGGGGAAAAAAGAAAAAGAAGAAGAGGGAGGGAAAAAAAAGGAAAAAGGGAGCGAGCAACTGGGGGCTCTATGGCTTTATATACTTTTTGGTAGACCCACTTGACTCGCTGCGACAACACGCAAGTATTCCATGACATTCCATGCCATTCTATGGAGCTCGTGCCGACTTTTTTCCGCACAGATTTGATCACGTGATCCCACTTTTTTTCATGTTGCAGCCATCACCAAACAGTGACTGGTATGTCTTCCTGGGCCGCCCACACGGATGATTTCATTGTTATCGCTCACGATCATCCAAGAGGTGAGCGGGGTTGATCGGATTTAGACATTATCCGCTCCGACCAGGAACTGCCAGAAGTGGGGCTACGGGGGATTACATGTCTGAACGGCAAACCCCCTCTGAGGCAACTGATATCATCCACTAACTGCTCGATCACATCCTCTGCTACACAACAACCTGTCAGTAACCATCATTGATGACCAGCCCGCTGATTAAGGAAAGACACACATTGATCTGAACGTGTTACCTCATATCGTCCGCAATCATTTCCTACAAATTAGAAGGCCGTCGTTAGAGCCGTTTTTGTGCACAAGCAAAATTCTCGGCAGCCCGTCAATAGTACAGTGGGGTTCCAAAAGTCTTGCAATACCTGTAACGGGCTGTGCCCGTAGGTGGCCTCGGGAACCCTCGGCCTTTCATGGCCCACTTTTACCTTTAAGCCACCATGACGAGTATATTTATGGATGGACCTCCTCTACTCCCTTTCTCTTCTTCTTCTTTCCTTAAGTTTGGTATACTCTGTAGAGTGGCCTAGCTAGTTGCAATACACTACCTTGAGACCGTTACAATACGCCCCTTTTTACACCAAAACACTCTAACTGATTGCAGCTATATATTTTTAAATACTGCTTCTAAAATTCAAAATAAAATAGCAATATATACTACTTTAATTAAATATCTATAAATATATTTTTATATATTTCTTATTATCCTCTCTATTTATATACTTACCTTTAAATAAAAGTTATATATTTCTGCAATCTTACTCCACTATAATATCCACTAAACCTTTCTGAAGTAGGGTTTTCAAACTACCGTCAGCTTTAACGAATTATAGCACTTTTAAATATTAAGTTACTTTATTAAGAAAAAGGGTATATTGTATAAATAATCAATAAATTACCTATATTACTTATAATATTTATCTCAAGGGGTTATGTGATATATTTATTGAGGAGTGTTTAGGGTAGGATTTGGTGTGAAAAGGGGGGTGTTGCAAGACTTTTGGAACCCCACCGTAGTACAAGCAGCCAAGACGATTCTTAAGGCAGGGCCCTGGAACCTTTCGGGCAACCCCGTCCACAGTACTTAATACACACAGCGCAGACGAGTGATTACTGGTATACAGAAGTTGAGGAAGGCCAGGAACGGCTTGACGAGTGCATAGATACGGAACAGCTAGAAGACTACTAGTAGAGGCGCGACCGTTGTCGAACGGGCGGGGGTAAAGACTCGGTCCTGGGGCAGGCTCGGTCCTGGGATAGCTTGGATCCTGGGACAGCCCGCGTCCTGGGACAGCTCGCGTCCTGGGACAGCTTGCGTCCTGGGGAAGGCCGGGAGGCCTGACAAGTGCACAGATGCAGAACAGCTAGAGAGACTATTAGCATAGGTGTCCCCGCTCTTAAACGAACGGGGAGAGCAATTCTGGATGGAAATGGCCTAGTGAGGAGCTGGACGATTTCTGGAGGGGAGAGTTCATTTCTGGACGTGAGAGAGGGGACACTTGTACTTATAGTTGTACGCTGCATAGCTGCCACTAGGGCGGCTGGGACAGCCTATGAATAAATCAATCAATCAATCAATCAATCAGTCCCAGGATCGCGCCTGTCCCAGGACCGACAGCTGTCCCAGGATCGCGCCTGTCCCAGGACCGACAGCTGTCCCAGGATCACGCCTGTCCCAGGACCGACGGCTGTCCCAGGATCGCGCCTGTCCCAGGACCGAGCTTGTCCCAGGACCGAGCTTGTCCCAGGATCGCGCCTGTCCCAGGACCCAATCTGTCCCAGGACCACCACTGTCCCAGGATCGCGCCTGTCCCAGGACCCAACCTGTCCCAGGACCGCACCTGTCCCAGGACCGAACCTGTCCCAGGACCGAGCTTGTCCTAGGACCCAATCTGTCCCAGGACCACCACTGTCCCAGGATCGCGCCTGTCCCAGGACCCAACCTGTCCCAGGACTCACCTCCACAGTGTACTTTTTATTTATTTATTAATTCATAGGCTGTCCCAGCCGCCCTAGTGGCAGCTATGCAGCGTACAACTATGAATACAGGTGTTCCCGCCCCTCGCTTCCAGAGTCCAAGCTGCTCCTGTCAAGAACTGCTTCCCCCTCTGCCTGAACACGGTTACCCCTCTACTAATAGTCTTACTAGCTGTCCTGTGTCTATGTACCTTTCGGGCCTTTCCTGGCCTTCCTCTGCTTTTGTCTACTAATAATCACTCGTCTTCGCTATGTGTATTGGAGTACTGTGGATGGAACTGCCCGGAATTGCCCAGGAGCCGCGTCCTCAAGATCATCTTGGCTCCTTGTACCGCCATTGACGAGCTACAGAGAATGCGCTTGATGTCAACGCATGGATGCTTTCCTAGATAGTTTCCTCTCTCGCGAAATAATATGGTAGTGTATGATAGCGATGCTAGCACAAATTCTTCGCCAGTACATGGATGCTAGTTCACAGTATGCTCCAGCAGATGGTCGCTGGCTCACCTATGCTAGCAGATTGATCCTGGCGTACCAGGGCCAGAACAACATGGTTGAGTGTGTTAGCGCATACTAGTCCAGCCCTCTCGTCAACACAGAGCAATGCGCGTCTGCATGCATATACAAGAACGTTCTCGAACCTTCCCCCAATAATGTATTCCCGACATGATTGGCCGGGTCGCCCTAGCGTGATACTTCGGGCCCGTTCGATGTTGCGCAGAACATCGAACAGCTGGTCCCTAACCCTAGCCTAGGATAGGTATAAGGATCGTTGCCGCCTCCAACGCCTCTCCACTGTTAACTACCCTCTCAATATCGAGTGGCTGCAGCATGAAATTGCGAACTCGGCAAATATCAATGAGGCCGAGCAGGAGCAGGCAAGGCAGGACCGGCTTCGGGAGCCTGCCACTGAACCATCACCCACCTCTGGTGGGGTAGCCTCTTTTCAGCCAGTTGGGCTGCGTGAGCGGAATTTCCTGTTACATTAGGCCCACGTAACTTCTTAAATTCTGCCCTCTCTTTGCTCATGCTGTTCCTCATACGTCATTCAAACATGTGAAATTAGCTGGGGCCAGCCTTGCTGTAGCATGAAGGCATTTGCGATCGTAGTGCAGTTCCAGTCGCCGTTCTTTTTCTCCATTTCATACATCCTGTCTGGCTGTTACGTTCTAAGCCTGCTCTTAGGCAGCTTTAAGCAGGAAATATCGACCGCAGCAATATCAAGCATTCCCACGACATCCCTATACGCAAAAGTTTGGCACACGCGACCACCCAACGCGGCACTGCCAAGGAATGCCTCGACGTCGTTCTCACCAAACAGCGCGATCGTATCGAACTTTAACCCCCCTGGTCAACCAAGCCGGCAGCAGCAGGGTCAGCCCTGAACCCACCGTTGCGCCGTCGTCCTTGTCCGAGCCTTCCCCATCTTGCGTCTCGCTCGTCTTCTGTGCTGCTCTCTTCCTGTTTCGCCTACCACTCTTCATCATTGCCTTCTCCGCATACCTCATGGTCCTGCCATGGGTTCACCCCGGCCCTGTCGGCAATAAACTGTGCCTATGGACGCTTATGGGCATCCTAGGTGTCTGGTGGACCGACCTGCAGATCGACAGGGTAAAGCCGGGGTCGCTGGCGCAGCAGCCGCTCTGGCGCCTGCCGCGCCCCGGCTCCATCATGGTCGTGTCTGCCACTTCTCCTATCGATGCTATCTTCCTTGCCGCAGTCTTCGACCCAATCTTCACGGTTCTACACTCGAGGCCGCGACCTGTGCGGGAGCTGTTCCTCCTTCAGGCTATCTTCCGTATAGGAACGAACGAGACCTCACCGTCAAGCCACGCCAACTTGAAAACTGTGCTTGAGAGACATCCAGACCGAATCATTGCAGTGCTAACCGAGCACAGCGCGACGAATGGTACCTGTACTCTACCTAGCACGCTAAATCTTAGCGATACGGTCAGGATCTTCCGCATTAGCATACAATACTTGCCAGCGGATGTGTCGACGCCAGGGTCTGGCACGGATCCTGCGTTGCTGTGGACTATGCTCTCTAGGCCTGTGCACCGCATTCGCCTGCGCATCGCCGATGGCGTGAGTAATGATGGTACTTCAGGGGTGTCTGACAAACCGAAGCATCCCAGGAATGTCCCGCACAGCCTTACACGTCTTCCCCACAGTCTTCATAGTGGCAGAAAACTGTCACGGAGCTCCTTCCGTGAGCACATCTGAACATTCACCCTGCTTCTGGAAGTATAGAGAGTGTCGGCGAGTCTCCGTGGGCATTCTGGGACGCTATATGAGAACCATTTTTGGCTCATCTCGGCTGTGGTAGCTCCTATGTCTGTAGCCCATGCGGCTTGTCTTTGTACCAGGAGGTCGCGGGTTGTTAGGTCGGCGGCGCGGATGGCCCATCCGGTTCTGACTCGGGAAGCCTGCCGGATCTGCAGCAATAAAGTCGTCTCCCTCTCCGGCCACGATGGGGGCTAAGAGTCGGGTTCCTGCATAGGACCGACTATTCTATGATACACGTTTAGAACACTGCTTAAGTGGTCGCGGCGAGGTCATAGAGAGGACATGATTAAATAGGGAAGGACGACCGGATGGAAGGCTGTTCAGGTGCGAATAGAGGATATGGGTGGTCCCACGCTCTGCATGCCGAGAAAACAGCCTCGCGCACGATGAGTGGTTGTGCTGAGCGGGGATATATAGCGAGGCCGCCTTCCACATCAGCTCAAACAACACATCAAACCCATCACGTCCATCGATCGCACCGCCATGGAGCCTGTTAGTTTCACCGTCGGGGTCGTTGGGCTCGCCGGCCTCTTCAGCTCCTGCGTAGAGGCTGTGGACAAGGTGCAGACCTACCTGTCATTCAGGACCGACTCGCATGTGCTAGATACCAGGTTTAAGGCTGCCAAGGTCCGCTTCGAGAAATGGGGTCGGCGCGTCGGGTTCGAAGAAACGATGCGGTCGGAAGACCATCACCCTGCCCTCGACGACTGCGATATATCTGCGGCGGTACAGGATATTTTCCAGATCATTACTACTCTCTGTGGTGCGAGCGACGCGTCTGTACACCGCACCAGCCGGGCCATGACGCCAGGTGATGACGTCTCGTTGGGCTCGCTCCGACCCCGGCCTCACGGCGCGAGGCGACGGAAGCTGGCTTGGGCGCTCTGGGGCAAGACGGAGCGCACAGATCAGGTCGAGCTGTTCGAAAAGCTGGTGCAACAACTGCACAACTTGGTTCCCGTCGATGCAGTGCAGGGTACACGGCCGGTACACGAACTGGACACCAGGCACACCGACAACCTCGCGTCCGGGTTAGGTGCGTATCTGAACGCTGCCTGGATGCTCGTCGTCTAACGGAGATCAGGAACTTTCTCAGACCATGCTTGGCCCGCTGAGCTGCAGCGGATCCTCGCCCGGATCGAAGAGGCGAACAGAGGTAAGGTGTCCTCCGAGCTTCTAGTGTCAAGCTAACGGAGCGAAGCCGAGACGCGACGGGTACTCCACTCCTGGCTCGGCCGCGTGTCCCCAAACGAACGCTACCATGACTCCGTCCAGCAGAGGCTCGTCGGCACCTGCGACTGGATCTTCCACCGGCCCGCATTCCAGAACTGGCTCGACCAAGAATTCCCTGCAGGCGCAAAGCTGCTGTGGATCAACGGACCCGCGGGGTTCGGCAAGACGATTCTCTGCGCGCACATCGTCGAACACCTCTCGTCCACCCTCGAGACACCCGCCGCTCATTTCTTCTTCTCATCCGACCTCGAGAGCCGCGAAGACCCTTTCGTAGCCGTGCGGTCATGGATTTCCCAGGTCGTGTCGCAGCACGAGGGCGCGTTCGAGCACGTCCGCCAGAAATGGGAGGCTGATTCGGATCCCGTCGCGACCCGTGCGAACGCCGTCATGCTCTTCACACAGCTCCTCCACGTTGTTCCCGGCTGTACATTCGTTGTCGACGGTCTAGACGAATGCACCTACTTGGACAACAGCAGCACGTCGGTCACCCGATTCCTCCACACTGTTACGGACGCGGTTGTTGGGACGAACACTCGCGTTCTCGTGGTCAGTCGCGCCGAGCCAGAGATCCGACACGCCCTCACAGACGACACGCCTGAAAGCTTTGCCGAATACGAGATTGCACCCGATGACGTACGATCCGACACGGCCGCCTATTCCAGAGACATCGTCGACAGAAAATTACCCAACAAGACCGACGATGTCCGATCGACCCTCTCCAAAGCAATGACCGATCAATGCGAAGGCCAGTTCCTCTGGCTGAAGATGCAGGAGAGATCTTTGAGGAAAGGGATGAACAAGAAACAGCTCCAGCACACCATCGAAGAAACTCCGGCTGGGCTGGACCGATTATACGACCGAAGCTGGCAGAGAATCACCCAGTCCCGAGACTGGGAGAGGCAACGTATCTACGCCCTATTGCGCTGGGCGGCATTCGCACTACGGCCCCTGACAGTCTGCGAGGTCACCGAAGCCGTCCTTATCGACGAATCTGAAGACCTGCCGATCGAAGATCTCCCCGACGCTGTGGATGACGACTACATCGACAGCGAAATAGTCGGTCTTTGTGGGCCTCTCTTGGAGGTCAGGAGCCAGCACTCGGACTCCTCCGCCAGCCTTCGAACAGTGCACCTAACGCACTTTTCCGTCAAGCAGTACCTGCTGTGTAATCTCCCCACGCCTGGCTGGATCCGGGAGAACGAGCGCTTGCGGGATGAATACCAAAACACCTTGCTCGCCAAGGCCTGTCTGCTCTACATCAATTTCCACCAAGTTTGGCAAGATGCCCCACATCACCCGCCCTGTCTCGGCATGACATTCCGCGACTACGCAGCAGCGTCTTGGCATCACCATATCAAGTCAGGCTTGCGCACCGATGGGGATATAACGACACTTGCCAGCCGATTTTTTGATAGAAGCAACCACGCCTGGAATGGTTGGAGGGCATGGTTCGATGAACAGGATGCTGAGCTTCAGAAACTTGGGACTGAATCCACCTCACCTGCTCCGCTCTATTACGCAGTGGAGCTCGAGTTAATAGATGTGGCGACCGCTTTGATAAAAGAACAGAGTTGTGACGTGAATGAAGGAAACGACCTTGGACGGTCGGCTCTCGAAGTTGCATGCGCAAAGGGGAGCAAAGAGGTTGTGAAAATACTCCTTGATGCGGACGCCAACGTATCAACTGCCAGAAAGAATGGGTGGACGCCATTACATGCAGCATCAGAGGATGGACACATCGAGGTGGCCAAACTGCTTATTGAGAAGGGAGCTGACACTGCAGTTGCAGCCAAGGACGGGCGGACGCCATTGCATTTAGCATCACAGAATGGACACATGGAGGTGGTCAAGCTGCTCACCGAGAAGGGTGCTAGCGTCGCAGTTGCTGCTGAGAACGGGGCGACGCCATTGCATTTGGCATCACAGAATGGACACATGGAGGTGGTCAAGCTGCTCATCGAGAAGGGTGCTAGCGTCGCAGTTGCTGCTGAGAACGGGGCGACGCCATTGCATTTAGCATCACATAATGGACACATGGAGGTGGTCAAGCTGCTCACCGAGAAGGGTGCTAGCGTCGCAGTTGCTGCTGAGAACGGGGCGACGCCATTGCATTTAGCATCACATAATGGACACATGGAGGTGGTCAAGCTGCTCACCGAGAAGGGTGCTAGCGTCGCAGTTGCTGCTGAGAACGGGGCGACGCCATTGCATTTGGCATCACAGAATGGACACATGGAGGTGGTCAAGCTGCTCATCGAGAAGGGTGCTAGCGTCGCAGTTGCTGCTGAGAACGGGGCGACGCCATTGCATTTAGCATCACATAATGGACACATGGAGGTGGTCAAGCTGCTTATTGAGAAGGGAGCTGACACTGCAGTTGCTACCAAGGACGGGTGGACGCCATTGCATTTGGCATCACAGAATGGACACATGGAGGTGGTCAAGCTGCTCATCGAGAAGGGTGCTAGCGTCGCAGTTGCTGCTGAGAACGGGGCGACGCCATTGCATTTAGCATCACATAATGGACACATGGAGGTGGTCAAGCTGCTTATTGAGAAGGGAGCTGACACTGCAGTTGCTACCAAGGACGGGTGGACGCCATTGCATTTGGCATCACAGAATGGACACATCGAGGTGGTTAAGCTGCTTACTGAGAAGGGTGCTAGCGTCGCAGTTGCTGCTGAGAACGGGGCGACGCCATTGCACTTAGCATCGCAGAATGGACACATGGAGGTGGTCAAGCTGCTTATTGAGAAGGGAGCTGACACTGCGGTTGCGGCCAAGGACGGGCGGACGCCATTGCACTTAGCATCAGTGAATGGACACATCGAGGTGGTCAAGCTGCTTATCGCGAGGGGAGCTGACACTGCGGTTGCAACTAAGGACGGGCGGACGCCATTGCACTCAGCATCACAAAATGGACACATCGAGGTGGTCAAGCTGCTTATCGCGAGGGGAGCTGACACTGCGGTTGCAACTAAGGACGGGCGGACGCCATTGCACTCGGCATCACTGAATGGACACGTTGAGGTGGTCAAGCTGCTCATCGAGAAGGGTGCTAGCGTTACAGTCACAGATGAGGACGGACAGACGCCATTGCATTCAGCATCATGGGATGGATACATCGGGGCGGTCAAGCTGCTCATCGAGAAGGGTGCTAGCGTCTCAGTCATAGATGAGGACGGATTGACACCATTGCATTCAGCATCACAGAATGGACACATCGAGGTGGCCAAGCTGCTTATTGAGAAGGGTGCTAGCGTCACAGTCATAGATGAGGACGGATTGACACCATTGCATTTAGCATCACAGAATGGACACATCGAGGTGGTCAAGCTGCTTATCGCGAGGGGAGCTGACACTGCGGTTGCAACTAAGGACGGGCGGACGCCATTGCACTCAGCATCACAAAATGGACACATCGAGGTGGTCAAGCTGCTTATCGCGAGGGAAGCTGACACTGCCGTTGCAGCCAAGGACGGGCGGACGCCATTGCACTCGGCATCACTGAATGGACACATCGAGGTGGTCAAGCTGCTCATCGAGAAGGATGCTAGCGTTACAGTCACAGATGAGGACGGATTGACACCATTGCACTTAGCATCACAGAATGGACACATCGAGGTGGTCAAGCTGCTCATCGAGAAGGAAGCTAGCGTCACAGTCACAGATGAGGACGGGTGGACGCCGTTGCACTCGGCATCACTGAATGGACACGTTGAGGTGGTCAAGCTGCTCATCGAGAAGGGTGCTAGCGTCACAGTCACAGATGAGGACGGGTGGACGCCGTTGCACTCGGCATCACAGAATGGACACATCGAGGTGGTCAAACTGCTCATCGAGAAGGGAGCCGATACTGCGGTTGCAGCCAAGGACAGGCGGACGCCATTGCACTCGGCATCACGAAATGGACACATCGAGGTGGTTAAGCTGCTCATCGAGAAGGGAGCTGACACTGCGGTTGCGGCCAAGGACGGGTGGACGCTATTGCATTCAGCATCACAGAATGGACACATCGAGGCGGTCAGGCTACTGCTAATAACTCTGGGCGTCGAAACTAGCAAGGCAGACAATCATGGTCGTACAGCATTGTTCTTCGCTTCCAGATGTGGGTACAACAATGTGGTTCAAGCGCTGCTTGTCGATGGGCGGATTGACCCGGGCATCAAGGACTGGTATCGTTCGACATCGTTGTTTGCTGCCGTGAGGAACAACCACTTCGAAGTGGTGGAGCTTTTACTCGCGGCCGGAGGCATGACCGTTGAAGGCCAAGACGGTTTTGGTCGGAGTCTCTTCTGGTGGGCGCGGCGCACTGGCAATCTTCGAGTCCTTCAGCTCCTAGTGCAGCATGCCGAAAGGGCAGGCAGTCCTATCCCTGACGACCCTGCTCCTGTCAATGCCACCTCTATTCCGTTTGATCACGAATCCGATTGGTGCGACGCATGTACACTGAGCATCCGGGAAGGTTGTGGGTATTCTTGCAGAGTGTGCGACAGCGGGGGTTTCTGCTTGTGCGTCGAGTGCTTTGACGGAGGTATCCGATGCCGTGACAGCTCTCACGTTCTGGTGCCATGGTGAGCGCCCAGAAGATCTATCCCTGATGGCTGGTGCGGCTGTATGATGTAAATTGATGGAGAAGATCCCGCCATGTACAAGTTCATAAATCTCAACTGCTAGGCCTCGTCAGAGCCTTTGGTAGTCCGATATTGGCAGTGAATACGTATCTAATATAAACTAACCGCAAGTCATGTCCCTACGGAGGCTACCGGTCGGGGAGGCGAGGTGAATTCGGCGACGGCGTTGTAGACTTGATCCGAGATGAGGGCATAGTCTGGTTCGTCGACGAGGGCTGATTTCAGGAGGGGTTTGACGCAGTCGAAGTCAGGAGAGGCAACCTCAGAAATGCGTCTCAGGAGATTGCTTCGGAGGATGCCACGGCCTGCCTCGCAAGGAGTAGGCTTGTAACGGCAAGGCTTTGCAGAGAGAAAATAAAACGGAGTGCGAGATTGCAGAGACCTACATGCCAGTTAGAGGCCATGTTGCAACGAAGCCGATACTGAGTACGGCTACATGTGAACAACTAGAGTTACATCATACCAGGGCCGGGTGTTGGGCGACAAAGAGGTGAGAAGAGGGATGATTGAACATTCAAAGATTGGTCCCGGATGAAGGATGAGAAGCGCCAAGGAAGCATCTTGAAAGTATTGGAGAAACTTCGGAGGTCCTTCGGCTAACACCCAAATTCGGCTAATCAGGCATGGCTACTGAGTAGCGGCCAAACCTGGAAAATTAACTGTAATCAAGAATTGACCGACATCAACAATTAATTGCCAATGGTTCGAAAGCCTGCTTCGCAATGTCACTCACATCATGCGCACTCTCCCGACTCCTCCATCCAGTCGGGTAAGCGAAAGGAATACTGGGAAAGTATTGACCCTAATGTAAACGGTATGCTGGGTGGTATCTTGGCTTTCATGTCATCTATGTCCCGTATTGATCTACAGGGTGCGCGAACATTTCACTAGGCATCGGCATTAAGGGCGATCGGCAGAGGATCCCCAGAGCGCTCGAAGGGGGAACAGGGTAAGTCATTCAGAATCTGACGCCTTTTAAGAGAAACAGGTGCGGCAGGGGGTGACCTCAGCAGTGGCTAATGGTGGGCATCACAGGATCGGCCGGGTCACTGAAGGGCTTCTTTTCAAAGTGGCGGATAAGTAGACATGATCGAACCTGTAGCCCATCTTTGATGAAATTCTATGCTACAGTTTCGCAACCATTGTTTCCTATGACCCTAGAAAGCAAGCAATATTTACGCCTTGTCCAACTTCTCACCATCTAATTCTCATGCTACACTTCAGTTACTGGTTGGGGTTTGTGTCTCCTGCGTAGTTTAGAAAACTGCTGAAGTCCATTCCTCCGTCAATTTGCAGATCGCCCGGATTCAGTCCTGCAGAGCTACGCACGATTGGGTCGAAGATAAACTGCACAGTACTTGTCTCTCCCGCTCCAGACCAAGATTGCAAGGGTATGTTGGGGTTCATGTTGGGAAGGTCTTGGTCAGAAATTTGGAAGTCTCCACTCGCCATGGTTCCTAAGGGTAGTTGTGAGGCATCGTTCCATGCGCACGGAGGTCTCGACTGGTCCATATCAGGATTTGGAACCGAATACTGAGATTGAGGGTCCACAAGAGCGGGATTTTCTCTCGTCAGAAAAGAGTTATCTAACGAGGAGCTTGGTGTCGGTTGGCATTGCGGCAGTCGGGTGCCGCTTTGGCTGGTTGTGGACGAACCATTGCGAGACGACGTCTCCCGTGAGTCGCGACTGGAATACCACGCTTCAAAAAGCTGGTTATAGCCAGTCTGGCATATCCTTATCAGATGCTGTCTCCTTTCGACCTCGGGAATTTCGTCTGCCAGGGCTTGCTCAAGCGTTGCAGGCCCATATTGGAAGCAGTACTCTCGAAAGCTGCTGGTTTCCTCAGATAGGCCAAAGTCAAGGTAAGCTGAGTCAGGTCGTTGACTTCCTGGAAAAAGTATGTCCCAGACTGAAAACCATTGTTCTTGATCTGTAAACTTAAAGTCTGACTTTTTCGATAGGCGTCGATGCTGCTGATGAGAGATGCCATCTAGCACAACAGTGGGGTCGTGGACGCACACTTCACCAGAGACATGGGTAACATGTCTTCGATGGCTGTCCTCATTGTCAAAAGTGGCACAGCAACATTCGCAGTAGAACTCAGGAGTATGTTTCCGTGTCAAATGCTGTTTGACGTCTCGTATCCTCCTCAATGTCTTTGAGAAACATGCTCGGTGTTGGCCAGGATTCCGCTTCCAGAACGGACACGCTAGCTGCTGTCTTCTGCGTTTGCCTTGAGGTAGGGCCGCTCTCTTATCAGGTGGTGGCATATCTTCGTTTCCAGAACCCTCATCGTCGCTCTGCTGACGCTGTCTCTTGCGACACGGGTGGGACGACGAATTTGTTGAGATGGCTGCACGAAGGGGTCTGAAAGTCTCTGACCCGGTGCCAGATGAGGTTTCGCTTTGGCCAGGCCTCTTCCGCACCTGACAACTTTCTCTGAAGCCCGAGAGTAGTGTCTGGAGAACCCGGTTCAGAGCTGGAAAGTCTTGGTCGCTGCTATCCAGTGGCTCATAGACTTCTGAGGAACCCGAATCTGAAAACAGGTCGCTTTCGAACGAGGCGTCCGTGGAATCAGCGCCCGTTCTCAAATGAGAACTACTACCGCTCCATGACGTATCTTTAAAGTAAGCATCGTTGTCATCATGTTCCGGTTGGTTTTCCATCATGAGCCTGGAGATGTCTTCTTTGGTGGAAGGCCGCAACTGGCCCTCAGCCAGGAGATGGTCAGAGTCACCACACAAGTCAACAATGTGGCGACAGTTTCTCAGACTATCGATGGAAAGAAATCCACGCGGGTAAAGTGAGCAGTGTCTCATGCAACAGAGACAGGGTCGACTAGCCGAGTGGCAGATGTGCCAGAGGACGACATCGTCGGTCTGCTGAAAGACTGCGAGCCTCTTTCCGCACCCAGGCCAAAACAACCCGTCATCAGTGGTTTTGATGATTGAAAGCAGAAGCTCTGTGTCAATTTCGAGTCCAAGGAAATTTTCTGGACGCCGAGCGGTCGGGAACCCTGTGACGATGGAAGGGTTGCCGACGGCCCGAACCAGGCAGGGTGCCTTTGACAAGTTCGACCCGACATTGCTCTGCTGAAGACTGACGTCAAACGTCGTCACTTTGCAACCTGGATACAGATCGTTCAAATAACCATCGTAATCATTCTCGGTGATGGTGGATGTGCAATGATTGAAGCCTAGACTTGGGGATAGTCCAGCAGCGAGCCATGCCAGCTGCTCACCACACTCGGCAATCGATTGCGCTGGTCCCCGGATCGCAACAAGCAGATATGCTCCTCGAATATAAACCCTGATTATGGTCTTGTCCAATAGTTGCGCTATACATACCATAGTTAGCGACAAGACGGTTCTGGTATTTCGACAACGTACCATGATACACAGTTCCTTGATCGTCGTCGACCACGTGCTCAAGAGCACTTAGAAGGATAGCATTACTCATTGGCCATGTCTGGGACATGTAATTCCTGATTGTCGTTGCTTGTGCTCCATTAGACGACCCTGTCACTGTTATTACATGCGACAAACATTGACCAAGTGACAATCCCAGTCTCGTTCGCCCCGCTTCGAGACGAGGCTTGAGCTTCCACCATTCAAGCCGAAAGGCTACGACGGATGATGGCACAGGTCGTCGTTTGCTGATGCAGGCAGCAGGGAGTCGAGTGATGATGGCCTTGCGAATTTCGTCAATGACGGCACGATCCTCTTTTCCGCCTCGATCGATACGCTGTTCCTTTTGGATTGTGGCGATGAACCACTGATAAGCGGCACTGTTGAGGATAGTCTCGTTGTAGACAGACGTGTCCACTTGGCCAATGTCTTCTTCATCCACGTCGTACACACCCTCGAAACAGTCATCACGATTCGCAACCTTGTCGCTTTCATCGGCTCGATCGTTCCACATGTTCATTTTATCGAATAAGGACATGCCTTCAGTGTCGACTTTTGGACTCTCGACGACATCACCGCCTGCACCTGAAACCACCGATTCCATGTGCTTGGCAATCTCGCTGGCTTTGTGGTTAGAATATCGTCGCCATTGCGAAGTTAGACACACTCACCGATGACGCTTATGGAGGAAATACACGATGTGTCGACTCTTCACGGATGACGATTCCTGTCCTAGTCTGAGAGCAAACGTTTTGATAAGCTCGGGCAGCCTTTGAAACACAATTTTCCAAGTCTTGGCATCGATCTGTTGCTTGAATTTCGAATGAAGATCATCGCAGAACTCAGATATATACTGCTGGGCATGATGTGGTGTTACGGTTGTTGCCGCCGAGTACACTGTCATTGCATCATCGGCATGCGTGTCCTCCGCTGCGTCTTGAGGTGTGGCCTCTGGGCGAGCATCATTGGCAGTGTAATTTGGGTTGAGAATTGACCCGTAGCCAGAGTCGGTGAAGGGAACTCCGGGTTTTACTTCCGCCGAGTTCTTTGTGCTCTGAAGTGCAAGAAGAGTGAGAAGTGCGAATTACTGGGGAACACACTAGCATGGGATGGAGGATGACCAACCTGACTGATCGATGAGAGCATAGGTTGAGTCATTGTAAACTCGTCGGCTGTGCCATCATCAGAGTACGGGTACTCCTCATCGTCTAAAGGCAAGGGTCTTAGATTCACAATTACCTCAGTGAGCCATACTTTGAGATCGGCCATCGCAGGCCAATCACCTCCGCCCTTTCCTCCGCGCCGTTCATTATTGCTATTGTCATTCTTTGCGCGAGATTTTCTGGGCTTGAAATGCGATCGGCGCAAGTGCGCTGCCGCATTGTAATAGGCACCATACTTCTTCCCGCCCATGCACGCCTTACACTTCGACAACGGGACGAAGGGCTGGACGCTTGACACGAGGCCAACTGTGACAGGATCTCTGCAGACAAACTTCTTCACGCAATTCTCATGGCGGGCGCAGACGTGTCTTCGAAGCTCATGTTCGCCGCGGAAGCCCTCTGGGTGGTCTTGACACTGGTCGCAAAATACCGCACGGTGTTGAGGGCGTTTATACAGGCTCTCTGCCAAGGCCTCCTTGGCGTGGTGTTCGAAGGTATCTGTCGCAAATGACCCAAATTGGGATCGTTTTGTACTCGTGAAAGATTCCATTCGCAGCGGGGGAGGTAAAGGAGGCGGGGCAAGCTGATCGAAACGTTCTGCGTACCCAGGTATTCGGTCATGGGGATCAAGATTTTCGGGGGTAGACCAGTTAGTCCACACGTCACTGATTGGGTCGTCGAAAGATGTTGAAGTGGGAAGGTATCTAGGCGGGGGTAATGGGGGTGGGATGATTAGCGCCGGGGGGTATCGCAAGTCATCGTCGGGGACCTGAGGATCGGAAAATCGATGCCCCTCGCCGTTCCGCTCTGAATGGGCTTTTGGTGGCAAATATCCCACCTGCGTTGGCAAGCTTGGAGTGGCAAGCATTTCAGGCATAGACTGCAAAGCGATCGGTCGCCTGCTCGCCGGAAGCAACGTGTCCAAAAGATCAAGGTCGTCGTCCTGCTCGCTGTACCATGTCAGCTATTTGGATTCCCATGACTATGATGACTTCTCTGCATCAATTCCCACGTACTGTCTCTGTAAGTGGCGTTCAAACAAGTCCTTGCGGTAAAATTCCTTTTCACAGTCGGCCCTGGGACAACGAAGATCGGGGGGTGCATGAGTCAGTTTATGTCGACTGGATCAAGTTGGTTAGACGCGCTTCACTAAAGTTTCGAACAAGCAAGACAAACCGCAGGTGTTCTGGTCGAGTGAATGTCTGTGATAGTAGTTACTATTAGGTTTGTTGGCAGGAACAATCCGGGTAGTTGCGATACCTTGGGGCATTGGTCGCAGGTATGCACTGGCATGCCCTTCTTCGCCTTGCTGATCTTTCCAGTTATGGGAGTCAGCTTGATCTGTGGCTCTGGAGCCGTGGTTTTTATGGCGGGCGTCCTGATGCTCGGCAAGTTTCGTGATGAACCTGGACCAGTAGTATACTCTTGGGGAATGTAAAGTCTTTGGTACTCCGAGGCACTGGCATCTGTATAATCGAGCTCTAGAGCCGGAGTGGCGGCTTGCTGGGTATCCAGGTCGCGCCGTCCCATCGAAGGGCTATCCGCAAGCAGTGATGGGATGTTCATCTTGAAGGTTTTGGGGAGGTTGTAAGATTCAAGATTCAAGAGGCGGGCTGTGTTTCGAGACCAAAGTTATGGGTTGAGCGACATCAGGCTGCATGTCTGCTGAGTGATCAGCACAATGGTGCTTTCGTCGTCTATTGGCCGAGTTTCCGTCCCCACGACGACGCAAGAGGGGGTGAGCAGGCATCCAATCATGGCCAATGATTGCGACTTCTGTTGTTTTTGATGTTTGGAGACAACATTCGGATTTCACTTGAGTCCACAAGGATGGCTATTGTTACAACTATTTTTGATGGTATTAACAATGTTGAGAAACCCCGTTATAGAAGAGTGATGTCGCGGTGTCTATCTCTTTGAGCAGTCTATTCGGCTCGAGTGTAACTGGAAAATCCACATGTCAGACGACGTCATTTCAGCTCTAGGCATCCTGCGAGGCAGACAGACACAATCTCCTGGCATCAAGATTTTCACGGTCGCATATTGATGTGCAACCGGATGCAAATTAGCTAAATGGATCTTGACGAACCAGTTTTCAAGAGAGCGCTAGTCGAGGAACCATTTAATTATTACGAATTAACCATGATGCCGTTGGGTTTAGGGTAAGCTGCCATAGTTTGGCGGCGACTGGTCATCCCAGTGTACCTATCTTTGGGATGCCATAACTTAGCCTACTTATTGATTTTCAGGTCCATACAGCGCTAATCATTCCCATTTCAGCCGGGGAATGTCATAGTCGGGTCCACGAAGCGAGCCAGTCTTGTCTCGCAACCAGAGCCATCTCTTCGACTTTGCCACCCTAGGTTGTCAAACCAAGCAGCTAAAGAAGCCCCACTTGCCATCCTCTCAGTGACCCCTGAAAGCAGTTCGATGGAATTTGTGGGCACGACCCAGCGCGCTCCGACTCTCCGAGTCAACGCAATCGACGGCAGCGCCACAACCCGTGCTGGAAAAAACCACCGAGACTAGAGCTTCTAGCGGCATCTAGTGTCCGCGACAGTGCAGATGTCTCGCTGCCGCCAAGAGACAGGGGCAACCGTTGAAACACCAGGGACACGTAATATCGTGATGGGGGCCTGGACTAGACCACGGGCTTGGAGAGACTAGCCGGGCGTGCTATAAGGCTAAGTGCTGAATGGCTCCGGTCTGTCAACCGAACTCCGTTGCGCTCAGGCCTCTGTGATCCACGTCTTGGGTCTCCGATGGCCGCCGAAGATGTGTGAACGAGACGGGGAAAATGGGACGATTCGTCGAGGCATGATTCGTGATGTGATGCGACTGGCTGTGATGATCTGTCCCATTATTACCGTCCAAGCCACATCACCGGTAACGGAAGCGAATTACCTCAATCAGTGTGTTAATACTCCGCCCTATGGGGATATTGCCAAGGCCTAGAATTATGGACATGCTGATTCTGGCTGTACATATGCGGACCCCTCGCACCTCTCCCACGCAACTTTCTTTTTGCTCTGGGCTTGGTGGCCCGCCATTGCAACGTCGACTGCAGATCCCGACTCCTCACCAGCAGCCATGTCGGCCTTCATCACGGAAATGTGGGCGTGGTACGCCGTGACCCTCGTAGTGGTCCTGGCGCGGATGTGAGTTTTTTGTCCATTTTCCCCGGATTTTTCACTCTATTGGGAATGCGACCTGACCGTGCTGGCTAGGACATCCCGGAGGATGCTGTACGGGTCGTTCAAGGGCATGCTGATCGATGATTACCACATGATCTTTGCCATGGGATGCTACACTGCGTTGCTCGTCGTGGTGCACATCCTCACCTACACGCCGACGAACCTTATCAACCCCGCCGACAAAATCGTCCTCACCGATGACGAGATCAAGAAAAGGCAATACGGGTCGAAGCTAGTGATAGTCACCGAGCAAACGCAGATGATGACCATCTGGGCTATTAAGGGTTGTCTGTTGGTCATGTACAGCCGGCTGACGTAGGTGTCACTCAATCTCGCCGTCGTGACAGGTAACGAATCTAACACATCAAACAGCACGAGCTTGAAACAGAACTTGCTTGTCAAGATTGTCTCCGGCTATGTCATTGTTGGCTTCGTCCTCATGCAGATATTATTCTTCGCCGCATGGTGTCGGCCGTTCCACATGTACTGGAGTGTTCCTCCTCCGAATCGTAAGTGGACAGTGATCATCTGAGCGGAAATAGAGCAAATGGTTGATTCAATGTTTAGTCAATTGCTCAGCCGAAACAAACCATATGATCACCAACGCTGTCTTGAACATCTCGTCCGGCATCATGATCATCTTAATTCCTATGCCCGTATTTCTACAATCGCAACTGGCTACGAAGCGCAAAGTTATTCTATGCGGCGTCTTTGCGCTTGGTGCGTTTTCGGTAATTGCTCCGCAACTGTTGTGTAGCTGGCATTCTCCTTAGAACGAAATTTAACCATGGAGATATGGTCTGCATCGGTGACGATGGGCTCTGCGTCTGCCTGTCCAGGGACAACTGCCGATGCTTTTGGCACCACCTAACACATTATAAGCCACTTGATCAACCGGTTGGATGATACTATGTCCAAGGACGGTCGGAGTCTTGTACTCCTCATAGGCAAACTTCGTTATGAAGTCTCCGCTGATTGGACCATTGATACGTGAAATCACGTGAGGATCATCAGTCACGTGAGCAATGCCTCAAAAGGGCCTGCAGGGCCCTTCTGACTTTGCTTCATCATCATTCTTCTTCATACAACAATACAATCCATCACTGCCACTGCAGCTTTCTGGCCCTTCGTGCCCCCTAGGGCCTCTGGCCCTTGGCCATCGCCTCTTTTCGTATCAAATGGTAGCAATTGCACTGCTGCATCTTGGTCACCAGCTTTGACAGCACCAGCTTTGACAGCACCAGCTTCGACAGCACCCGCTTCAGTCGCCCATGGCTTTGCGATACCGGCTTTGATGGCACCAGCCTCTGTGCACCAGCTTCTTCAAGCATCGCCTATCTTAGCCGACTCGCCTTAGTTGCGCTCCTGATACCGGCCCGTCAGCACCAGCTCTCCCGAGCACCAGCCCGTCTCAGCACCAGCTCTCCCGAGCACCAGCTCTCTTAAGCACCGGCTCTCTCTCGAACACCGGCTCTCTCTTGAGCACCCAGCCCTCGCGGCACCCTTTGGATCCCGTTGGTTCAACTCCTTTGGATACCGGCGATCCCCCTCAAAGCTGTCCCCTTCGCTGGGCCTGAATAGCAACACCAAGCAGCCGACCGACCGGCCGACCGACCAATGCAGACAAGATCGTCTTACGGTATGAGGCATATTTTCTCGCGGATGGATTTGGCAAGGAACTTTGGAAGGAAATGGATCTAGGCTCTATCCTTGTCTTGCCTACTGAGGACAGTAGAGTCTCTTTTTGTGTGCGGCATATGATACGTGAAATCACGTGAGGATCATCAGTCACGTGAGCAATGCCTCAAAAGGGCCTGCAGGGCCCTTCTGACTTTGCTTCATCATCATTCTTCTTCATACAACAATACAATCCATCACCTGCTATTGCAGCTTTCTGGCCCTTCGTGCCCCCTAGGGCCTCTGGCCCTTGGCCATCGCCTCTTTTCGTATCAACCATACTGCCCTAGCTGCTGCTGCAGCCACTCTGAGTCTCTTTCCAGATGCTTGATTATACGGTCATCTGCAGCAATGAAGACAGAAGCTACATTTGCAAGCATATGTCCAAGTTGGACACCATTCCCACCTTGATGAGGTGTGCCCATGAAGAGGATTCTATATGTTGAAAGCTTTACTGAGCGATGTTCGGGGAGAGCTCCTTGGCGAGCTGCATCGGAATGGATAAGAGCCTATTATCATTAGTCAAAGACTACCAGACTAATGAGGTTGTGCGAGGTATTTAGCTACTTATGCTCTTAAGAACGATACCCCCAAGGCTGTGTGCAATAAAGATGACTGGCCGTTCCAGTGTCTATATTTATTTGGGCGTTATTCGTCTCCCTCTACCAAATGGCAATATTGTCCTTATATTGGTAATCTTCCTCTTCCTATATAGGTCGGATACAAGTGTTCGTGTATGATCGTACAGATACTGGAAGCTCACACCAGTGGAGCTATGAGTGTTTGCATCGTAGCCCCAGCAAAGAATTCGCGCATTAGGGAGATCATTGGGAAGAAAATTGCGAAGCCAATGAACGCCGTTGTCTGCGGTCCATGTCTTCCTCGGTGGCCATTCAGACCATGGATGGCAACTATACTACGACAAGTAAGCCGCAAGCTGCTAAAGATAATAACGTACTTCATCAGTGAGTGGATCAAATCAGTAAGTGGATCAGTCAGATTTACACCTTAAAGCGCGATTTTAGAAAAATTATTAAAAATCCAAATTACAACTAAAATACCTGAAAGTTTAGTATTAACTTAACTAAGTAGGAACTTATATCGAAGAATTTTATTAAATTTTAATTGTTTTTATTTATAGAGTTATTAAGAAAAAACCTATTCGCACTGTATTTTTTTCTTAATTTTATATATAAAAAGCTTAATAAATTAATTAAAAATATAAAAAAAAAGAATATCTTAACGTACTTCATCAGTGAGTGGATCAAATCAGTGAGCGGATCAAAAATCCCTCAATCTCTCTTCTTTTCATTCAATCACATATTTCTCAACCACCAAACATGCCACAATCAAATAAAGAGGCAAATATCCTTCTCGCTCTTCAAGCCCTTCAAAATGAGCCAAACTTAGCTCTCCGTCGCGCTGCAAAAATCTACAATGCGCCATATAGTTCGCTATGGCGCCGACACCATGGCATTCCTGCTCGATGTGATATTGTTCCGAAATCACGCAAACTATCCGATCTAGAGGAAAGGATTGTCATTCAGTTCATTCTTGATCTAGATTCGCGAGGGTTTCCCCCGCGACTGCGTGGTGTTGAAGAAATGGCTAATCGACTGCTTACTGACCGCGGCGCGTCACCTGTTGGCAAGTGCTGGGCTTCTAGATTTATTAAGCGACAACCAGAGCTCAAGACGCGTTTCTGTCGTAGATACGACTATCAGAGGGCTAAATGTGAAGATCCAACCATTATTCGTAATTGGTTCAGGCTCGTAGAGAACACAATCGCCAAGTATGGTATCACCCTCGCCGATATCTACAACTTTGATGAGACTGGCTTTATGATGGGCGTCATTGCAAGCGGAATGGTCGTTACAGGCGCAGAAAGGCGTGGAAACCCGAAATTGGTGCAGCCTGGAAATCGAGAATGGGTTACAGCTATTCAGGCGATCAATGCGGAAGGCTGGGCGATCGCGCCGTTCATCGTGGTTGCGGGCCAATATCACCTCGCCAACTGGTACCAAGAAAGCAACCTCCCGGGCGATTGGGCTATTGCGACGACTCAAAATGGTTGGACCAATAATGAGACAGGTCTTGAGTGGCTCAAGCACTTTGATCAGCATACAAAGACCCGATCAAATGGTCGATATCGTCTTCTGATCCTTGATGGGCACGAAAGTCACCACTCGGCTGACTTCGAGGCATATTGCGAGGAAAACAGCATCATCACGCTCTGTATGCCGCCTCATTCGTCTCATCTACTCCAGCCTCTTGATGTCGGTTGTTTTGGGCCGCTTAAAAAAGCATACGGTCGAGAAATTGAGCATCTGATCAGATGCGGGATAACCCATGTTTCCAAGACCGACTTCTTTCCGGCATTTTATGCCGCCCACCAAGCGGCTATGACGGAAAGCAATATCAGGGGGGGATTTAGAGGTGCCGGACTTGTTCCTTTGGTCCCGGAAAGTGTGATATTGAGGCTTGATGTGCAGCTGCGCACTCCAACACCGGTTGAGGAGGAGGTCAACCTCCCTGACCCTTGGGTCTCCAAGACGCCAAAGACCGTCCTTGAGGCCACTTCTCAATCTGAATACCTCGAAAGACGAATCAGGCGGCATCAGAGCAGCTCTCCAGCATCAATTCTTGAGGCGCTCAAGTCACTTTCTAAAGGAACAAAGGGAATAATGCACGAGGTGGCACTATTAAGGTCTGAGGTTGAGGTCCTTCGACAGTCAAATGAAGCCCTTAGCAAGCGGCGCAGAGCAAAAAGAAGGCGGCTACAGGATAGAGGGAAGATGACAGTAGATGAGGGCAGGGAAGCCATTGATCAGAAGGACATTGATGCGCAGATAGCGGCCGAATCGTCGAGAAGTGGTGGCCAAGGAGGGTCGACGCGAGTGAAGGAAAGGCGTTGTAGGACATGCGGCAAGACAGGTCATAATACAAGGACATGTCAGAGAGTTGCCGCGATGTCTAAGGAAGAGCATGGCGATTAGTTTTAATTGATTAAATGGTCTGTTGTGTTTTTATTACATGTTCGGAAGCAAGGGTTGAGATTTTTGATCCGCTCACTGATTTGATCCACTCACTGATGAAGTACGTTATGACTTTTTTATATGAACTTTAAAATTAATTTTTTTAAACTTTTATTAATTATATAGCTAGTTTTAGAAAATCTAATATTTTTACTTTTAGCTGTACAGTATAAGTGATCCACTCACTGATTTGATCCACTCACTGATGAAATACGTTAGCGGATATTACCTACTCGATGACAGGATCGACGCCTTCAGACACCACCTCTAAACCCTGTGGGTGTTCTTTGGGCGGGGTAGCAGATGCGGGAGGTGGGGCCGGAGGTGGGGCCGGAGATGGGGTAGGAGTGGGGGTAAGAGTGGACTTTGGTCCTTGAAACAGCCGCGACCAACGTGAAGGCATAGTTGCAAGCGTACTCAAGGTAAAGGCGATGTGATTTTGGGATTGACGATGTTGTTGACTGCGAGTATTTCTTGGAGTGGTTGGTGGAAAGTCAGGCAGGCAGGTGTTCACTTCCCCGCTTCACAAGGCTGGGCGATCGCATTGGAAATCATGTGATATTCAATTCAACTCGGTGCACAGAGAGGCCAATAGGACGCAGGGAACCAAAACTGGACATTGTCATCGTTGATGCCTGAGGCATCATTGTACTTGTTATCAGTAGGGCAGATGGCAGGTCATTGTGAGGCTAGAGGATAAGACAATTGCCCTAATATTCATCGTCTTAATATTGAGTTGATGGAAAACAACCACCCTTAGATGATGTAAAGCAGAGCGGCGAAATTGCGCGAATGGTTCGCGAGACGGCGCTTAGCACACCAGCGATCACGGCACTAGCTCGAGAGTTACGAGCAGAACAATTCCTTTTTGAGCTGGACCCTTCTCGTCCACCCCAGTATATCAACGGGATTTATGAATGCTTCGGCTACATTTCCTGCCGACTGCGGGCCGGAGACCCAGCGTTGAAGGTTTTTATGCAGCAATTAATAGACAACCATGCGTTCTGGCAATGCGGAAGACGAGTCCTCCCTGCGGAGTTCCAATGCGATGGTGGCATGAACGGATACGGCAATTTCTACCAGGAAGTAGCGTTCCACATGCCCAACAGACAAGGTCTATTTAAAATACTACTACAGGACGGACCCGGCAAGCCTTGTAATATCAGCGGTTCGCCGTTCACCTTGGAACGGCTCATGCGGCAACAGAAGCTTGAGCCTTGGTTCGGCACTCCATGCAATTCGAAGCGCCGCCAACTCGATACTAGCAACCGCTTTCAGAAGAAACAACGAAGGGTTTGTTAGAAAATATTCATATTGGAATTAAAGCAAATATTTGTGTTCCGAAACGCATATAGGGTAGGTACAGAAATCTTAACTGTCACCGCCCAAAACCTGCAGCTATCTTCAAAAGGACAGGGCTCTTCCCATTACTAAAGCACAGGCATAGGTTATTCGAATAATGCTTGTGCGCATATTCTCCAATATTTTCCTAGCACTCGCCGCGGGGCCGCCTTACAGGCAGTGCAATAGCTAGCCTTCTCGCAAAATCACATGTACGCCACGATTTAATTATCTGGGCAAGATATTTGTCATCGATGTCTAAGCATAAAAATGATACGCATTTCGCATGGATGGGGAGGGGAAATGGAAGCATGATTGGGTTGATTGGTTCTCGTATTTGAAAACTTATGAAACATGAGGCGTTATGGCAGCTCAGGTTACATAATCTTCATTAATAAATTCATTTCCATTGACTATCTTAAACCGTCGCCGTTCTTATTTCCTGGCATCCTTCGTGTGCTCTCCCAACTCAAGCACTGGACGCTTGCCTCGGCCTCCGGTTCTCCGAGTAGTATTGCGCTTCCTGTGTCCCCTTTTTTGGCCTTTGGCCTTCTGTTCCTGCCAAGCTTGAATCAACTCCTTGGCGTTTTCAGCATCATGTTCTGGTATCCAGCTGGGCTTCCAGTCAAAGGCATAGTACTTGATACCATCCACTTCCTTTTCTCCAAGAATCTGAATGACTTCCCATTCCTTAGAAGTTACATCGGTTTGGATATCGAGTGTAATGTTGCTTGTTGATGGGATTGGAGATTCGACCGTGTCTAGTGGGGCATGCGGATAGTCAGAGACGAGGTTTTCTGGCTCCGAGACATAGTCTGGGAGACTTTCATAATCGGAATCAGTATTAGGGTCGTCGCGGGTCATTTTTACAAAAAGTGATACTGTATACGTAATGTTACGAATTTAGAAATTTGAGCCTCGAGCAATAATTAAATAAAATCATAGCTCTCAAGTAATAGTCAATAAACGGCTTTTACTAACACCTAGTTATTAAGTGGTCGCATCGATATCAGTCCTAATTTGCATATTATATAAATATGAATGGCATAATTTGGACCTACTGGAGTGTTGGCGTTGGTATTGTTCCGAGGTAAGCTAGTCCGCGATACCGGTCCTGGGTCAACACTTAATTGCATATGGCCAGATGCTGCCCAGGAAACTTTGCCTAGGCTAGAGGCTGCTCAGGACCTGGGTCTTAATTGCGACCCGGGTAAACACTTAGTTGCATATGGCCAGATACTGCCTAGGAAACTTTGCCTAAGCTAGAAGCCGCTCAGGACCTAGGTAAACACTTAGCATATGGCCAGATGCTGCCCAGGAAACTTTGCCTAGGCTAGAGGATGCTCAGGACCTGGGTCTTAATTGCGACCCGGGTAAACACTTAGTTGCAGGCCAGGGCATCTAAGCAGAAAGTCCTAAGCGGCCTCTAGCCTAGGCAAAGTTTCCTGGGCAGTATCTGGCTATATGCAACTAATTGTTTACCTAGGTCCTGAGCGGCTTCTAGCCTTGGCAAAGTTTCCTGGGCAGCATCAATTATTTATTTAAGCTATCAATTACTCATCTATGAAGCACGATCATGAGTGTTCCGTTTGTAATCTGTGATGATGACCTCTCTCTGACAAATGTTTTATTCACATCCTCACGGGACTTATGAATGAGTATAGCCTTGTACCAGTTGCGTTCACCTTCTGAAGGCTTGGCGCAAGCTTATTTTTGTTGATGTTAAAGAGAAGATACAGTAATCCTTTCTTTTGTACTCTAACAACTCTTCCAAGAGGCGACACCTGTTTCAGACTCACACAACAGGTATTAAAAAGTTTCCAAGTTCGATGGCGGCAGCGCGATATGAATCCTATGAGGATAGGTTGCTTCCTGTGATCTAAGAGTCCCTTTCCATTGGATCCAAACAGGGTATTATCGCGGCTACAAGTTCAGGTTGACAAAGTGGGTAACGATCACGGTGATAAGAACACTCCAAGCCCCCACAAGAGGCTGGAATCTTACGAGACCCCGTATAACGTTAACCAGCTTAACACTCACGCCGAAAGGCTTCTTGAACGCCGGCCACAAATCCCAGACTCGCCAGTCTCACAAGCTATCAACCAGCTTATCAAAGGCTGTCAAATGGCCATGCATAGCGCCGCCCTTCTTGCCGACGAAAACCGACAACTACGGTCAGGAAACCTACGGCAAAAGCAGAAAAAAGAACAACGCCGTGAATACATTAGCGACAGCGGGACTCTGTCGGTTGCAGAAGGTACGGCTAGGATAAAGCGACGGCGAGAAGAAGAAGAAGAGCGGGTTAAGCGACGTCGAGAAGAGCAAGAGGAGCGAGTCAAGCGACGGCGAGTGAAGGAAGAGGAGCGGGCCAAGCGACGGCAAGAAGAAGAGGAGCGGGCCGAGCGACGGCGACAAGAGGACGAAGAGTGTCTCCGGCTACGGCGAGAAAAGGAAGAGGAGCGAGTGAAGCGACGGCGAGTGAAGGAAGATGAGCAGACCAAGCGACGGCGAGAAGAAGAGGAGCGGGTCAAACGACGGATAGAAGAGGAGCAGGAGCTAAGTGCCCCAAGACAGCGTGCGCCACCAAGGTGTAGTAAATGCAGGTCCTTTGAACACACTGCCCGTACGTGTAATGGTTAGTCCTGAATTGATTTAACGGCCTCTTGGAATAAATTGTCGTCATTGTGCTCAGTTTGTGTTGCCGTGAGGTGCGGGTCGCGGCGGCGGGGAAATTTTGACCGAGTAGGGGGTCTGACCGGGAAGGTGGTAGATTACGTTAATTCCTCTAGAGATTTCGCTGAACTTTCTGGGCCTCCAGGTGCACATCCAGACCAAGGTTCTCATTTATTGATGTTCATCACAAAATCCGTCAGCCAAGTGAGTGGGACTGCCATTAGAGAGACTTCAGAGAAAGTTTCTTTCGTCGCCTTCTTTAGGTCAGGTCCGAGGTATAAAGCGCCCCTTCCCCCCTCCAGTCCCCAAGCAAAACAAGAAAGGGAATCAAGGTCTCTGGCACACTCTAGTGGAGACGCTTGATCCAATCAGCGCTCTCGTATTCCCAATCGCGACGCTTTCACTAGTCAATCTCGCTTGAAGGCGTCTCATGGTGAGATGCGACCCCACTCGCCGCCGCAGATGACCATTCAAGAACAAGCGTCCCCTGGCGCCTGAGACAGTCGATTTGGGTACATGTACAATGGATTCTTAGTAATATCACCGAAAAAGTCTGTACACTATACAGAAAAAGACCGTCGCTTCAGGCAGCAGCCCTGTCGTTGACCTGCGGAAGAACCTGCCACCGCATCATTGTGCATGCAGCTATAAATTCCCCTCCCACCCCGTCCACGCTGTACCCCTGAGTTATGCCTTTCTTGACTTCGCCCGTCTCCGCCACCCATTGTTTTCCATGTCTTATCTTATCGATGTCCGAAACATTGAGAGTTTACAAGGGATCCATGAGGTGAATCCATCATTGCACTCCCTTGACTGTTTGCACCGGGAGTGGCGTCCATCTAATTTATGACATAAACAGGCATTCAAGTCTATCCTCCAGCACAGTGGTTTTGCTGCGAAAATTCAAGAAGCCTCTGCCCAAGGATCTCATGCAACGCCCGACGTGACGCCGTCCCCCGCCCCACACCGTGAAGCCTGCTCACCATCGCGATCGACCGTATCGTCTCTCGTCCCAGGCCACGAAATCGAAATTTACCAAAAAACTCTGCTGGTTTATTCCTCATTCTCCCAAGAAAGTGAGGTCTATCTAATCGATGAAATCAACAGGCCATCGACCAGATTTTCGACCGGAGTGGCTTGCCTGTACACGAGGGCAATGCGGAAGAAGCGCTTTTAACGCCAGGAGACACGCCATCGCCTGTCCCGTGCCATGACGTAAGGCAACAATCCTATGATGGGCAAGAGCAGAGTTCCGCGCTCGACAATCATCCTCAACGCCTGGACGATACGTACCCGTCGACGTCGCTACTCAACACCGAACTTGGAATACCGCCCAGGGACATCAACCCGCTGAAACGTCGACGTGCTGACTTTGAAGATGAAACTGAGGATGACTTACGATCCCTGTTCGAAGATGATACATCGGAACCCTCGCAGCTGGACGATGTCTCCACAGATTCCTCCACCTCGTCAACTTCATCCAGTGATTCCGGAGGTGCACCTACTGAGACGGAGAACTCCGAACAACATGACTCCGGAAGCACAGCTCAGACGGAGAATTCCAAGCCGAATTATGTCGATCCGGCAACCCAGACGAAACAGACAAAAACAAGGACAACTGGGAAAAACCAGAGGAAGCCTGGGCCAGCACCGACTTTTGGGGAGCCGGAATTCACCCGGCTCAAACGAGACCTCAGGATCCTGCTACAACCTAATGATGCCCAGGACTTCCAAAACACCCAATCTATCTTGCGATGCCTAAGAGGCAGGAGGCTGCAACCACAGAAAATTCAACCCTCGGATTCAGCCTACGTTTCACTGCGAAACTGCCTTGAGGTTTATGAGAGCAAAGTTGGAGAGGCGTCCGATGTTAAGTTATTCTACAACCTGATGCATAGGGTTAATTTGGTGCAGCTAGCTGCCGAAGATGAGAGGTTGGCCGAATCTCTGTCCATTGGAGGACGCTCCGGGGCAGTAGATTTTTTGGTCGACAAGCTCTGGGAAACTGATGCTCAAGCTCTACGCCATGACGATTCAAAGAGGAAGAAGGTGCACAACTGGAACCGGAGCGGGAGGCCACTACTCGCATTGGTCCGGGAGTATGGATACGGTGCGCTGATCGCCCCTGGATTACGCCTTGGAAAAAAAAGGTAAGTCCCCAATATGTCTTCTTCCGGCTGGCCCATGCTCATTACCATTCTAAGGCTCCAGGATGTCTCGTGCAAGGACTACGGCGTTCTCGTTAGATACGTCGGGAAGTGCAACCCATGTTTAAAAGCGGAGTTGACTAATTTGTCACGTGTCCTTGAAGAAGCGATGTTACGCCAAACCCTGCCATCCCGTTGGCTGGAGATCGAGCGGATTGATGGCCTGCCCAATAATGGAGACTTCTCTCTTTCTCGATGGGTTCGGTTGAGTGAACTTCCTCTGGAACCCACGTCGGTTAGTTCACAAACAATTTGGCTGCCTAATGACGGCAATGCACTTGACGGTTCACAAGTCAGTCTCCAAGCCTCATGGGCTCCTGGATCGCTGCAGCAACAGCAGGCTGGACCAATTGCAATCTGGTGGCGCGGCCCAATGAATTACCGTCAGGGGTATGATACGCAGCAGATGCAGCAGCCGACTGGACCAGCCGCATCCGGACGTCAAGGGCCGGTGAATTGCCTCCCGGAATATGTTACGCAGCAGACACCCCATCACGTTAGTCCGGGTCCTAGTGCGCCACGACCGCATAACGGTACGCCAGGTCCGCTGGTACAGCATCATTCTAACGGGCAACAATTCTGGAATCAAGTATCTGAGAACGCCATGCAGCAGACGCCCCGTCACGTTAGCCCGGGTCCATTGGTGCAGTATCATTCTAATGGGCAACAATATGCTTTGCAGCAGACGCTCCCTCGCGTTAGTCCTTGTCCTAGTACGCCACGACCACACAGCGGAACGCCAGACCTATCGACGCAGGACCTTTTTGGTCAGCAAATGCCAGAACAGATCGGTACAGCTGCCCCTGGAAGACCCTTGCCTCAAAATGAGATGGTCCGATCGACGCCGCAACAGTGCTTTAGTACAGATGCCGTGGCTGATCCAATGCAAAGTCTTGTATCGCAGTCGCAAGAACAGGCTAAGCCGCCCACCCTTGAAACACCTGAGTTGAGCTTCGGCCAATTAGTGCAGATGACAATTGAGGATTGCCTCCACAGTGACATTTATGATGAACCAAAAGAACCGCGATTGATAGAAGAGAGTGGTGCCGATGCATAGATCCGCGAAAGCCGACAGGTACAGTTGGAATGGGTGGGTCAAGCGTTAATTGTCGGATTGGTTCTTCTCCTTTTTCCCTCGTTTTTTTCTCTGCGTTTTATTTTCCCATGAGAGTCAGCGTGGGCAGGTTTCTTGACCTGGACATTTTGACTTATTTTCAAGCTAGACTGGGTGACCAGACGAAGCTCGTGCCTCATAGTCTGCTCCATTAACCGTTGGCGGCGGCGAGTCGTTGGCTATTGCAGCAGATCTGAATCCGACGTAGCAAGATTGCATCACCTGTGGTGGACTGCAGTTACGCGATTCATTATCTCGGGACGATGACTTCCGGAGAACTCGGGGTGTTTGCGGATTTTTAAGAGGTGACTCTCGATCGGATTTGGCGGGCGTCTTAGAGCGGACTTACGATCTTATCTTCTATCTTGAATATTATCGATTTCTCAGTCATTCACTGTGGGTATTACCTGCCCGTCTATGATACGAGACCCGCAACCACTTCTGATCGAAAGTGGGAGGCTTTCCTATTCATTGTTCACTACCATTGTGCGTGCTCTTTATGACAGCCCATGGATCTAATCTTCACGTCTATGTGTCCCTGACTCATTTACTTGATATTCCTTCTCCTTCACCTGCAATCTGAAATCTGGGGCAACTGTCTTAACCGGCAACAACTCTTAAGTATGCATGGTTTCCAATAGACCTTGACGACAACGTTACGGAAGCGCGACCGCTCGGGTCGCAGGTTCGGGGCTACCCCGCACCCATAACGACCTACACGCGTGCTTAGTACTGTAGGAAGCCCCTTAAACCTAACATAATCGGACACCTTATGACATGGCAGGTCCCGCTTGCTGTTTGATCATTCAATGGACATTGAACGCCGGTTCACATCGACACCGCGCATGGCCAGCTACCGCTAAGAGTCTAGTTTTCGGGCGTCCGCCTGTCTACGTCAAAACGTCTATAAATATAGCGCCCTTCCACCTGTCCGTCTTCGTCAAGGCAGTACCTACATGCTTAGACCATGACTACTCTTCCTTCCCTTCCTTCCCTTTCTTCCTCAACCCAGAAACGTGACAGAACCAATGAAAACTTCTCTAGGGCCACTCAACGTCTTATGCGTAGATGTAACCAGTTGAGCGATCGCTATAACGCGGATGTCTACGTCGTAGTTCGGCGAAATCATCGACATTATGACTATAACTCTACTAATGACCCGTTGTTTCCCACTCCTCTCATTGACATTGTGAGGAAACCTATCCTAGGCACTTACTGTTCGCTAACTCTGTATTAGGAGCAAGCTTATCCATTGGCTATTAGAAGAACGCCAGCGAGCTTCCAGCAGTCCAGGACTATCACAACTCCATCACCTACGTCCAGTCCAATGGCTAGCCAGCGAGACTCAGAGGAGGACGAAGATGACAAGCAAGATGAGAGAATGGAGAATAAAAGAACAAGAGGAGACATCGCCAACGCAGACCGCTGAAATAAGAGGCAGGAATAGCTCGTAAGTCTAGTGCCTCTAGTCAGTAAAACGCTTTGAATCTATTATATTTTGCTCTCTATGCTAGTATCCAAAATGCCGGGGCGCCCGAACAGTCCTCTTGCAAAAGTTTTAGGCTATTCTAAATCGAGGGAACTCTTAGGATACCGTACCATGAACCCTCATGGCATGGTTCTGTACATGCATCTTATGCTGTAGGTCTAGGTCACAAACCTCACACCGAGAGGGGGTATTATCAGGCAGCTGGTCAAGATGCCTTCGGCGGAAGTGCTTCGACAGGTCACCGGAAGTGTAAAACTCCTGGGTGAGCTCGCTCACACGAGGGTCGTTTGGTTCAAGAGAGAGTGCAGCACCGATGCACATAAAACATCTCCTCGGCCTCCCCTTCTCGTTTTTGACGAATACAGAGAGCACGGCGATACCCACAGGGCTATCTTCCGATGGGCCACAATGAGAACTGGACAGCGGCTCCTTCGCTGCCGAGACGTTGGTTCGACGTGCGGTACGGCCTTCTACCACGCTGCAGTAAGCGACGATGGCGTCGATGAGGTTATCCCTGCGTCTATAATATCCTTCGAGAGTGTTATCGACTGGGGCGGTTAGCGCTTCAACTAGGCG